GGGTCTCGATATTCCAACTACCAATCATCCAGATTTCCAAACAAAGTATAATTTTTTCAGAAAATGTATATTTAGAAACATCTTGGACCCCGGTAGGAATTAAACTTACGACCATTGCTAGATTAGACCAACGAGCCTATCTAGTCTTCATGATTCCTCAAATTAATTTTAAATAAGAAAAAAATAAAAAAAAAATAAAAATTGCATATCAGGCTTAAGGAATATAAGTAGAATGTATTTAATTAATAAGTGTTAATTGCCGGCCCATAACACGAATTTCCAAATTCATTGGCTCCGTTTACACTCGGCGAAAGGTACATCCGTTTTGTTAAGGTCAAATGAAATATGTACTGACATTTTTATTAGTACAGCCAGTAACATGTATCTTTGTATGTCACATTTGTAGGTGTGTCCAATACAGGTGCAGTTTCATAATATGTTGGCGAACTAATTTTTCCGAGCGTGTACATGTGAACTTGGCAGTATGTTATCGTTAGAAGTTATTTTACGATTCCAACTTACGCAAAGAATATAGAAATAACTATGTTTCACCCAAACAAGGGCTCTCTTTTTTTTTTTTTTGAATACGTAAAAGTACTAACTAATAAGAAATACTACGTAAATATTTTTTTAATTTTTAATTGTAGACGGGATTTGTTTTTTTTTTGGGGATTCCCTTTTTTTTTTTTTGGTTAAAGAAAAACCCCAAAAAAAATGGGGTTTTTCCCCTTCGTTTTACTTACAAGAAATTTTGTAAAATATGTCTACGTAAATGTTTATTTTTTATGATAAAGACCGTCCGACAAAACAAATACGACGTAAACAAGATGCGCTGTCCAACTTTGTGCTTTGGATTTCCGAATATCCACATACTGAAACCGAATCGGGATTACTTTTCGGACCAGCCATTTAATATCCAGACTTCCAGACGAAGTCCGGCATGTTTCAGAAAAAAAAATATATATCTATTTATATTAGTCATAATTTCAAAATACGAGTATACACGTAAACATCAATATAGGACGCATTTGATAGACAATCAGCATTTCATAAGCGAATTTGCTCCGCTTTACATCGTGATGTACGTGAGCGGATGCTGTAATATTAAAAGACTAACTGTGGCTCCGGCTTCGTCCGCGTGAAATAGGTATTTTGTATCAACATTTATTTATGCAAACAATCTCCCCAGCTTTATAAATTAGCACCCACGACGTTGTCCGTATCCCGTCGTTCTTGCGTGTTGATCTTAAAAAATATAAAAATACTGTCACAAACATTTCTTTAGATCAGTTAAAGAGGAATCAATCAAATATATTTTTCAACGGAAGCCCTCAAAGATGAACCGGTATATATATGTTATATAACCTAAAGGCTGCCTCGATATTCAAACCAAAGCATTTTTAATTCTAACTAGTATGTCCTGAGATTAGCGCGTTCAAACAAACAAACTCTTCAGTTTTATAGTAATATTATGGATATGGCAACGACGATCCGATAGTCTTATTCGTTACAATGTATTATCCTAATAGGCATATTACGTGCTTTAAGCTGCGCTTGCGTCACTTTTATTTCCTTTAACTACACTGTGTTAATTCTCCTATACAAAAATATTCTTGACTACGTTTGCATTTTATTAATCTTGATTTTTTCATTTATTTATGTACTTAATACCTACAGCAAGCCATTATAACCTTGAGAACCTCTTTTCGCTCACGATCGGTCGAACAGCCCAAGAACCGCAATAAGCTTATCTAGTAGTTTAATTACTATGACGTAAATATTTTACCCATTGTATACAGCTTTATAATAAAATATCAATTTGTTAAAAGAACAGTGAACATATCTTGCGCCTTCTCCAAGGTATAGTCATTTGACTGCTGGCCAAATGTCTACGTTTTATAGCGTGTCGTGCTGAAAAGTTTTAATGCCATAGAAATTAAAGTTTTTGCCCACTAGCTTCTTATAAAGCCGCAGTATAAAATGGAGTAATTGGATCATGAATACGTTACTACCCTAAAAATTTAGTTTAATTGCAAACTTAAGTGAAGCAATTTCTCTTCTTCTTTCGAGAGAGTTGTATCCTAAGGACCCCAAAAGGAACTTTGTAGGATAGAGGTAAGGATAAAAAGAATTAATTTGTTTATACAGATTTCTGAGATACTTTTTCTGAACCTTCTCTAACATATTGATGTATTTTTCTTCGTGTGGCGTCCATACCACCGTACTGGTCTCGACTACACTTCGGACTAATGCAGCATATAAAGTCCTAGTAGCTTTATCTGTCAGACCGTGACTATTACGCGAGACAAATCCTAACCTCTTGTATGCAACTTCAGTTATGTTCCTAATGTGTTCACGAAAAGTTAGATCAGGCACAAATGTAACACCTAGATCTTTGACTCTGTCAACTTTACGTATAACATCTACACCTATTCTGTACTCATCATTAACAGAACAGGCTGAGCCACAAAAGGTCATCCATTGGCATTTCTTATTATTAAAAAATAATTTATTTTCCACGCTCCACTTATAAATCGCATCAATATCTGCTTGTAGTAGTAAACAATCGTTCGGTTCCTTAATAGTTTTAAATATTTTAAGGTCATCCGCAAACAATAAAACTTGTGATGAATTAACAACGTCGGGTAGATCATTAATTAAAATTAAAAACAGCAAAGGTCCAAGATTAGATCCTTGGCTTATTCCCGTTAGCGTATGGTAAGTATTCGATACATATGGACCGTATTTAACACATAGAACAATTCTACAACGTTATGTCCTTTATTGATCGGTAGCGTTTCAGAGTATGTAAGTACATAAAAAAGATAATATAAGAGCTTATTAGTAAGTTGTGCAAGGCTTTCACGGCCGTTGTTCAGGATATCATTGTTTCGGGATCTCCTGATGATGCCGTCCGCTCGTGATGGCGAAACGTCGAGATCCTCTATTCGCTCACGTCAGTCGAACAGCCCAAAAAACAATGATAAGCTTATTAGTAGTCTAATTACTATAAGTCATTTATTTACCCCTGTGTAGCTTTATTATAGACATCAATTAAATAAAAGGACTGTCAACATTTCTTGCTACTTCTCTCTAGTTATGATCACTTGAATAGCCTAATGTCTATGTTTTATAGCGTGTCATGCTGAAAACTTCTAATCTATAGAAATTAAAGTTTTTTCCAACAAATTTCTTCTTATGATGAGGAGTATAAAATTGCTAATTCATCTTGAGGTATTAGGATAAAAAAATTATGTGTATTATATTTACAGATAATACACATAAATTTTCTATAATTTAGTAATTTAACAATTGCACCTCCGCTGATTCAGCGTCTAACAAAAACCTTCGTTAAATAATTTACAAGGCTTAGATTTTAAAATGGTGCTTCCATTAAAATTTGGTATAAATTTTAAATTATTTTACTCAGTCGTGACTCAACGTGTACTTTCGTGTATTTTTTAATTGTACTGACTGGGACGTTGTGTTATTACATATTAACTACTACCCAGAATTACCTTTTTGGAACCATATGCAGTTACGCAATCATTCATTTAAGACATTTATTAACGGTTTCAGATGTGAAATGTATTAGGTATATGTAGTGTGTAATTGAAATCAATTAGTAAAACAAGTTAACGAATATAGTATGCGTTTTATATCGTTAAAAGTGTTTTATTTAAATGTACTGCGTACGTAAACTACAGCTATATTTTACTTGGTCGAATCTAAGCATTGTTTATTTATCACTAAAGGCATAAAGAAGCGAGACATGCCATAATTCAATTAATATTACATTGATCTGCCTTTCGAAACTGCGGTTAGATTCAGGAATAGGTACTCTTCTGGTGCTTACTGCTTACACTTGAGCAAATAATACCATTACTTCAATATTGATTTCGACCACAGACTTAGTTGAAATGACGAAATCTCAACAGTTTCACACGTCGAGTAAAAGCAGTAACATTACATTATCCAATGGTATAATTCTAATTGTATAAACTATATGAAGTTACTAAACAACATAAGCGCCTCGCCGTTGCTCCTACTGACCTACCATCTCCAACGCAAGTAATCTATTAGCATGCGAAAAAATGTTATTGAAATACTCGTAATGTATGTGTATGCGGCGATAAAATTAATGTAAACATTTATTCCTCGCTTAATATCTTAAAGCAAAAGTGACTTGTTGTATAATTATGGCAGTGATTTATGTCCTATCCTAAAGGAGAGGATTGAAAAATTAAGGAAAGATTTGTTGTCAATGAAAATTAATATATTTAAAGATAAAATATATTTATTTGAAACAGTATACACGAAATACAACTTAATGTCTAAAAAGAACTATCAAATATCAATTTAGATAAAATTGTGATTAAATTGTTTACTCTATCTTATACACTAAAATTGTGAAGGCAAATTCTCACAGCCACCTTACCTTATTTATTACTACAATAATACTTCAAAATTGTATAGCCTCTATAATTATTGATTTTATATACTTAATTATAATAAATAAAAACAAAATAACATATTAGATGCATAAAAGTTGCATCTAAGGACCTGTGTTGTTAATTTTAACTACGAGAACAACATATAAAGGAAAGCTCAAACACATAATTATTTATTTGCTACAATGACATAAGAAGACTGTCATGTGAAGTTAAAATGGGGACAAATAAAATTTTGGATTGTATTCACTAAGGTATCTAGATAAGATTTTTTCCTGATGAGGACTACTTGGTAAAACAATTAATTAGACAAAGGGACATTTCTGGTTGACAGCAATAAATAAACAACTTTCACAGGCTTTTTTAATATGGTAGCAACATACGGCTAAGCTAGTCGGTACTGTTGTTGGTTTGATCTCTACTGGATCTAACATGTTAAAAAAAATAGACAATTCAAACACAAAGCATTCACCTATCATCAAGTCCTATTTAGCTCTCCTCCTTTATCAAAAAGCCAAGATTTTATGATTTGTCTGTAGTCATACAAATTCAAACATTGCAAATAGCCTGATAAGCCTCAATGTGGCTATTTGGTGCCGGAGTAAAGGTCAACTGACGACTTGCTTTCAAGAAGATGACCACTCCTGGTTTAGCAGCTATTGGTTCAGTGTCACAGACTTCTCCAGAACCCGATATTACTATAAGAATGCTCGGGCTAGACCGAACTATTGTGTTGTAGGAATCTCCGTTTTCAACCTTAGAAAGAATTTTATGCTCATTAAGTTAAGGAATAGAATTATCTCAATTTATATAGAGATTAAAACAAATTACTACAATAATATAATACAACATAAATAAAATAAGATTTTTTTATAAATCTTGCCAGTTCAGAAATGAATGTAAATATCCTAAATTTAACAGTATTAAATGTTTAGTATTTAGTATGCAAAGCATTAACGGTACTGTAGTTAAAATAATTATGTTGAAATTGCCCTCGTGTTCAAATTGTGCTTTTCAGTACATACCTTTATCTTAACAACAGCAAAATCAGGAACTGGTGGTCTCCAAATGCAGCTGTTTTCATCTTCCATTTGTGGAGTAAAGAGCATCTCACTTGGCTTATAGCTGGTGTAGTCCAGCATTCCGATCAGGGTTGGCACATCAATATGTTTTGGGGTGAGACCAGCTCTTACCACATTATCGGAACAGGCCATACATTCAACACAGTCTAGACAACACAATTACAATATATGAGTCAGTAATATACATATTTTATGTATTTTTTACCAATTTCAGTAACTCGCCTCCACTTAGATAAGCATGTGGCAGGTTTGGTTTCAAGAATATCGCTTGCCCAGGCCGCAGTTGCATATAGTTCATAAAGTATGGAGCAAAACACCCCACATCTCCTGGGAAGTCAGCATGTAACTGCTTCAGAAGCGGGTATAGAAGCAACGATTGTGTTGATTCATCTACAAATCAGACATAAAATAACAATATTGCATGTATAATTATAAAAATGGCTTTTCACATATAAAGTAAAAAGTTCATTGTGGTCACAAAGTCCCCGTCAGTATATTCCACAATTTCCAACTGTTAAAAGTTTTATTTCAATTAACAAAGAATCATTTTCATGGGTGAGTTACACTTGTACTGTCATCATCTTAAGTGTGGCAAAACTCAACAATTTGATTAATATGTCTATTAAAAGGGGGGGGGGGGGGGGTCCCCCCCCCCCCCCCCATAAGATCTATATACAGTTCAGATGTGACATTGGAAAACATGATTTAAGAAAGTTAATACAAGCCAGTACCTAGACAACTATTGTCTAAACTACACTACTAATAAAGTAACTAGATATAAAGGGTATTTGAAGGGTAAATTTTGCGGATTCTTATAAGTGCTTAGAGTTATAGGATTTAAATACATCCTGGCTTTAACAAATGATATTCCATCACTATCCACTACTACCATCCATACTAAAAGGAAAGTGTTTCATTAAAGTTGTACATGGATATGCTACTCAAACTGACCATTAAATATTATGGTATCCTAATAGTATTAAGGTTACATCCTACAGGTTCTATATATACACATTAATACCTTCAGTTTCAAGTCGCTGTAATAATGACTCCAGGCTGTTCGATATTTTATTCTTGTCACATGTCATTAAAGACTGAAAGACATCTTTTAATAAGCTTGTACTATCATTCACCGCATTATGAGCAAGTAGAGCATTCACACTATCCTCTGATAAGATATCTGTCAATTCAGGCAGCTCTGAAATTGAGTTGATGTAGTAATAAGATATAAGTTGATGATCTCTCAATACACAATGAGTGAAAATATTTAAGAAGTAATAACATAAACTTAGTCTTTAGTATAACAACTGTATACACATTGTTCATAAGTATATTATATAGTTACATAAATAAATGATGCTTAATTTAAAAAGTATATGAACAAATTACTTACTCATAAGAAAAGTTTTAATTTCAGACAATGGTCTGAAGCCACAGAGCCCCTCAAAATGTGTAAGAGCAATAGCAAGCTCGGGTTTGTGATTTGGATCTTTGTATAGATCTGGAAAGTTTTTGTGGAGGTCTTCTGCATGTTCCTGAAATGTAATAGAAGTACTTAAACATGAGTTCTTCTAAATCAAAACAAAGATAGCACTTACACAACCAACACATCATGATAAAAACATTTTATTTAAGTTTTAAAATTTACAATCACATTAATAAACTATATTAATAACTTTGTATTACAAGTCACACAGCACAAGGACATAAGACAAATAATTTTATTAAAGGTATTCATACCTTAGTGGGATGAGCTTGTATAGATAAAGCCTTTCTAACGGATAGTACTTTTAATAAAAAAGGCACAGATACATCAAATTTTCTTCTAACTTCTGGCCCAATAGCGTCTACATTGGTTTTCAAGTATTCTGATAAAGCAACACCTCTGTCAATTATAATTGATGGACCATTAGGGTGGGTACCCATCCACAACTCAGCGTACGGCTTTGAAGAGTCAATATCATACGAGGAATTCGCAGAAGCGACCAGTTTTGCTACCATACTATCTGCACCTAACTTTCCCCAATCATAATTTTGAACTTTACACTGTAATTCCATACTTTGAACTCCTGAAAAAAGATTCACTTTTATATCTTTACTGCGAATATGTTCCTATATCAACACGATATTAGATACAATGTGCTATATAAGAGGAAATATATCATTCGTTTAATGGTGCTATTAAATTGCCTTACAATAGAAAAGAAAACGCTTGTAAATTGTTATCACAACAGGCACTTTATTGAGTATAAGTAATTAACTATTTTATTACTGTTACATATCAAGGTGATTAGGTAAGACATACTTGTAGAAGTTCAATTGGTTTAGTTCAAATTATCGTAGTATGTTAATAAAACTGTTTTAATTGACTTTGAACAACATAAGACTTATATTTATGAAATTGTTTTGTTTTTCCTTATAGGTTATGTTATACGAATGTCAAATATTTAAGACTGTGATTGTATACTGTCAATTTCAAATCAAGTTCGTTGATAGATTATAAAGCTTATTAACACCACAGATTGCAGAAAAGAAACCCTGTTTCCCTAGCGTGAAAGGATCTTGTGTGTCTAGTTTAACTATTGAATTTACATACAATCAAATCATTTTTTTTGATTTCCGAGTATCTTTGTAATCGAACATTATATTTGTTACACAAGAATATAATTTAGGATTTGAAAGTATAAATGAAGTTCTATTTATCTTTATTTATTTGATAAATAACAGGACATTAACTTAAAAATACTACTAATCATGGAATTCGATTTTATGGAGACACACTGAATGTTAAATTGAATTGAAATTAGGTACCTAATGTTTATAACTAAATGTGATTAAAGCCCCGTCGCTTTAGGTAGTCGTCAATGTCAATTTTCAAATTCTTCAAATCCGAAGTCTTTTCCCCGGGAGGAGCTATTTCTTTCAAATTGTTAACTTTTCCAAAGTTCTGATTTTTTTGGTATAGAGACTCCGGACAGACCTCGATTAAATATTTCCACATTCATTGACTCTTCATTTGTATCACATGAATTGGGCTCGTTAAAATTGGATACATCTCTTAGATTATGCCTTATGTTTTTGTTAGGATTTAATTTTATTTCTACATCCTTGAAGTCCAAATATGGGTACTTTTTCTTGATAACAAGTTGTTCGTACTGCTTTATATCATCATCGTTTAACAAACATTTCCACGTGTTCTTTGGTGGTATGTTAATGTGGTCATAAATATTTTTTCCTATGTCTTGGGTTGTGTCTTTTATTTTTCGTATTGCTGTTTCTAGGTTAGCTGCCATTTTCTTCGTTCGTTCGATAAAGGTATCTCGGTTTGCGTGCATCAAACCACTGTCTAAAATTATTAACACTATGATTATTATTTTTTCCACGGTTCTAACCCATAGTTTACAGGCTGTCAAAGCATCCGAAACGTCGGGCCGGAGTTGAAAATAATTTTTAAATAAGTTTAACTATTATCGCGTTTTAAACGTTAAAGTGTTTTATTTAAATTCTCTTTTAGCAAGACTTACCCTAATAAAATATATCTAATAAATAAATTTGCTTACCGTTTCTTTTCCTGTAGTTGTTGTTTTTGTGTAAAGGAAACGTATAATTAAAGGTCAAGCATAAAAATAAGGAAGCAACCATCAAAACGATTGTTGATCTGAGCATGTTTGAATTTCCTGGAAATTTGTTTAAGCTTTAAGATATTTTGCACAAATTGTTATTTTGTATATATGCCATTTATATGTATACAATGATAAACTTTTGTTCGTCGTTGTCATTGAAAACAAAGGTCTCTTCAGTGAAGATTATGTCAGTAAAAAGGGACAGTATAAAAACATATCAATTGAGTAATTTGGATATAATGTTGTCTGTAGTTTACATTTAAATAAAACATTTTAACAGTTGAAAGTTTCTCCGTGACCACGGCTGCTACAAAGCATCAGAAACATCGGGCCGTAGTTAAAATGATTTTTAAGTAAATTTAACTAAAATATTTCGCGTTTTAAACCGTCAAAGTATTTTATTTAAAAGTGGTATATAGATTCACATGTTATTTGTTATTCTATTACTAACTGTCCCGTACTGTACACACGACAATGTAAAAAAATGTTGCGTGTGAATAAGAAGATAATCCCATAACGCTAAGATGTCAAATAAACGATCCCGCCTCTGGGCCGGAATACGACGGGAAAAGGCCTCCTCATTGGTTGCTATTCACCCTTTCCTCTGCTATCCCGTTTCCATAAGGGAAGCGGGTGGTGGGCGGGGCCAAATCTCCCGAAGGGAAGGTTCACCTGAATACTTTAATGCACGTGCTCTGCGTGTCGCGATAACACGTATCAGACCACAGATAAAACTCGCGCACATTATCGTATTTACTTACCATTTTGTATCTGTGAAAATTCATTTACTCTATGAAAATTTAAAAATGGAAAATGAGAGAGATGTACCCAAAGATACGTCACTCCAAACGCCCCGACCGTCGTCTCCCAGGAAATTTTTCGCGCGCATTTACGGTCATTTAGAGAGTAGAACGGAGGAGAAGGAACGCCCGCTACGTACAGAGAGTGAGTCTTCATCAGATTTGGAGATCGGAGACGAGAGTCCGAAATATCAGCAATGGCCAGCGGCGCCGATACCTGTGTGTCCTCGCCCTATCTTGATGCCGCACCATCAGCTAGCTTTCGGTGCTGGATTAGCCGCGTTTCGTAAGTGTTTAATTTTTATAATTGAACGATAAAGATTTTTAATATATGTACATCATAATTATCAAATATTTTCTGAATATACAGGTTCATTCGTCGTTTTATTTTTTAGTTGTATAATTAGGAACATTTTAAAGTAAACATTAAAAATGACTGATTTAGGCTAAAATTTGCTCTGATGCCATCCTATGTACCTATTTGTCTAATCTTATGTGTTCTTTGTGTACCTACTTTTTTAAACTAAGATTCCGTGAGAGAGTCGATGCAAAATTTACGTCTTACGTACCTACTATGTTCTCTTATTTTCATAAATTTTGTAAATGGATACTCTTTTACTTCTTACAAAAATTATCTACTTACACTTTTCCATTTGACCACAATGCGGTTTAACATTAAGTAGATTAATTATACTTATAGTAAAAAAAAACAAAAAAAAATTAATGTTAAAATATTAACAAACACAAATTGATTTATAAAATTGCAAACTATTCTTTCTTTAAATATTTAAAATGTTTTTAAGTCTCTAAAAAGTTGTCATTTTTGCTGTTTTCAATAAATGTCTAGTAGGTATAGTGAAATGCTAGCTTGAATAAACGGACAAATAAAATCGTTTTATATACTTTAATGTCAGAGTACATTATAAACAATTATATCTTGCATGATTAGGTGATTATATCGAATTATCGACTATGTCCCTGTAATAATATGTTCGATATGAAAGAAATAAAGGGAAAGTATTTTCATCATAAGTTATATATATAAACACTGCTATTGCTATTATTACAATGACATCCCGTATCAAACCGTGGGGTATGGGGCGAACATATGTCCCACTCCCTCATGTTACACTGAGCGATTTTATTCACAGACAAGTATTGATCGGACATTTGTGCACTGCATAACTGAAACAATTTATTGTTTCCCCGAGATTCAAACTCCCGATTGTTGTTGACGCAACGCTAGACATTGAGTTATGGAAGCAATCATAATAACATGATTACTTAATTATAAAGCTAAACCATTGGAGTCCTGTCTCCTATTTATCATAACACTATGGACTAAGTCAAGTGTCTAAAAAGGTACATAAGAGTAAAATAATAATATAAAATATTTAATGAGAGTTATAATTAGGTAATCATCTTCAATTGTAGTTCCGTCGTTCATCTCCGTTTTTTATATTAACGATTTTATAATTATATATATATATATATATATATAATATAGAAAATTGCGATTGGTATGAGATAGTAACAACAATTTAATTTTTCCATATTAATTTTACTTTTCTGTCAAGTTTGATTTTCGTCCCTTCAGTATGAGTCGAGTCATCAGGCATCATCAATGCCACAGACCAACAGTAGGGTTTTGCTGAAAATCAGTGTTGTAGCATAGATGTGCTGCACATCCTAACGTAAGAGCTGTTTCTTCAAATTAAATTTAATCTCTTTGTAATAATTATTTTATTGTAATTAACTTTATTTCTACCACTAGTAATGAATGCCTAATAAATAATATATTATATTATTATTAAGAACGAGGTACATAGTTACATATTTTAATTATTTTTAACGATTTCAGCGAGGCTTTTAATTTTCGCAGTATCGGTAATAACAAGTAAACTAGGTCATTTAAGGAGTATTCAGTAATACAGAACTGTACAAATGAATTACTTCATGTTTTATATCGATTCGATTCATATAAAGCGAAAGAAGATGAGCATAACAAGAATATATATATTTGCCGGTAAATGTAGCTATTTTTATGTTTCTAAAGCTTCAAACGTCGCGATAAGAATAAAAAAAGATCAAGAAACCTCGGACATCCAGGAGGTACAAAGACGGGGGAGATGAAAAGCGTCTGTAATCGTGGAAATAAAATATCACTAGAAAAATACTTTGAATAAACATAATAGAGGTCCGCGTAGATGAAAGCTCGCTTCGTACTTAATCTCCTATCGTTCAACTCTTTGCTGGACGCTGTTAATTCCAGGAAATTTACTATCCAAATTCTTCAGGAGAATATTTTATACGGGTTAGGCTTCTCTAACATTCAATAATGTAAAATATTGATAAGACTCTAGATAGCTTATAAGCTAACTACTTATATTTATACATAACATTTATGAAAAGAAACACCCAAGAAACAGGTTTGAATAAAATTATTTATTTATCAGTATAATATAGATAATATTACAAAACTATTTCAACAGATATCTATCTATACTAATATTATAACGCTGAAAAGCTTCAGTCCTCGCCTATTCCAGCGTCGCGTTCGCCCACGCCGCTCCTAGCACTCCACAGGCTCCAGGTGCTTCAGAATCGGTTCACTCGTGCCGCTACTGGAGTCATCTGGTGCGTGCGGAATGCTAACCTCCACGCCGATCTCGAATTGCTGAACCTCAGTCGGTATTTCAAAGAAACGTCCGTACGCTTGTTTAAAAAAGCCGCGTCGCATACGAACCCTCTGGTGGCCCGGGCCGCCAACTATACCGTTCCCGTCAATACACGCTGCAGAAGACCGTGAAACGTTCTCACCGACCCCGACGACAACTTAACCGAAGCCGTCGATACACTAGTCTCAACGCGATCCGTCGGTGCCGGCGCTGATCGTCCGCAAAACCGCCTTCGCCGGCGAGGCTATTCGCTCCGCGTACCGCTCACCCGGGTGAGCTTCCGTCCAGCTCTTCAAGCTCCCACCCGCATTGCGCTGCTGCGCTCGCCCAAACGTCCGGTTAGTTTTCGAAGCCCCGGGTCCAAAACGGATAAAAAAATTTTTTACGTGGCGACCTTTTGCGACGGAGTTGCGAAAACTGTAGGTGTATAAATTTATATAAATGATCTAAATAAAGTCCTCGGCATCATATGTCTATCTTTTGAGAATAACTCGCAAGAACGACGGGACGTGCACGATGTTGTGTGTAACAGCTATATTTTAATAAATATTATGGCGCCTATAATAACTACTGATTAAAAAGTTAAATAGATGACGATGTCGGTTCAAATACTGCCCGAGTCGACATATTTTTCAATTCATTTTCGATTTTTAATCAACTACATATTATACTATACTACGGAGACATCTAGTTTCAAATAGTTATTTACTGGTAGTTGTAAGCTTCAAAATAACTTTTTGCGCTTTATCTATAGTTTGGAAGGTCCGAGATCCGATTCTTATCAATTTACTTTCACGTTGTAAATGATTTTTCTCGTCTAAATATTGTCCCATCACATCAATCGTGTTTCAGCGTTACACGAAATCTTATTAGCTAGTATCTGGCTGAAAATAGAATAACGGTTTGTCGCGTCGTTTAAAAGTGTCTCGAGCCGGTGCCTGCAGAGGCGGAAGGCAGAAGCAGAGGCTTCGGGGAGGCGTGATGCGATTAGCACACCACGTCCCAATGCCCCGCGGCGCCGACGAGCTGTCCCATTATGGTTCGCTCTCGTGTGAAAATTGCCGGCGATTCTGCTACACCGCGATAAAATCTATTGTTCGACTCTTATAACTATAGCGGGGAGACGGGCCGTGAAACTGAATAATGAAAATTACGTCTATTCAAAATTATGAAAACCGACGCTTACCTATATTTATTTTCAAGTGTTTGCACAGAGTTTTTCGTTGATATTAAATCCTTATAGATGATATAGGCTCTTTAAAATTAGGGACGAAAATTGTCTATCCAAAGAGATTAGTCTTACGTAAATTACCTACTGCTAACAATTTATTCGATATTTTAAAGTGCAGTACTTTAAAATATCTAATTATAGAGTTTTACTGTACTTCATCGTTTAAGTACATTTCATATAAGAATAAATTCAAGTTGACCGTTAACCTGCGCGTTACTACTGTTCGGATAAGCGATCATTCGGTTAAGCGACGTTCGGATAAGCGACGCTCCACTGTAATTCATTTCAAATAATCAAGTAGTCGTAGTATCACTTCCCACCTAGTCAAGATGTCTTTATAACCACGATTTTTCTCATATATGTTAGATTTCGTCTGGAAAATCTGGATATTAAATCAGTGGTCGAACTCGTCCTGAGATGGAAAAGCCAAGCCAAAATAGGCCGACAAAGCATCTTATACCTATAGACGGTTACGAAATACCCCAGATTTCACCTTCAATAAAATGAATTCCATATTATCTATGATAAAAAATACATTAAGAATATCTCATAATAATAACGCTAATTGTGCGAGGTTTGTGAATCGTGATACCCCATGAGAGACAGCATGTGCACGGTTCATTCCTTTGGAAACATAACATTGTGATTTGTATTAGCTTAGCAAATTGTACCGCATTTTTACATCGTATTTAAGCAGATTGCCGGATTGCTGGAACCGAGCGCGTTCTAACGTCACTAATTGAGTGGCTTCAACAGCTTTTTTAAAAGTAGTAGAACTCATTATTTTTTTAATGGGGGGAAAAGTTTAATAGCGCATTAAAATATGTATACTTGTTTCTCCAGTCGCGCATTCAAGACACTCCACCACACACTATTATATTAGCAGAAATCCAGTTTTGTATTTTTCGCACTATAAATGTGAAAACTGAAAACAACTCTCACTCTCACCGACTATGCTATTTTGGAAACTTTAATATTTTGTCACATGATGGCACTATCTAATTTAAAAATCGATTATAAGTTGAAAAAAATTACGACTTGGGGCAGGACTTGAACCGGCATCGTCAGCGTTCCTTGCTGTTGCTCTAACCAATTGAGCTACCGAGTCCGCGAGTTGAGTACCGACAGCAACAGCCCGGAACGCTGGTGTTGCCGGTTCAAGTCTTGCCAGCCGTAATTTTTTTCAATTTATAATCGTTTTTTTAATTTAGACTGTGTATTTTTTTATCAAGAGTTTTTCTATAGCTCTATATAAGTAGTATATATGTTGTATTTTAATAATAAAGCATATTTGAAATCTTTATGAACAACAAATCAGTTCAAAAACAAAGCAAACCGTAGCTTCGTATTTTAATATTTATCTGAACACTCGTAGCACATCGCTATCAATAGAGAACCAATGAAGCAAACCATCTTGGCAATATCAATATAAAAGTTGTATCTCCATTGCGAACAATATTCAAATGGAAATCAGGTGTTCTTTAATCCGGCTGCGATGGTCGAATGAACTCGTAATTAGGGGATCAGTAATGAATATTTAAGGGAGCAACCCCAATCTATTATCTTATTGTTAGTATTGTTGACTAATCACGATTCTTTTTTAAACGGCGGATTACAAAACAAACATTAGAGGGTGAAAAATAATAGATACGTTTATTGGCGATCTGAGGTTTGATTTAAAGACGTGCTAGATAAACAACGAAACGAAACAACCATAAATGTGGATATTTTATAATTTTATATATTTGTTTTTTTTTTATTATACGATGTAGGAAATGATAAAAATTCGCGAAATTTTATGTCGAAGTGTATGGGATTTATGAACGTATGACCATTTATACATTTTAATATTTGCAAAAATCTCTATCCACCAATTGACCTTGCGATACAGCCTGGTAGTCAGACACACAGACGATAAAGTTTTAAATACAATTATAGTAGTAGGTATAGACCCTTCGTGGAGTCCTAAAAATGCTGTAATTCTTATTTGGTGATTGTTTATAAAAATATGTTTAATAAACACTAAGCTACTAAGGTAACAAATTAAATAACATTGGAAATACGAACAAACATTTGTCTTTTCGATCGAGACTTGCAATCTTTAGTGAAAACCATTAGTAGTAGACAATATCAATACTAATTGGCCAAAAAAAAATCTAATTCATTATCTTAGATCATACCAACCGGGGTTATTGATCAATAACTTTTAGTTTATTGCTTAATATCCCTATGTTGTATTTAATTAATTAATAGTTACAACAGGAAATAATGACAATATTAAAATCGTTATCATAATACACGCATCAAAGCTGGATGCACAATGATTTAAAATGACAACACTCAGATTATGGGCCCCATTGTGGCTCAATTACACACAAGTGTTAAGGGGAACACAGCTGATGATTCTCACTTTAAACCTCGTTATAGGGGTAAACAATATTGCAAAAATATAAGCCGTAAGCTTTTTATTTAAATGTCTGGCACACAATAAGTCTACGAATACATTTGGTGCAGTTCCGCTAGAGTAGTGAGTCGCAGAGAGTTCCTAATGATTTGTTATATAAATTCAAATAAGTATTTATATAAAAAAAAATTACATTCAAATAATTAGCTGAACACTAAACACGCTACTTTGAACGCATTTGTTCTGTACAATCCACATTATAGTGATTGTAGTGTATCCTCTTTCAAGATTCCTTTGTTTGTAATTGCTGTATTTCGTATCCAGCATTGGGGGAATGAGCAGTTATACAATAAAAGATAACTGAGCAATCCATCACGCACTTATTGTGGCTAACGATGAAAATCATGCGAAATACTAATATTTTTCTATCATTTTCTTAAGCATAAGGCTTTGAGGACTTTTAAAAAATATTTCTTTAATTAATTTCGTCTGTCCTCTGAAATCAATACAAACATTTTTAAGTGTGAATTTCTTCATCTGTACGATGGCTTTACTTGAAATTAAAAGTGTGAAAATGTCTCAAGATAATAACAAAGTGGAAGAAATGATAGTATAGTACTTACATATTATTGTTGATCCTTGTTATATAAATTTGATCTCAATGCTTTGAGATTTAAATAAATTAAAAATGAATTAAATACATTAGAAAACTTTAATATTTTTCACGTGTTATTGCACATGCGTTATATATATCAATTGTAGGAGAGGTGCCGTGAGAGATTCGTTGACGTGCAGGTAGCTCAATTGGTTAGACTTTAGAGCAACAACATGGAACGCTGTGGATGCCGGTTGAAGTCCTGCCGGTATCGTAAACTATTTTCAACCTAAAATCCATTTTTAATTTAAACTAACAACAGTTGAGTACATTAGTGAAAAGATGATATGCATTGCAATAGTTCGAGCCGTCTCATTCTATAAATGACAAAATTATTACATTAATCTGGTTAATTAATTGATCGAATTCGTGATGAGTGGACAAAGCTTAGTGGATCGTAAATCATTGATATTGAGCCGCGGACGCACAGCATGGCTTCACCCGTTAAATAACGACAGTTGTTCGATAGAGATTTCCGTAGCACTTACCGGACTGTGATACAGATAATTGGGAATTCTTTACCTGTTACAATAAGGAAGGCTTTAACATACACGTTTACTTCATTAGGTAAATCTACGTATAGTAATATCTTAGAATGATAACCATTTAAATAAAACACTTTAACGGTTGAAAACGAGATATATTAGTTAAACTTTTTTGAAAATGCTTTCGGATGCAACTGATATATCGCGTTTTAAACCGTTGAAGTGTTTTATTTTAAACTCGCGTAAACTATAGATGTATATAATATAGTTTGTATGTTTAACTATTTGTCGCGTACACCATACAAATCTTGTTTTTATTTATTTTGCCTGGATTCCTGCATTTTATATTGCCTGGATTGACCACTTGGTAGTGATAAGATAATCGTATTGCAATGCATTATGGTTTATGGTATACCCGTATATTATATAAGTTATAATTGTTCAACATTGTGTCATTAATTGAACCACCAATTGGAAGAAAAGAGTAAAAAAAATAGGAACAGGGATAATACAAAACTTTATAACTTTTTACTTGCAACCTATATGCTTCTGGGATCAATCATTATTAAGAAGATTTTAACGCCTCATTTATTAATCGTAATGCCTGTCTTAAATGTATAATATTTATTTTTGTGTGTTCATCAAAATGCGTACTTATTATAGTTTTAACAAAAGTATATTTCGCAGCTCATACTAGAATTATTTTAATTAAAATGTGTCCACACGACGTCACCGCATGTTCAAAGTACCAGTTGGTAAAAGATTATGACATTATAAAATATCCGTGATTCGTCGGCAGGGCTTCCGAATATTTCCGGGACAATATGGTGCGGAATCGGAGTACCCACAAGTTAATTTTTTATTAGCTAAATCACTTCCCCCTGATTGCAGGAACCGCAAGAAACCTTATTATACGATAACTTATGTTCTTCATTTTAAAGGCATTGCGTATTTTGAGATAACAATTTTTGCAGTAGCGAGTGTAATTACTTCCTAAGTATCTACCTACTATGTAATAAAAACATCAAATTTTATAAAAGCTATACAATTCTATACCTCTAGAGCCTCTGTAAGCGTCTGTTAAGCGTGAGAGGTCCAGGGTTCGAATACCAAGTAAACAACCGGAACAATTGTTTCAGCCAGGCAGGGCACATAAGTCTGATCCACTACTTGCCTGTTACACAACGGATCAGTGAAACGGACACAGAAATGTGTTCACCCCATGCCCCACGAGCGGGAAACGGGATTTTTAATAAAAATACATAATACAATAAAACAACACACATACAATAACTAAAATACCTATTTGTGCATTTTCTCCCGTTATTTTTTCTTATATCTGGTGCATGGGGCTGACACCAAAGTGTGTACATTTTTCGAGTGATAGGTATTATTTAAATGCCAACTATTGGGCTAAGGAGATGGTGAAAGTTAAGAAAGCTATAGGCATTTATCTTCTATTCAACCTGATTTAAAACTTGACTATGAAACTTATATGATTTTATACGATTTAGTACTGTGGGGGAATTTGATGTTTTGCGTATTTATCATAATAACATTTATTAAGTCTTATTATTATTTATTTAGTGAGTTAATATTATTATTATAACTTTTAAGAGGTTATCTTAAAGATTAATAAATTTTTTAATAAATAGTAGTAAGAAAAACTTTGTATACTATTTTTCTGTTCATTTACCCTGGTGTTATTGCGTGGGTTATTAGCTATGTGATATTTTATCATAGTGGCCAGACGAAGACGCAAGGAGAGCCGGCCTAGAAGACAACGTACCACTTTCTCTGCACACCAGACATTACGACTAGAGCTGGAGTACGCTAGGGGTGAATACGTTGCACGTGCTAGAAGGTACGCATGTAGGGGCGTTTGATATATTATTTATTTAAGCTTATGTTTAGTATTTTTCCCGACTTTATAAATACAACTTCTCTTAGAGTAAGATTCTCTTTTTTTTAATATAATTATATTAGTTGACAAATAAGAAGACAATTTAAAAATCGAAAATAAATTAAAAAATTTTCGACTCGGGCAGGACTTGAACCGGCATCGTCAGCTTTCCGTGCTGTTGCTCTATCAATTCAGCTATCGAGTCAAATAATCAATCTAACATCTTTACAAGAATTTAAGTCTTATGTTATCTATATTTCCAGGTGCGAACTGGCATCCGCGCTATCGCTTAGCGAAACGCAAGTCAAAATCTGGTTTCAAAACAGAAGAGCCAAAGACAAAAGGATCGAAAAAGCACAACTGGACCAACAGTACAGGTAACAAATATTAAAAGTTGAAAATATTTGTTTATGCATTGACAGGTGGATTTTTTAATGTAATTTACAGCATTACGTTTTAATACAAAAATATTATAATATGTTTGGTAATGAAGCAAAATAACAAGTTTAAAACTTGAAAATGAGCAGCTTAGTAAATGGAATCTATTTATGTGTAGACTATACTTACCTACTTATACGTAATATTTCGTTCATGAACGTTCGTATTGTATAGGCACACTTTACCTGAAAAACCACGTTCATTTATTATATTTTTTCAGGCAATTAGCTGCTGCTTCTGGATTCTTTCCAACAATGCTGCCTCCGTCATATACAGCCCCCCCTTGTCCATGCTTACCGGTACAGACGCCGCTGAGCACTAACAAGTAGATTTTTGTAATGTATGTTACTTTTGTAAATAACTGTTAGGTAAACTTTTTCAAACAAACCATATATTTCAAGCACGAAATATCGCATTTACATAGAACTTTATGATAAACCAAATAATAATTAATATTATGAATAAACATAATGTATGTAATTTACGCGAGTAATATTAAATAAAACAGTATAAAACACGAAATATATTAGTTAAGCGTCGGGCCATAGTTAATTTGTAAATAAGTTTACCTAATATTTTTCGTGTTTTAAACCGTTAACGTGTTTAATTTAAAAATGTGTAAAAAAACTTTATCCTTCACATATTTTTTTCTACTTTCTGTAACTCCATTACAAAATGGTTCCCTATGGGACATATTTCAGTCACTTGTAATAAGTATAAGAATTAATAATAGTATTTATTTATAATTTATGTTGTTTAAGAAAAACGTGATATTGTTACACACAGTATTAGGTATATGACCATAGAATTTTTACGTTATTGTATAATATATAATTGTAAATACATTTTCTTATTAATCTGTTTAAGCTAGCGATGTCATAGTAATATTAAAGTATTCGAAATAAAATGTTTACGGATAAGGTTTAATCAGTTGAGCTTCAGGTCTCATTTATTGGCTTGACCCCAGTGCAATCGAATGCTCATTTGATACAGAATATTTATATTAAATTCGAATGGCTGTGTCAACGATCAGTTTCAATAATTTAACTAGAGTAGAGGTGTAAATAATAGAGCCATTGAATAATGTCATACGTTTATTTCCATCAAATTATGAACTTACCATGGCCTTTTCCACGATCGTTGTCTCAGGCGTAGAAGAGTCCATGGAACATAGTGTTTTTTTTAAATATTGCACACAACACCAAACAATTAGAATACAATAAAATCCTTATAATAACGAGAAATAAAATTCGACATGACCGCATAACAAGTTACAGTGACAAAAACACGTCAACGTCATATGATAAAAATATAGGAATTTCTCTTGCGAATGAACATAAAAAATATCTCAATTGTGGAATGTCGAAAAGTTAGTGTCTATCTTATTAGTAACTATAGATCAATATTATTTTCTTACTACCTAGGAACATGTATTCACAGTTTTCACAATAAACTAAAGGACGACTCCGTGTCAAACTCAATATGTTCAGTGAAATGTCGAAGTAGAAACTGTGTGTGCTGAGACATGATCTCGGGTACGCACAAACCTTAACATAGCCTAACCTAATTGTAGTGGTTCCTGTGGCCCTCACTAGGTGCGGTCCTACTCTAACCTCCTGCCTAGTTTCATCTAAGCGCAACTTGGTACCTAAGTGTTAAAAACGTCTCATGAATTACATCGCCTAGCGCTGAAGACGAAAGTAGAGCCTGTTTGTAGACAACATTTCTAATCTAATGCCTACTTGTATGTGCGCTAGTAAACGAAATTAGAAAAACGAAAGTAAAATCGCATGTCACACACATAGGGTATTTGAATTCACAAGTTCGGCAACAGCTGGAGATAACTTCCTCCAAGCATTTCCGTAAAACTTATTACAATACATTCGAAATCCATTTTGGATTTAAAACATACCACGGGACTATACTCTTTCCTACAAGCGCCTAGCAACCGAACTACCGCGTTGGTTGAGCTGCAGCACGGAACGCTGTGTTCCTGGGTTCAAGTCTCATAACATTTTTTTTTCATAGATGTTTAGTTGGCACAAAGCTATCATGTAGAAATGTTTTAATTACTACAATACTTTCAAATACCCGATATCCTTACGCCCTACGCTGTTTTAAACGTAATGAAGGTTTAATTTGCAAGTTTTGTTCACCTACAAGGACAGACGATATGACGGACATACAAAGGTATACTCACAAGAGGTCGACGAATTAAAACCGACGCTGGTTACCAGTGGGCGCGTTACCGAAGTTACCTCCGCCGCCCCCGCCCCCGCCTGTGCTGTATCCACCTATAAGGAATACTAATATGAGGAACTAAGCTCTTTTCACCCCGTCACGCCCAAATGGAGTGTCAATGTTTGATACAATTTTGCATGAAGGTTGCGTTACCGAAGTTAGCATCGCCGCCGCCGCCTGTGCTGTAGCCACCTAGAAGAAAATATTTTTATGAGGATGATGGTTGGATATTTGTTACTAGAGTGATAAATTTTAATAAGAATACACCCAGAAGTAACTTAATATAAATAGTCGAAGAGGTGACAATTGTTTTTTACTTTCATTTTGGTGTTTTAAGGTTTTTCATTCATTAAAAATCTATTTATCTATATATAATCGATAGATGGAAATACAAGACTACTTAAACTCAATTAGTTAGAGCAGCAGTACTTAACGCTGAATGCCGGTTCGAATCCCGCCCGTGTCAAAGATTTTTCAAACTGAATATATCATCAATATCATAATATACATTTTAAAAGACCGAATGACACAAATACTTAATGAAGCAGACTTAATTATTTAACTGACCCGAATTAGTCCTAATTTGAATAAGATTATAAAAATGTATAGTAATCTTATAACTCATTGGATACTGAGTAAAAAACCGACCTCCACCATAGGGCTGCTGCCTTTGGGCGTTGAAATTAGGTCGCATTGGTCCACCACCAAAATTCTGTTGGTATCCGCTGCCAAAGTTGTCAGGAGTTTGATTCCAACCACCTTGGTTGCCGTAGCCCTGGTTCCATCCGCCACCAGAGTTGTCCCATGGATTCTGGTTGTTCCAGCCACCTTGGTTGTAACCTAAGAATTAAAGACAAACAACTAGAAGTAGGAACTTTAAATTAAAAGTCTGAAGTATGGTATCATTTTGTGCAAGGGTTGGGACAATAAGGACTCACAAACATAATATAATATATGTATATGTTTTATTAAGATAACTTATTTTGAACTACGTCCTAAAATATGCTTGATAATGATAACCAATGTTCAAAAGGAAATGTATACTAAGTATTTCCTGTAAACAATGTGTTGTATTTAAAATGAATTGAAAACAAACTAGTATATTCTGTACTTTAAACCTTAAAGTCTATACAAACATAGTTATAAATAATGTACATAAGAATTTAAGAAGGGCGCGTTTTTGCAAGAAAGAATGAAAACAGCAGAGCCCTGCTTATCAGTGATCGTGAATCGTTAGATAAGATAGTTTAGTTTAGTTTTTATGTTTGTATGTTCTTGATGATTGGTAGTTGGTTGTTTTTAGTTGTATTTTAATAGTCGTATAATTTTATTTTGTTATGTTACTTTTTTACCAGAACGTGAACAGAATTAAAAGTAAAATTCATAGTCTGAATGTAAATGTATTGAAAGCAATTTTGATATATTTGCTTAACTGAGACGAACCTGGACCCTTCGGTTAAGGACAGTGAACTTTTAGACAGTCGTTACAGAATTTTTAGGCGGGACCGTGACGGAAATACAAGCCGCAAGGTCTCAGGGGGGGGTGTGTTAGTGGCAGTTAAGAAAGAATTTATTGTTGAAAGAATTCATAAATGGGAATCTGACGTGGAATGTATATGGCTTAATTTTAGTATATTTAAAAATAAATACTTCAACAAAAACATTAAATTATGCCTTGTGTATCTTCCACCGGACTTGCCTACTGACAAATTAAGCGCCTTTTATGATCAAACTGCGGATATCTTATCTAACTCAGATGACCCTTTTTTACTATTGGGCGACTTTAACACACCGTGTATAGATTGGCTGTTGACTGGGGTTGGCGCGATGAAGACCGTGGAGGCCAGGTCCGTCTTTTGGATGTTAAGAGTGATTGAAGGATTAGTAATTTGTAACCTTTATCAATATAATTACCTTCAGAATGTAAATAATCGAATAGATTATTATTGTTCGTGACATCTCGGTGTTCCTAATAGTCGCATGCATTATCAAAACAGGACGTGCATCATCCTGCCTTTGAGGTCAGTTTAGGTGGCACTTTAAGACCTTTTCTGAAATGTCGCAAGAATAATGGGCTTCTTAATTTTAATTTTAGAAAATGTAACTTTAACAATTGCAGACATGAATTATGAGTACCAGTTGGAAGTATATCTGTCCTCAACAGATGTGAATGGGATTTAAATGAATTTTACAGAATCTTAATGAAATAGTTAAAGCTAATACCCCATATAAAAGAAATTTTGTTCAAAATGCTATTTGGTTTAGTAGTTCGTTAAAGAAGTGCCTAAGAAAAGAATAAATTTCATGAAAAGTTTAAAAAATTTAAAAACCCCCGGGATTATGATACTTTTTCTCTTTTACGGAAAAGATCGAAAAAAATGATAAAAGATTGCTACCGTAAATATATCAATAGCATAGAAACAAATCTGTTGAAAGGCAATTCTAAATTATTTTGGAATTTTGTTAAAAACAAAAATTTAAACTCCTCTATTCCACCTTCTGTTTATTTTAATGACGTCACTGCCACAGATGGAGAAGATATCTGTCAAGTGTTTGCGGATTATTTTCAAACTGTATATGAGTTTGGTAATTCTTCTGCATCAAACGTTAATTATAATTCAGACCAACACTTTAATTGCCTTGGTAGTGTGCGTATTGATGTAGATGAAGTATATAAGATTTTAAAAGGAATTAATCCTAATAAAGGTGTGGTCCCGATGGCATCCCGTCGATTGGAGGTCGTGCAGTGACGTCCTAGCCGAGCCTTTGACAATAATCTTTAACAAATCATTGACGTCAGGAATTTTTCCCGACTTGTGGAAAACTGCGCATGTTGTACCGATACATAAATCTGGTGACAAAGCAAACGTCTGCAATTATAGGCCAATATGATTCTAAATTGTTTTGCGAAAATTTTTGAACGCGTATTTTTGGAAACTTTACACTCACATTAATCAGTTTTTACTTCCTGCTCAACATGGTTTTGTATCGCACAAATCTACTACAACAAATTTAACTGAATATATTAATGTTCTATTTAATGTCATTGATGATAGAGGTCAGGTAGATGTCATCTATACTGACTTCCAGAAGGCATTTGACAAAGTCAACCATGACATACTTCTGAAGAAGCTTCTTTCCTGCGGTATTCATGGAAATTTACTACGTTGGTTATCGTCTTACCTAAAAAATCGCTCGCAAATTGTAGCTATTAATGGAGTCTTTCTAAAGCAATTTTAGTTCCCTCTGGGGTCCTCAGGGATCGACTAGGGCCTTTATTGTTTGCCCTCTTTATAAATGACTCACCCTTAAATTTCAATTCAAATACCAAATATATTTTCTACGCTGATGATTAAAATTATTCAGAAGAATTAGAAGTATTTCCGACTGTATTACTCTTCAAAATGATTTTATATTCTTGATCCTGGTGCCGTTGTAATTTAATGAAACTTAAGTAAAAATGTATGTAGTTATTTTACAAATAATTTAAATATAATTGATTACTCATATAAAATCTCAGATATATCTCTAACAGTAAGACCTCTATAGGGACCTAGGTGTTATCTTTGATAGTAAATTATTTTTATTGAACATATTGATATGTTGTAAAAAAATCAAATCAAATACTTGGATTTATTTTACGAACGACAAAAACATTTAATAACGTAAATAGTGTGATAGTTTATACAAATCTTTGGCCCGTAGTATTCTCGAATATAAAGTTTGTCACCTTTTTATAAAGTACAATGATGAGTTGAATCTACCCAGAAACGCTTCTTAAGAATGTTATGTAATCGTTATCGTCTGCGAAATTCTCTTCGCACGTATGATAGTCGTCTAAAATATTTCAATTTGGATTCTCTTGAAAGGCGTAGAAAATACATTGATTTGATATTCATGTACAAAATATTAAATTACATAACTCATACTGAGCTACTTTCAAATTTTTCTTTTCACTGTGCGCTCAAGGTTATAGAAACAATTGCCTCTTTTACTCTCCAACGCCCCGCCTTGCGACTTTGCCAATTCCCCGATTAAGAATGGTTAGATCATACAATAAATATCTAAAAATGAAAGATATAGACATATTTCACAACAGCCTGTACAGATTTCGTGTTCTAGTGCGACAGGATTAGGTTAGTTTAGTTCACGTTGTCTCTGTTTCATTTCACATCTTTATTTTGTGATTAGTATAATAGATAAAATAGAATTAAGTTTTAATTGTGTGCTATTACCGTATGCAATGTGTTCTGATGACGTATATGAAAAATTATTGAAAAGTATGTAAAAACAAAGTGTATGGAAACCAAATAAATAATAAATAAATAAATAAATTTACATTATGTGCCTTGTGACTCTCTTTAAGCTAATTTCTAACTACTTACCACCAGAGTTGCCCCAGTCTTGTCCTCCTTGCCGGCCTCCCCAGCCGCCACCGCCTCCTCCGCGGCCACCTCGACGCCCGCCGCTACCGCCACCGCTGCCGCCTCCACCACCACCGCCAATTTCCGACTTAGATAACGCCTTCTTTACGTCTAGTCTGTGGCCTTTGATTTTGTGGTTCTGGTGTACTGAGAGACATGACTACCAATGAATATAAGCAAGCCGTGAGACTTTTTTGAGTTATGATAAAACAAATTATTTTGCATTATCGTCTCAATGCATTTTCACATCAGTTGGGATAGTAGTTTATCCTTGTATAATATAAGTTATGTACCTTGGCAAGGCTTCTATCGTAAGAAAAAGCAGAATAATATAACATTTGATTGGTTAAATCTTTCTTACTCACAGCATATCCTATCCACAGGGTCATAATCGTCAAATTCAACAAAACCAAATCCCCTCTTCTTTCCAGTGTCTTTCTCTGTGACCAAAACAACCGACTGAATCTCGCCATATGAACTGAAATACTCCCTTAAATCTTCTTCCTCTATATCTTGTTTCAGACCACCAACAAACAGTTTCTTTACTGTGGCACTGGCATCTGGTCTATTGATTTCCTCCCTGGGAACTGCCCGCTTAGGTTCAACAACCCTAGAAATGATAAAGAATGTATTAGCTATTATAATAAAATAAACTACATTTCATTAATTCTTTTCACTCAAGCAATATTTTAAAGGTTAAGTCTTTACAAAAGTAATTAGCTATATTTAAATGGATTCACATTAACCTTCCATCAATCTTATGAGGTCTATTTTTTTGTGCATCGTCAACCATGTGAGCATGTGAATATGTTATAAAGCCAAATCCCCTTGACCTCTTGGTTTGTGGATCTTTCATGACCACCACATCAACAATTTCACCCCATTGTTCATAGAATTCCTTTAATGATGTATCTGTTGTCCTGTAGTCTAAGCCACCAATAAAAAGCTTCCTAGTGTGCTCTGGTTCTTCCTATAATGATATAAAGCTAAGATAGAGTAAAACCAATAAAACATTTAGTTAGTTTTAACTAAGCCTTAGATTTTTTCACTGTCATATGGTTTATGAAAATTTTAAGGCCTATAACATATAGAACAAACCCTAAATACCTATAATATGCTAGAACAGTCTAGAATGTTTAAATTATTCAACAAAGTAACATAAAATGTGTTTTATTTTTAAGTTCATATTCTAACTAACTGTAAATCAATAATCAGTACAGTAATTTTATTATTACTTTAGAGCTAATATTACAAATTTAGATTTATGCCTTATCATGTTTTTTCTCAACTTTCTAATTGATTTCAAGTGGACCATGGCTGTTTTAAAGTGTACAAAAACATTATTCCCACAGAGCAATTTCCAAAACTTTCCTTTCACTTGTAATACTTAAAGTTCATGACCCTATAGAACCCACAATTCAAAATGTTTAAAACTACTTTAATTCCGTTCTTATAATTCTAAGTGAGTATTACACAGGTAATAATTGGTTTTAAAAGGCATGTTTGTTGTAATTTATGTCCAAAACCCGGTGACATGTTCAAACAAATAAAATTATATTTTAAATGGTAAGTATACTCACGAAATCATCTCCACCGCCGCGAGGTTTCATTTTCAATTAGTCGTAGTTTTCTTATCTGTACAGGAAACAGAAATTGACTATATTAAATAATGTAAATAAAAACCACCATTTCAGAATACTCTGATGTGGGCAGTTCAGTTTTAGTGCGCGGGTGTTCATTAAATATGTGGCATATGTTCAAAAGTTAGGCAAAGGCAAAGTTTTTTAATTATTAAAGCAATACATACCTTTTTTATTCCCCAAGAATCAAAAACTAGAAAATATTATTTAAAATATAAACCGAAGCAAAACGATGGCTACGTTGCTTATAGCGATAAAATAAAATATTTAAAATGATAGATGTCATTTCAATCCACTCCACGTTATAGTCTATAATAAGTCCACAGATAAACAATAATAAGATTAGAGCAATGACAGCCAAATATGCTGCCATGCATTTTGCAGGTACTAGTAATAAATTATAGTACGGTAGTATAAAACGAAGTCGTTATTTAATTGATTTATATAAATACTATATATTATTTATATAATAAATAATTAAGCAATTTTATATGATGTTCGTTATTTGTTTGTGTTACGTAATATTCCTGCTTATAGTAATCTTGTTCACACTAGCCTTACGTGTCTATTCAAACAACTTCTGCCCTGTCCATCAGAAGATATTTCGATTATAGTACTGCGCTTGGGAGAGGCATAGTGACGCTATGACGCCTCAAGGCGTATAGAATATAAACGCGCAAGTTCTACTAAGTACTTCTAAGAAGCGGTTGTAAAATCGTTAAAAAATGATATGTTAATTCAAACACCAATCATGACGTCAGCTAAAATATATGCTAAGACCATAAATTCTACCTTGAAAAAAAACTTGTTCTAAGTAGATAAATCAATTATTTATTATATTTCTCTTAGCAATCTCATTTTACACATAATATTACACGAACATACTACATAAAATTCGTTCATGAAATTTTCAATTTTATTAATTTAATTCTCAGTTAATTAGCATTTCAGTAATTATAGTATACGAAAATGTGTTGACAGTTCATTATGCTTTGTACTAGCTTCATGTGACTATGGTACTATCTCTTTCAATACGGCCGAACATCACTATAACTGTTTTTAACTTTCAACTTTGAAGTTTTAATGAATTCTCTTTTTGGCGTGGCTTCGGACTTGATAGGACGTGAGAGTTAAATTAGAGATTAAAGCTATCATAATATTTGCCAACATTTTAAACTTTTTTAAGTAATTCCATACAACATAAGAAACTTTTCGAAAATTGTTATTGTTTTATTGTGAACATGAGGCCGCAAAATGGAGACGATGGATTTGTAAGTTTTTGCGTTTTTTTATTATATAGGAAACATGTAATATTTCTACAATTTTGAAATTATTTGGTATGACATTTTATTATATATACATAATATAATAATAATTTCCCTAGTGTGTTTTTAATATTTTTATGCCACGCACAACTAACGCCGGCCGCCATTTTGTTAACCTTGTGTATTGCTTTTAGGATGAGCCAGAGGTTCATCGCAAAATCTTTATCGGCGGCCTTAATTACCGTACAACAGACGAGTCCCTCAAGACCCATTTCGAGAAATGGGGCGAAATCGTCGACGTGGTGGTTATGAAGGATCCCAAAACGAAGCGGTCGCGTGGGTTCGGCTTCATCACGTATTCAAAAGCGCATATGGTGGATGACGCACAGAACAATAGGCCGCATCGTATCGATGGACGGTACGTTTTTAATTGTTTAATATCACTGCAGTCCAGCTATATGAATGCTTATTTATTGCTTTCATATCGTTTTATACTGCAAAAAATAAAAGACAACACTTGGTGAATGTCGCGATAGTCACATACACGTGGCATTTTCAGTGAGGTCGACAACCCCCCAATTTATGCGTTCAGCATTTGTCCTCATTTCTACTGTTAACATAACCTCAATTTAACAAAATATGAATTGAATGTCCTCAGTTGGTGAATATTTGTTTTATATTTTTGCTTTTAGATTTGTTGAAACAAAGAGAGCAGTTGCCAGACAAGATATTAAAAACCCTGAGGCTGGTGCCACAGTCAAGAAGTTATTTATTGGAGGCATTAAAGATGATCATGAGGAAGAGCAGTTGAGAGAATATTTCTCCAACTATGGTGAAGTAAAGAATGTTAGCATTGTCACGGACAAGGCTACAGGCAAAAAAAGAGGATTTGGATTTGTTGAATTTGATGACTATGACCCTGTAGACAAAATCTGTTGTAAGTATATTATTTTTTAAAATTTTAACCTACAGTTTTGCCCCAGAATGGAAGATATGTGTCCAAACTGGCTTCCTCTTACTGTGGAGATTAAAGTATTGATTTTAGCTATACCTGACTAACTTTCTATGGTAGCTCTGGTACGCAAGTCAATATACATTGTAATGTTCTTCTATATTTTACATCTTATTACTTTTAGTATAACCAACCAATACAACTTATTGCATAGAGATAATTAAGTTTGTATTTCTTTCAGTAAATGCACCACACAAGGTTAATGGGAAACAATTAGATGTTAAGAAAGCATTACCTAAAGATGGTTCCGATCAAAGGGGGGGACGTCAAGGTGGTGGTCCTGGCAGGAATGACAATTGGGGTAATGGAGGAGGTAAGTCATCTACCAAATATTAGTTAGACAAATTCACTTATTTGTAATAGAATATCATTTAATAAATTTTTATGTAATTCTAGGTGGATATGGTAACAACCAAGGTGGTTGGAATAATTCAAACCCATGGGACAACAACCAAGGCGGTTGGGGTGCTGGTAATCAAGGTGGTGGCTATGGAGGGGGTGGTAACCAAAGAGGAGGTTGGGGTAACCAAGATTTTGGTGACTATGGTAACCAGAGTTACAGCGGGGGACCAACAAGAAATCAACAGTATGGGGGAAATAACAGGGCTGCTCCCTACAATATGAATCAAGGAGGCGGCGGTGGCGGAGGCGGCGGTTACGGCGGTGGCAACTATGGAGGTGGCCAGGGCCGTGGTGGACGATTCTAAGCGTATGTATAATTTTAACGCAGCCAGTCCAAACCACATCAAATTATTCATTTCATCAAAATACTGCAAGAAACACTTATGACACAACACATTCTACTTACAAATACTACTATTTATTTAGGTGTCTTGAATTTTTAGGTCTACTTAGCATGAGTGTCTAGGGCTTGATAGCTCGAATAGTTCAGAGAAATGTAGAGGACGGTAACCATGTACTAAAGGTTTTTTCAATCTCTAGGTTACGTGCTAATTACACTAGTAGTGCAGAGTATAACGTGCTAGTGTAGGCGCTCCGGAGCTCGTAGTTACACATCACGGTCTACGTCCAGACCACCTAGCAGAAGGCATCAGGAAAATTTTAGACGTTTAGATAGATCATAACAATATAACTTTTAGAGATATTTTATTAGGATTGAACTGTACTGATTTGTAAGTTATTTATTATCGTACTTAGGTACATAACGTGACATTGTTTTAAGGAAGGAGAGATTGTGTAATGCGTTTCACTTTCCTATTATAAGTACAATGTAGGATGTTTGTATGAGTTGTGGTAGAAGCTAGGTATTTAGATAGGTCCTTTGACTTTTGATTAACATTATTCTCTCCTGACTCCAGTATTAAGTTCTCAAATAAATGTTAAGAGATTAGGTGTAGAGATTGACTTATGAGGATGTTTAATAAAATTCAACATACAAATATTAATTCAATATTATAGGGTTATTTCTTTAGATCTGTATATATACGTCTTTATTTTATAATGTTGTTAGATAGTAAGTCGCAAGTTGTCAGGCACTAGAAGGTTTCATTGCTAAATATCAAATCTACTGAAACTAGGCATAGAGTAGAAGGATAGATCATGAATATAGCACCAAACCATCTAGTACTTAATAATCAGGATGGATTGAGTTACTTTCCTTACAAATAAATTATGCTGGATAGATATTATAATAAATTAGTTGTATTGCGTTGTGTTTAGTCATTTTCCCTTGAAATCAGATGATACCGGTTGTATTTTGTACATAGAGATGGTAGGTGTTACGCTAGTAGTCATTCTATATAACACAAGTATTCATTTATATTAAAAAATAAGTTCTCTTTACTTCAGATAGAGCTGAGGTGTATATCAATTATATATGAAGTTACAACAACTTATGTGTTAAATAAATCCACTTCATAACTACTAGCAACTCTCAGTATTATCCGCGTTTCATCTGGCATGCGTCGATACATTAGTGGGATTAGCCCATTTTAACATCGAGATGATTTTATCAAATTCAAGCAATAAATAGTTCTAGTCACTACAAATCTAAATAAAAAATAGGTAGGTGAAGGTCGTCATTTAGGATGTTGGATAAGGCCATACCTTACTTGAATGTTGATTGCAATGACCTTATTGAAGCTAGAGTGTCTCATGTACACTGCATGTCATAATATTCCATATCCATTCCAGGTATATGAACTCAGTCAAACGTGAAATTAGTTTTTTTTAAATATCTAGCCTCACATTGTAAAAAGGGAATAAACAATAATAAAATGTGAACTTAGCATTTTTGGTGATTAGTATCTTAAAATATCTAGACATCTTTTTCCACCAAATATAACAGTCAATAGCTGCGCTACTTTTCATTTCCTTTACAGCTTCATAAGCTAACGCAGTACATTGCATAGCCTTCCTAACTTGCGCATCCTACTCTATTTAGAGCCTAATTGATAATTAACTTGACAAGTGTCAATTTTAATACAAATATTCGCACAATTTTAACGCGTACTAACTGTTCATTTTGGGCTTTTTCATCATCTAATCAGACCACAGAAACTTGTCTACTTTTAACCCAACAACATGTCCGCCTACCCACTTTAATTTATAATTTATTTCCATGATTACTTCGGGAAATCGGAGCAACGAAGGTACGCGCAATGAGACCGGTAAGTGGTTTTCAAATTTTGTCTGTATATTTTCCTCAATAAATAAATATAAAATTATTTGTCGTTTTATTTAATTTTTGATAAACAATCCTAGCACTTAATACACAATAATTCAAATACGTAAGTGAATTTTGTATTTATTGCGACACAAACTTAGTTTACTGATCGATAAAACAAGCGACTTCATAGAGGTAACTAATACCAGAAATATAGAGCATACAAAAGTACTTTCTATAATATTTCCTAAATGTTTTGGCAAATACGAAGAAGTTAGCACTCAACTAGAAAATAATTTATGTCTTATCCGATGTTATGTAAACTAGAAGCGTTTACCAGTCGTTCAGGAAGCGACGGGAGTATGATTTCACTTTCGATGCACCTCAACCGTCCACGCAGAGGAAATATCCCGACTGACAAGTTTTTGTTGGTTTAGAAATTGAACCGTGAATGTTCAAGTTATCGCTAAACAGAATAGATACTTTTTTGGTTGGTATTGGGAATCTGTAAATTGAACCGCTCTTACCCTTCTAATCCATTGATCATTTTTGAAGCTTAGTTCAAAAACAAAAAAATGATATCTCATGATATAGTATTCGTTCACGATATAAGAGATACTCTCTGTTAGGTTCATTAATATATTGTTATGAAAGTAAATAAATGTATATATTTTGAGTATATAATCCTATTAATCCTAAACGAAGACCACATCCAATCAAAATAGGTACATAGCCGAACATATATATCTAATTGTAGTTTCAGTACATCCGTTGTGTGTTGAACAAAAGTTTTTTTGTTCATATACCATATTGTATATGTTATGCATGTCTGTTTTTTTCACAGACTGAAATGAAACTAAATACATTGTATGTACATTACAAAAAGACTAAAGTAATTGAAAACATTTTCATATTTGTATCTACTTTGTGACTCTTCTTACATTTCCCACACTAGGTGTTTGTTTTTTTTATGTACTGCCAAAGTTTAATGTAATCAATAATTCATAATATAAGAAACACGCTAAATAAGTGAGTACTTCCCCAATGAACAATGCAACTGGTAGACATCGAAGGTGGGGTCGCACCTCCACGCTTTTGGTGCGAAGAGAAAGTCCGCGAAGTGGTGGCCGGAGCCTCCAGCCCGCAGCGGATTCCGCGGCCGCGGCCGACGCCGATAGTCGGCCAGGCATTTGCGAAATAATGCCATCGCATCGAGACTGAATTCGGCAGAGATGCCGCACAAGTAAATAGTGCCGAATTTATCGCGACCGAGAACCAACGACAATGTGCGAATGGAGATTAGTGGTGATATTTCACGTGCTGCTTGTGTGCTACGCGTCTTGGGCCAGGGAAATAAAATCCTTTGAAACTACCCTCGACAACCACGTGAGTAACCTCTTTATCGGTCGATTGTCGGTGCATTGACTTCGATGCACTTTTACTTTCCACTGAGCGCATTCACTTTATACAGATACTGTTTGCGAATTCATACTTATTTTTTTGCAGTTACTAAGATAAACTCGTTGTGTATATTTATGAGTTAGATAACTTTATAAATATGCGTTACTCATGTAGTGATAATGTTAAATATCAGAAATAATGATTATTAAATATATAATAAACCTATACTAAATTATATTTTGCAGATTATGTCATAATAATTTTACCACAGACCCAAAATGTCTACCTTTATGATGAATACTATTTAAATCGCCCACCCACCACCCACCAAAAAAATGGTTTTTAAATTAAGGAATATGAACAGTTACTACGCGTTACAAATTTTGTGTAAAACCCTACATAAATTTTTTCTCGCAAAAACTAAATATGCACCGAATTACCCACACTAGATTAAGTACATTTGGCTGGAAGACATTTTTGGATGCGTTACAAATGCGATAGATCGTGCCTTTAAATCAAACCTAGCCACCAAGAAAAACCTAAAAATACGCAACAAAAAGCAATAGAAACTCGTATCTTTCGTACAAAGAGCACGTACTACGCTAGTTCGTGATGGTTGATGATGATGTGATTTTGATTACAACAGATTAATTGCATGTACAATTATAGCGGATGTGTTCTACTTTCGCTTGTTATGTGAGCTTTTTTTATTTATTCTTGAATTTCCCTTTCGTTTTGCTGCATCAATAGAATTCCACGCGCTATCTCTGACGGCCTTTTTGGGTAGTACACTTTACTGCAGATAACAAGCTCCCAGGTTTGTTCCCACGTCAGCTCGGGCAAAATGTTTATATAAAATTTCGTATACCCGTTCGGAGTTTGAAAGTAGTTGCCCTTTGGCGCAGGAGCACGTTGAAATTAGTTTGTCATGACTTATTTAGTACTGATTGTTGTTAAATATCGCCAACCTGCGTTGGAGTAGCGTAAATGATCTAAGTTGTCAAAACTTGGCACGTCAAACCATATAAGTACGATGTATAGGTTATTTTTTATTTCCAATGTTGAAAGGTTTTGCCTTAAATTGATGTTTAATAATCAAATTAGATTGCTTCTGTATAAGACCTTACCCTCCTTTCAAATTGTTGTATAGCATATCTCTAAAGTACCAAATTAGCGTTCGTTCCCGATGTAATAACAATAATAAATTAAATAAAAACCGATTTTAACTTTACCCAATTGATCTACCGTTAGAGCAACAGCACGGCACACTGGGGATGCCGGTTCAAGTCCGGCGCGTGTATGTTTTTGTCTATTTAAAAGCGATTTTTAATTTACACACAATACCATGTGAAAATATTAAAGATTTCAAATGATGAGACTTTGATTTTGTCGTTCAACGTAAACAACGTCAAACGAACGATTAAATCAAACAAGACGTTATATAACGCCAGAAATGAACACTGTTGATCAAATACACTTTAAAATAGTACATAGATTAATATATTTGTTCCAAGGTAATTAATGATCAAAGCCCAGAGCACTTAGTATTATCCCATTATCTAAGTACAGTTGTAGAAAGGTAAGGTTTATCTAATTCAAACTACAAATGCGCGGGGCTTTGTAATACATAACAGAACGATACGTTCCTGTTAATTGTAAGCGAGTTTATCTAACTAAAGGTTTGTATTGGCGATTTATTCAAAAACAAAGCCTTAGTTATCAATTAGAGCAAAAGATATATGGAAGGAAATGTTCGTTAGTTGTACAAAGGCAAGTTTAAGTTAGATAATACTGACTACATATTTGATTACAGGTTGTGTTAATTATTCAGTTACAAGAGCTATCAATGAAATATTATTCGTAGTCGGTATGTTTGAATCTATAAACTCATCGCCTTACTGCCGCCTCTTTCTATTTATCGCGCGAACTAGTCTCAAATTAAGGTAGTCCTACGTTTGAATCCTATTGATAAATAATACTTCTGGCGGGCAAAAAAAGATAATTATTATTATTGGAGTATCAAGGTGACAGTTTTTTTGTAGTGAGGCAGAAAATATATTGTATGTCAATATAATTAGGAGATACCAAAATCAAATGTACTTTATATCTTTTATTGACTATATAAAACCGATAATCAATTCTATCTTGTTTAGATGTAGAGATATAGAGCTGGAGTATTTCGCCTACCAATAAGTGAACCACATTTTGGTCTGTCTTTCACAATTAAAAAAGTTCTGACCATCTCAGTTAGTTTATATTAATATAGTAAGTTTATATTAATATAATTCGTTCCTACGCAAAATTGGATAACCCACTTTCAAACATCGTTTCTTGGCCAAACCACCTATAAATTTACATATAAAAAACCCAAAACATTACATAAACGAACTAACGATTAACGTTTTACTATATATTATGTAATTCAAGCATCCGGTTCCGGTATTATTTTGTCCTTAATTGCTTTATGAAATGTGACTGACATCGCACGGGAAACACTGAAAGTAGTTTGTAATATTTATTGCTTATGAATCGCGTCGCGGTGTATGAAAATATTCAATTATTCATTAAAATTGGTTATGTCATTTAGTTCCATTTGGGTATTTTGTTTCAAATATCACGTATCGTGGTAAATGCTTAGTTGGGAACTTTGACAAAATGTTAATGTAGTAAACACTAAAGCTACCATTATTTTTTTATTTATTACGCCTTTATTCAACCGCCTCTGTAGCGAAATGGTTTAATGACCTGCATTGCGTTAAGCGCGAGAGGTTCTGGGTTCGAATCCCAGGGAAACAAAAACAAATGTTTCGCTCCGGCAGGGCACAGAAGTCCGATCAATTACTTGCCTGTTAAAGAACGGATCAGTGAAACGGACTCAGAAATGTGTTCGCCGGATTTCACTTTATTCAACAATATGGTATAGTACCTACAATTACAAATAATATGGATGGCTTATATGTGCTAGTTTGTATCCTATATATAGGTATCTAATTGGTAAGCATTTAAGAATAAATAAATAAAGTTGTATCAAACTACATGATAAACAATGTACAAATAGGCTTCAAAGGTAGGCTTAAGCGCGTGATAAAACATGCGAAAGTTCTCATTAAATTCTTTAAGGTAAACAGCAAATTAATGGCGTATAAATAAATCAGATAACATTGTTTTCACACGTCGTGTATAAAACGTGAACTTATTCCTTAAGTGCTCGTAAAATAAAACGCAAATCGGAATCACTTTCATGCTTTTGATAAGAAGAACAAGAATACCCGCAATTACCTCGTGAAAGGCAAAAGAAAGTAGATTAGTGACCTTACCAATTCAGAGGCAGTTACTGCGATTAAAAAAACCTAAAAGAAACCCACCGTTTCTTTTGTAGAAAGCTAAATGGTCTGACAGCTGGGAAGTTTAAATATAACTTTTCGTTAAACCATGAAGTTAAAGCCTACAACGATAAGCTAAATAAAGTCCTTAGTACAGCATAGATAATAAAAGCTCAACGAATAATTATTTAAAAGAGGGTTTTAAAAAACATTGTTTTTTTAATTAAACACGTTTAAAATGCGAAATATAGTAGATATCATATATTCCATTGAATTGTCGCAAAGAATACGAAACCTCGGGCCGTAGTTAAACTAAATTAAAATTAAGTTAATTTATATATTTTGAAAACATTAATATTTTTTACATGCACATGAATGCACTATATCAACAACAATCAATAGAGCACGGAACGCTGACGATGCCGGTTCAAGTCCTGCCTAAGTCGAAATTTTTTTCAATTTATTTTCGATTTTTAAAATCATATATTTTGCGTTTTAAATACTACGTTTTATTTAAATGCCTTCTACTCGTAGAAACAAACTTAAATGTTAAAAACAAAAATTGCTATTGTGCATTACTTATAAGTAGATACTACTGGTGGCTACTACCTACTACGCAAAATATTGTTTATATCAGTGATTTTTTCAAGTAGTTCACAGCTGCAGTAATCACAGGGGGAATACTGGCGTCATTTCAAATTTTAAACTGTTTAAAATGAATTATTTAAATGTTTTTGTGTACAAATAAATTTTAATGTAATTTGATATCATACTTTGTGACCTACTAAGGGTTCACATAGACCGTTTTATTTTTACTTGAATTCACAGGCGCTTTTTCATTTACAAAAAAACGTTACAAGCATTGAACTTGTATTGTATCTAGATTCAAGTATAAATGGTTCCAAGGTTTATTTCGTAATATTGGAACAATAATAAATTAGTTTAACGTATTTATTATAAGAATTAAATTAAGTAATTTCGCAGAACCTTGACCGTTACTCATGACATTGGCTGAAAATAACTGAAAGCTAATTTAACGAACTACGAATAAAAACAGTTAAAATGTAGGACACTGCTTCGATACATTGAAAGCTACTTTGTTCTTTTCTACGTTATATTAATAAGTAGGTAGGAAAACTTTGCGAGAAATAACTTTGGATTCAGACGAATGGCTTTTTCAGCTGTGTGTATTTTATACAATACATATAGTATACAAATGGAGTATTAAAATTTTCACAGAGAATTGAGTTTATACGCTTTGTTAAGCATTACATTATACACATATTTATGTATTTTTATCCCATATATTATTAAATGTAAAAATAGTTTACGCGAGTAGTAGACATTTACATAAAATACTTTAACAGTTTAAAACGCGAAATATATTAGTTAGAGTTTTTTTTAACTCAGTAGTTTAAAAAAATAAATACTCCGCATTCAAAGCATCCGAAACGTCGGGCCGTAGTTAAAATCCTTTTCAAATAAGTTTACCTCTATTGGTGGAACAACTTGGACGCTGTGTTGTCGGTTCGCGTCCCGCCCGCGCCTAAATTTAAATCTTAGATAGGTTTTTTAATTTAGAATATATACTATCTTAAAAATTAGTCAAATTGAATTCATCTTCGAAGTTGCCTAACTCTCTATCTGTATGCTTTTAAGTGATTTCATGTCACGTAAAAATGTAGCCCACGTGCCTATATCAAACTTACATAATACTATTTGATAAACAGTGTCAACCTTAGCCCCATTAATTTATGACATAACATATTACTTAACTTTGACATTTGCTTTAGTCACGTGGTCCGTTACGTGAGCAAAGATAGGGAAAGTGTGCACGTCGCTTTAGGAGTTTGGTTTCGCTGTGGTTGTCCATAATTGTGTTTGTAAAACAAAACGTTTGTGTACCTACTATACAAATGGACACCGGATAACAGCGATTTTTTGCTAGTTTATCGTTGCTTTGGAAGCCTTTAAAAACAAATTCACTAATGCTAGTCATTTGTCAGTTATAGAAAAAAAATATTTCGTGTCTCCATTGTCTATAGTTGAGTTTATAAACGTTGATAAGCGTTATATTATACAAATATTTATGCTTTTTTATTCCATATATTATTAAACGTAAAAACTAGTTTACGCGAATAGCACACATTTAAATAGAGCACTTTAAAATGTAATAATTAACTTATGTTTTTATGAAACGGTATATATTTTGTGTTCTAAGTTCTAATCAAAAATATTTTATCAAAATTCTAAATCTCAACTAAGACTATTCTTTAGTGCCTAAGGATTGTACGATGCAGATTACTATTAAAATGGCTGATATGTAAATTGTTAGTCTTTCGTTTCATAAACAAATTGAATTTTAAAACAATGGCATTCCGAACAATAATCATGTACAAAACAACAAACACCGGAACGTGATAATTAACAAGATTGAGAAAGCAACATTGACATTAGACTGTCGATTAAGTATGAGTTCATTGCGCAATCGAGTACGTCGTATGCGCATGCGCAGCCAGCAGCCGTGAAAGTAAACTCACATAGTTATGTGTGCTAAACAAAAGTTATATAAGGTATAAACGCTTCCTACGGAATACACAGTGTTGTGTAACTTAACCAAATTACCTATATTTTGGATCGAGATCGCACGAACATAATTACCCACCAGCTTTCTTTTTAAAGACATTTAAATTAACGGAAATTCATGCTAATTTTGTAGCTGTAATTTTAATGTATCGTGTTTATTTATTGTTTAACTGTATCTTACACTTTCTACTGAGTTCATTTAAGACATGATAAGATTTAAAATGAAAATTGTTATTTATAATATAACTAGAAAGTCAGTAAAATGCTAAGTATTGGCAGGTGACTTCGAATTTTGGTGTAGGAATATGTGCGTATCTGAGTCTGTAGACTGTCTTAGACGATCTATTTAAATTTTCAGGTGTCATCAGGCAATAGGACCCAGAGATTTCTATTCGACTCGATTTTCGGGCTCGAAGTACCGCTTCTGGACGAACAGAGTGTAGAAGATGACGAAGAAGATACCACCCAGGTCAGGAATTGTTCGTGTGGTACGTGCTGTCCTGGATTCTGTTCTTTATTTCTAGCATGAGCTGTTTAGTTTACGAAAACGTTGGAACTAATGACCCCTTTGCTTTAAATTTTACACGTTTGGGTTTCAGAGATCGCCAAATTATAAAATAAACCACAGCATTGATCATATCAAGATCTTGTGTAGGAGAAACAGAAATTGTTCTGGAATTAATAAAACCTACGTTTTCGTTAATTGTATAACTCATATTATCTCTATCTGTATGACACGTAGACTCTAGGTATATGTTTTCTCTGTTATACCTATTCCTCTTAACGAACCGCATGCTATGATATAAAAACTATAATTCATTCAGAGATAATTAACCTAAGAACTGGTTTTTTTGATAGATGATTCATACTTATTGAATTCACGGTTCACTCATTCACTTATAATAGATTATAGAGTAGAGATTCTCTAGCTACTTCAGCATGAAAATCACATCACACTCTTTCTAATTACCATTCACCATCTTCTAGAATGCGGCAGGGCAAATCCACTTCCTAAGAAAATTGGTAAGTTTTCTCAACTTCTTTTATTAGATCTATTTGAAATTGTTTGTTTATTTCTTTTAAGCGGTAAGACTGTATTCTTGTATATAAACTAAGTCTGTATTTTCTACAGAGTATATAAAACGTATAGCATATCTATGAGATCAAAATATTTCTCAAGATATCCAAGTAGGAAATGTAATTTATGAATAACTTAAGAAAAATATAATTAATAAATATGGGAAAATAAGTTTTATATGTTTAAACTATTTGGTTTAAGCTTTATAGTTTTTTTTTATGTTCAGTAACTTATCTATCAATAATAAACGTAATACAAGGTCTCATTTATTATCTAAAATCTAAATGAATAACGACAAATTTACTGACTGACTGTCTCGAAACAAGACTAGTATATAATGATCAGTCCCAACTAATGAGCATCAGAACCAGTATTAAATGTGACTTTCACTGCAGATTGCGGAGGTCCGAACCAGGAAAACCGCATAGTGGGCGGATTTCCGGCTGGTCTCAACCGTTACCCGTGGATGGTGAGGCTGGTGTATGATGGCCAGTTCCACTGTGGAGGGTCCCTTGTCACCAAGGAGTATGTTCTCACTGCCGCACACTGTGTTAGGAAGTGAGTATTTCTATATAAATGTTGATATTTCTTCTTACAGCCGAATTGAACGATACGATACCATCAAAAGATATGCTAAAGGATATTTCTTATCATATATTAATTAATAATCGAAAATAAATTGAAATTTTTTTCGACTCGGGTTTGTTGACCCAATGTCCTCCGTATGGGGAGAATGGGGGAAATCAGTGAAATGGTTAGATGATGTGGAATGCTCATCGAACCTTAACGTCTTTGTCTCCAATAGACAATTATATTATACAGTAGACGTGTCAAAATAAACCTTTCTAAGTTTCAAAGCTGTCCAACGAAAATACTGTCTTTGATGTTCTTTTAGTCTATCCTCAACCTACCGATCTCTATTTTCAGATTAAAACGATCGAAAATCAGAATAATACTTGGCGACCACGACCAGACGTTGACTACAGAGAGTGCAGCCATAATGCGTGCTGTGACAGCCATTATAAGGCACCGAAGCTTCGACGCTGACTCCTATAACAACGACATCGCTTTGCTCAAACTGCGGAAACCAGTCACCTTCTCGAAGATCATTAAGCCCGTGTGTTTACCTGCAGCAAGTAAGATTACTTGTATTTCTAATAATACTATTACAATATCTAAATACTTAAAAAAAACACATTAACGGCTTAAAACATGTAATATATAAGTTAAACTTGTTTACAAATTATTTTAACTGCGGCCCGGCGATAAATAAAAATAGAGAGGCCGTTATATTTATATACAAATAATAGTTTTTATTGAAAATCATGTTTTTTTGTTATTAGGCGACTCTGCCTCTAGCAGCCTCATATATAAAAATATCTAGCTTTTAATGATTTTTTTTATCTAGTTGTTCAAAGTTCGTGTTGATAATTTTTATTGCCAAATCAGCGTTCAGAATATTTTAAATTGAAGTGCGACACAAAAAAAAAAAATATGCGAGCATTACTAGCAAAATAGAAAATGTATTTTATTAAAAATATGATACTATAAATCAGATTAAACAGGACAATAGTTTAATCCTGTTCGATTTCTTACAGGGGAGACTCCCCGTGACCACGGCTGCTGAAAAGCATCCGAAACGTCGGGCCGAAGTTAAAAATCATTTTCAAATAGTTTAACTAATATATCGCTTTTTAAACCGTTAAAGTGGTTTATTTCAATGTGTACTACTCGCGTAAACTATAGACAGTATTTAGATGGAAAAATGTTACTTACTGTTAATCGTTCTACACTCCTTTTAAGCACAAAAAAAAATGTACTGTACACTACTATGTACGGTGTACTGTACATATAATAATTCGAAATTAATGAACTCAATTCAAATAATAAAGAAAGCAGAAATGAAAAAATGTTTTGTCAAGAGAAATTCTACATTGGTAGATTAATAGGCTATATATAGGCATGTATGCCGCATTATGAAACCAGATATAAAATGTCCCAAATATTTTGTGAGTCTTTTTTAGACAGAAACTATAGTGCTTTTTCAATTACATTTTCAGGTGTTGACCCAGCAGGCAAGGATGGCATTGTGGTGGGTTGGGGTCGTACTTCTGAAGGTGGCCAGTTGCCTGCGATAGTCCAAGAAGTCCGTGTTCCTATACTGTCATTGCAGCAGTGCCGTGGCATGAAGTACCGAGCATCACGCATTACTAATAATATGGTAAATGAATTGTTTCAACTTGTTATCGCCATTAAATTGACAGTGGAGACAATCGGGATGGCTTAACTTATTAGGATGCGGTAGTAACACTTACTACTTTCAAACTTCGCGACTACTAGGGTATTTCAGAGTAGACCATATCTGACAAAAACTTCAAATAACGAGTACCTTTCGTCCGACCCAAGACTCGAATCCGGAACGTCGTAGTCTACCAAGTCCGAGGAGGTTCACTCCACGAACGAAGCAGTTCACATAACATATAAAATATTAAATAATAAATATTGCTCAGTATCTTTTACAAGGAGATATTTATTAATTATGCTGCTCTAAAAAAGTGTTTAGCTTTAAATAAAACACTATTAGTAGATAAAGCCATCGTGTCTTAAAATTAAATAAATCGCATTTTTTTGTTGTTTGTTTTTCGTTTTTATTTTGTAACTTAATTAGGAGTTATCTGCAGCTCTATTCTATATCGCTATTGTCTGTGTAGCCCTAAAGGGGTTCCATTTTATCTGCAGGCATTGTTGATAAATAAAATGTTTGTTTTCATAGCTTTGCGCGGGTCGAGCATCAACAGATTCTTGTCAAGGCGACAGTGGCGGCCCCTTGTTAGTACAACAGGGCGACAGATATCAGATTGTTGGTGAGTATATATATTACCAGCATTGATGAATGTATACCAGATCCTCAAAAACCAGGCCATTTCAATGGCGGAGCGTGGGGGGTCAGTTATTATTATAGAGTTGAACTGCAAAAACAGCAGGGAGGCCCATTCCAAAAGCATCTCAAGAAGTAACGCTTTATTTATTACTTGTATAAAATATATAACAACTATAAGGACAGGACAAAGAGATAAAGACATAACTATTCTGTTTTTCATAACATAAGCAAGACGCGTATATCCCATGACCCAGACTTACGACATCTATGTTACCGTACAATAAACGCGAACATTCCTCTGCTTCTCTATCTGTGGACGACGAATTTTAACCACATCAGAAGCGTGATAAAACTCTTGATTTTATCTTACAGGTATCGTTTCTTGGGGTGTTGGTTGCGGTCGACCTGGATACCCTGGCGTCTATACAAGGATAACCCGCTATCTACCCTGGCTTCGAGCAAATTTGAGGGATACATGTCTCTGCGCGAGTTAGTTTAAGTTAGTTGTAATTTGCATAGTAACTCAATATGTCCAATAAATCATGTAGTAGTAGAGTTCGATCAGGTATATAAAAAGGGGCACGGGTTACCATACATCGAAAACAAAACAGACTTCTACATTTTATAATTTCATCATATGTACTTAAGTAATGGTATATTGTTTATAAGTAAAGTTATTGTACATATTTACAATACTATTAATTATAGAGTTGCATATAATCACGAACGAATATTTTTTAAAGCTAACGTTATTTAATACAGTAAATGTACAGAAATGTCATTGTAAAAAATAATTTAACGCGTATTTAATAAATTATAGTACGTAGCTATTTTTGTAATTTTGATGTTAAATATCTCAAATAAAATTCTTATAACATTTTAACACAAACTAAAATTGTACTATCTGTGCTGTTATTGATCCGTTTGAGATTCCATTTAGTTCTTATTATCTGTTGCTTTTAAAATTTGTATACATGTCCTTTTTTTTGTAGAATTAAAAGTTAATGTAAGGTGTATGTTAGTGTATGTCAGGCCGGTGGTGCAGATTACCAATATTTTAAGTCAAGTTGAACTACCTAAGTGTTCATTGTTAGGTTAGGTTAGTCGTTATTGTATAGTTTTCGCTGTTAAAAGCTCACTCAAGGAAATTATTTGCATCGTATTACAAGTTAAGTTTTGAATTACGCGGGTAATACTTAATATAATATAGGTATAAATACGTTTTTTACGTTTAGCAATCTTTTTTTCATCTCTAAATAGAATAGTAATCAACTTCACAGTTAAATTCAGCCGTTTTAATTTGCGACGTATATATTGACGCCATTTTGAAAATAATTATTGTGTTTGTAATTTGGTACTGGCGTATTAATATTATGTTTTTTGAAAATGTAAATTATATTGTATACCTTACTTATAATTGTTACAAAAAATGTTTATCAATCTATACTTTTGCCTTCTATTATAAGTAGTGTTACGTAACTCGTAAGACATGAACAAGAGTCGTTTTACCTAATTTTATAATTAAGGCTTTCGCGGCCATTTTGTAAGGCTTGCGTTATTTATAAAAATAGAATAAGAAAATGATGCTCTTTAGGCTACAACTGTGATCTTTGTCACGATTAAATTAAAATTGTGCTCTTAGATATATTTTGACTAATAAGTCATATTTATTTGTAATTATTAAAGCTTATTAATTTATTATTGCTTATATAACTGTTTAGCTTTTATCTTTTTTATTAATTTTATATTAAAAGGAATGTATATTTTGTGTATAATAAATACAATTTCGTTCAACTCCTTTAATTGATATGTCGTTTTTATTTTAGTGAGTAGACATTCTATGTTAATAAATATACAAGTCCGTAATATTTGGTACTACGACAACAAATAACATATATATAATAGAAATATATGGATGAACTTTATTTCGCTGAAGAAGATCAATTCGTTGTTAATGTCTCGAATTGAATTAGTAGGTTTTTGGTTAACAAATAACTACTATTATATTCTCAGTCTTTAGAAAAACAAATATTTAAATAGCTAATATTATGCCGGTCTAGAAATCAAGGACGAAGCTATAATAAAGAAGCTAAAACATTGTAGCTGTTGTAAACCTTAAGTATTGAATATATTGGATATAGATAGTATTCGAATACAATTAACGTGTTTATCGGGATTCAAACCCAAGACGTCTCACGCCTTCCATAAGTGATCCGCAGAGACGGTAAATTTGTAGGGAGATCACATAAACATCTGTCGTAAGCGTGACCCATACGATTTGTTAAGTGGTAGCAATAAGCGAAGAAAGTCACGCTTTCCCCACTCGATGTCAAGCTGAAAGGATGCAAGGGGCTTTACTAAATTATAATCTGCTTTTTGTTTATTTTGCAATTCCCACAGAGTAACTGTAAACTTAATTAAATATAATAAAGGGAACAGTTTATAATGAAAATAATGTATAGATAACGAACAATATGGCACGAGAAATTGTTATGAGACTCTACTAAACATTTGATAAAGTTGTACTCAATTTGCTAAGGATTTGGACTTTAAAACTCCAACAAAAATAATTGTAGGACGCCTTATATTGTTATATGTAGACGTTAATGAGATATGCATCACACAATATTAATTATATCCATCGATAACCTCCTTTTTTTAACTTGGATAAAGGATTTGAAACGACTTTTGAAAGTAATTTCCTTTTAGGCTGTCAATTATAAGCATTCTCGTGTTTACAAATATATTAAAATGTGATGGACTGTGTTTTCTATTTGTCTCTATTTTAAAGATAGTCGAGTGGGGTGTGTTGTACCCAAATCACGTCCGTTCGAATGAATAATTTTGTGGTGGTGACTGGTGGTAACAATTCAGTGTGTGTCCGTTCTGAGCGCGCGCGACAAGTTCAAATGATGCGCATATCTTGCGCGAAATTATAAATTTGAATTTGACATTTTTATTCTTTTCAATTTATTATCTATGCTTAAAGGACATCAGGATGTTGAAGTGCTATATTTTATTGTTGGCGGTAACTTTCACTAGCATAGAGGTAAGTGTCTATTGACTTTCGTCTGTTTGTTTTCACTACGAGATAAAATCTAGTTTTGACGACTTCATATTTATTTATTAATATTAAAAGATAATCTAGTAGGAGTTAAAAAAACACGTTTGTATAGTAAAATGTTCATACTTACATGCTTTGCTGAGCTACAAACATAACTTAGCAATGTACAACTGTGAATAAAAGTTCAAATTTTAATAAACAAGTTAATAGATATCTTTTATTAGATAAATTGAATCTCTGTTGCTTGTTAAAATAATTTAACAAATATCGTTTCAAGTCGTTTATCAACCGAACGATGAAGCTTTTGCCATTTAATTCAAGAAATTCTGGTTTGCTTTTTTTGTATTATTTCGTTTTTAGATAGTCGCATTCTTTTTAATTTATCATCAAATGATTGGTACCAATTAATCGCGTTCTGTAGCCAAACGGTTAAACGTATTGCCTCGCATTGCGTTGAGCGCGAGAAGTCGTGGGTTCGAATCCCACGGAAACAAACAATTGTTTCGGTCAGGCAGGACACAGAAGTCTGATCAACTACTTGCCTGTTAAACAACGGATCAGTGAAACGGACACAGAAATGTGTTCGCCCCATGCCCCACGAGGGGGAAACGGGATTTTACTTAATATAATATATCAGTGGCTCAACAAATGCATAAACACACAAATTCCTACATTCATCTGAAACCCCTAACCTTCCTAGTTTCATACTACGATATAACGTGGATTAATAGGCCTGTAAAAGGGTACTATTTACTTCTAAATTCTCGTGTATGTGGATGTGGGTTTTTAAGGCTTATTTGCTATGAACAATAAATAATCCAGTCAAAATCATAGATAATATTATTTTCAACGTGTTCCAGGCGGATGAGTCCCGCGAATCTCGAGGAATATATTCGAAGAATTTCTTTGGTGGCGTTTGGGGTAATCGTCCACCGCTGTTCGAGTTGAACCAGCCTAGAACCACGTGCAACTGCAGTTAGTATAAGGCTTCTAATTAATACACATGGCTGTTGAACCTAAAACAGATGTTTTTTTTTTTACTTTTAAAGTTTTTACTTCTTATAACTTTCATAATCAGTTCTCGTTCCAACCTATTTTTGTTCCACTACTGTAAGTGGGTTACCTTTTTCTTGGATCCAGCATGCCTACCACAAAAAATGGGTGATGTCCTTCGAGTCACATGGTTGATAGCACTGCGTACTTTTAATTCTAACATTTCGTCCGAGCTCGTCGTCGAGCCTTCTTGGTCTTTGGACTAGAGGATCTCATGATCTGCATTCATATTAACTTCTAGGCCAAGGAGGCTTTCTTCAAGAGACTGTATAACTGGTAGTATTATAATTGTTTTCATAAAATTGCAGAATGCGGTGAAAGAAACGAGGCGTCTCGCATTGTCGGTGGAACCGAAGCAAGCATCGACGAGTTCCCATGGATAGTTAAACTTTCCTACTTCAAGCGGTTCTACTGCGGTGGATCTCTTGTTAATGATAGATATGTCGTGTCTGCAGCACATTGTGTCAAGGGGTCTGTATACTGTCAGGATTGTTTTCTGTACTAAGTCATAGGCTATATGACGGACTTGTTGGGGTAATGGCAACTATGTTTGTCTAATAATAATCAACGGGTTAAGGGTTCGATTCTCATCGCGTCTAACATGTTTCTAATTAATTTATAATTGTTCTAAAACATGTTTCAATTCTGGATGATAAATGGGGGGTAGAAATATCCAAATTCAGTCCGGGTCACGAACTACCTTCTCCAGATGTAACAGCAGTCAAGTTTCAATTTCAGTCGGTGGATTTCCAACTATCCAGACCAAAATAGTCCCACAGCGCCTTTTGTTTGAACGTTTTATGGCTGTGGTATTTCACCCACCACGTAGTGAACTCCATGCTTGTCTATCCTTCTCTATCATACCAAAAAAGGCAAAGGAATAGACAGTTCATAGCTTTAGGAGGATGGCACCTCTGGGGGTCAGTAACGCACATTCGTGTTCAAATAAAACAATTTTAACAGTTTGCAACGCGACACATATTTGTTAACTTTATCTGTTGAAGTAAGGCTTAAGAGACAATACATACCTAATCTACTATTTCTCATTCTACTAATGTCTTGCGCACCAGAATTGCTTGAAACTACAAAAAATATTTACCTTCTGTATACACTGAGAGGACATTCAAATCGGCACCTAAAAGCCAAGCAGTTGATTAAATTTAAGGCTAGGGGCCCCTAAAACCGACGCGAAGCAAAAAAACATAAAATTTGATTTCTTCCTAATTAATTTATAGCAGCTAATACCAAATTTGATTATGTTTTGATCCAACTAAAAGTCAAACAATGACCAAATAAAACAATACAACCACAATTCCGTTTATTTGGGTGAAACCGGTTCGCGAATATTTATACCTTAAAATTTAATTTGGATCCAATTCCCGAAAGTGCTTTGCTTGTTCGAGGCTAATTTGACAACATGAAAGAATACATGAATACGTAAATACATAGTCAGATTCAAATAGTGCTTATCTATTTCGAGGAAGGTTCATAAACACTTTCTACGCCTGACTGTACATTGAGTTTATGTTGGTGATTAAATTTTTATCCTTCATACTAATATTATATATAAGCTGAGGAGTTTGTTTGTCTGTTTAAACGCGCTTATTTTAGGAAGTACGGGTTGGATTTGAAAAATCATTTTTGTGCTATAAACGATTAGGCTGCGACCAATAAGGGCAAAGAAACAATTTTGAGGGTACCCCTAGCGCGCAGCAGATTAGATTCAAGTTAGCAAAAAACTATGTTTAAAAGAATGATTAGAGAAATATATAAACTATCTAAAAAGTGTTCACAATAGTATATATCTATATTTGAAGATTTATTCACAAGAACCGTTGTTTATGGTAATCAAATTTGGTGAAAATACATCATATGGCAAAAAAAAGTTTGCCAGGTCAGCCAGTATCTTATAAAAGTAAAGTACAGTGTACCCATATATTTTCATAATTTACGATTGAATTATTCTAGATTTATGGTGGTCGGATACGATACGCAAAAGGAAATCAGATTTGTTAGAAATGATAAACTAGGTTAATTTGAGATATGATTAAGGCTAATTGAATATATACGATAAACACATTTAGCCGAAATCCGTATAAATAACCAAGAGGTAATAATATACAATATACATATAAATATTAAGAACGAATCGATGATTCTAACATGTCTCTATGCTGTTCTTTCCATTGTAGCTAATAACAGTTCTCTTGTATCAAGTAATTAATTAGCAAAAGGCTTTCAAAAGAAGGTCAAACGCATGTGAAAGTAAGACTTTAATACTTAACAAATTCTGTTTCTAGATAAATGAGTTCTAATTACCATCTCATTTGACCTTTTCAAGGTTTAAATTTCAGAAAACTCTGAATCACCTCGCAGGTAGCGCATGGTAATTCCAGAATTTGTTTTGATCAAATCGCCCTTTATGCGTCATTTGAGGTCTCGATAAAATAAAACATTAAAACGATACTCAACCGATAGATAATAAAACAATAATATTTAAAGCGACTAATATACGTCTAAATTGCAAATGAAATCTTAAATCACCAATATACGAGTCCGATAACCTGTAAATACGCAAAACAAGCCCAAAATAATTTGTTGTTCCGATTTAGTGGTTTCCAATAATATAGTGCGTTCACCTTAAACCGGCTAAGAGGCTGGCTCACGGCTTAGAGTTCAATATCCTCTAGAAATGTCCACTTTAAAAACCTTTTAGTGCTTTTTTGCGGTTCCCACATTGATTGTTTTATTTAATCACTCTATTTTAGCGGCACTCGACGTTGTGAAACTCCGTCTTGATTAACATTTAATTGTATACAGCCTAAACTGTATAAATTAATACTATTACAAGTGAGCTTAGTTCAAACATTTCCAAAGATGTAGTTTATTCAACTCATCTACGATACCTAAATGTATGGTACTCCTACGACAAAGCTATTTAGACCACCGCTATGTCTCAGCCATTTTAGATGCTTAATAAGTTATAGATCGAGAAATTGTAAAGACTGATATCGAATAACCATCGAAAGTGGTAAAAGACTTTATCGACTTGAAAACAAGTGTTAACTACGTACCAAAGAAACTGGACAACTTAACAGATAAAACGAAAATAATGAGCAAAAAACCGCAAAGAAATTCTGAATACAATAAGAGAAAGCGTAAATGAGGACTTTAATAGTGTCGAAGTCTTAACGGAAAATATTTCGTGTCACTTTCGCTGTGCCTCGTCACTAATTCGTTTTGTAATGACATAATGACTTACTGTAATGATGCTCCCAAAATGATAAAGTTCAGGCATGCGCATTAACTAATTAGCGTGCTTGATAATGCCATGTCAGTCTCAGATTCTTCGTCGACTCACGCGAGGAATTTACAAGCTTTAATAAGACAATTACTTTTTGAAGCAATGCAATTTTAAACCGCCTTCGACCATAAATATAATAATTGCGTCTCCAAAGGTTTGGTCTTGCGTTTCCATGTTTCAACGAAATTCACTTGTTTTTTTCCCTGTTCACCAACACTTCAAACTTTCTTAGTAACCTGTAATTTATACGACTGGTACATTAGTATTCTTCAATCTAAACACGTTTAGGCATTTGCGTGGATTAAATTTAAGCAAAGAATAATTATAAGTGGATTTGATAAATTGAGACATTGCTTTATTAACCCACGCGTTAATACATTTAAATAAAAAAATAAAATCTTATTAATTACTAGTAGTTCCCGAGATTAGCGCGTTCAAACAAACAAAACCCTTCAGCTTTATATATTAGTATAGATGAAATTGAAATATTTATATAAATCGATATGATAGACATATATTTATTATATGACGAAGTATTATCAAGAATGGAAGATGATCTATGATCTTATATTAAATACTGAAAGCCATGCAGTTTAAACAAATTGTATTGTATTGTATTGCACGTACTATCATAGTATAAAGGTATATATGTGATGTCTTATAATGGTCTATTAGTCGTTTAGTTTATAGAAATTATCAATTTACAATTCCAGATTCATGTGGTTCATGATCAAAGTTACGTTTGGTGAACACAACCGCTGCAACTCCACAATCCGTCCTGAGACCAGGTTCGTCATTCGAGTGATCGCCAACAAGTTCACCCTCACCAACTTTGACAATGATATCGCTCTGCTCCGCCTGAACGACAAAGTGCCAATGTCAGCTACTATCAAGCCGATTTGTTTGCCGAGTGATCCAAGTAAGGATGGCTTTACTTAAATATGGAGCGAAACACATTATATCCCAATCTTGGGTGGGCAGAAACTCCTTAGGATGTTCCAATATGTAATTGGGACATACTAATACTATATTATACTATTTCTGATTCAGAACTATTGGTAATTTAAGCCTTTATAACAAACATATTATCTATATGTAAAATAATTAGCAATTTCAAAAAAATCTTTTAGCCTAATAACGTCTCTATAAGAAATTTTATGTTACGTACCTAACAAAAATAAACTTTTAACGTTTTTAAACGCGAAATATATTACTGACCGTCTCCACATAACCACATATGCTGCAAAGCATCTGAAACGTCGGGCCGTAATTAAAATAAATTGTAAATAAGTTAACTAATACATTTCGTGTTTTAAACCAATAAAAGTGCTTTAAGTAAATGTTTACTACTCGTATAAACTTCCGACTATACTAATGAATTTGAGAAAAAAAGTCTAAACAAACCTTTCTTTTAAGAGCATTCAGCTAGTGATAAAACATGGTTTTTGGGCACAATGTCTACCACTAAATCTAATGTCTTGCATTTGAAGACTTATTAAAGTAGATAAAACAAACAGCCCGAGAGATTCCGATGTGAGAGATGTGACATAGAATGTAGAAGATTATTCTAATAGGTTTACATCTTCTCTAGATTTAAATTCTAGTTCTAATTCATGTCAATTTCAGAATATATTTAGTTATAGTTATGAAAGACAAAATGCCTGAATATATTTTACAGCACAATGATATTCTTGCCACTATTACCTACAATATGGCTAGTAAATTATGGCTTACTTATTTCAGGCAATTTGTACGTTGGAGCCACAGCGGTTGCATCTGGTTGGGGCACTCTCACTGAAGAAGGCAAGGTGTCTTGTACTCTTCAAGAGGTGGAGGTTCCAGTTATCAGCAACCAGGACTGCAAGAATACGAAATACACCTCGTCTATGATCACAAATAACATGATGTGCGCTGGATACCCTAAGACTGGACAGAAGGATTCTTGCCAGGTAAGTTGAAAAATAATGAATATATACTTCATAAAACACAAGAGTTTTAACGCATTTGGTACAAACTTCGGGGGAGTCATAAATTTATAGTTTTGGTCGGGCAGGGCACAGAACTGTGATAAATTTCGTGCCCGTCAATAAATTTTACGAATATAGTGTTCCAAAAGTCCTATTCTTAAAAACTCTTTGTTGTCCACAATGTAAGTGTTTGTATATAATAGTGTAGAGTATTTTTTAAGATCTAGTAAAAGTACTATTAGCGTTGAGTTCGTAAAATGTAATTTAAAGATATTAAAATTTATATAAAATTTTTAAATAAAAGACTTTAAATGGTTTAAAACGCGATTAGTTAAACTTATTTGAAAATGATTTTCAACTTCGGTCCGACGTTTCGGACAGCAGTTGTGGTGACGGGGGGCGGGGGACGTCAAAGTAGAGCATTAAGTGTAACTAATATATCGCGTTTTAAACCGTCAAAGTGTTTTATTTAAATGTGCACTACCAACTTTGTATACAAAAAACTATAACAACGCCATGAAAACTGCAACAAAAGAATAAATACGACGATTATAAGCAATGCAAGCAATCGTACTATATATTTGTATGATTTAAATTCTAGGGAGACAGCGGTGGACCACTCATAACAACGAGGAGAAAAGACAAACGATATGAATTAATAGGTAAATATATATTGACATACAATTGATAAGACTAGAAAATTTCAGAACTTTCATGTGTTAAAATTTGCATACTCATTTGAACAAAGTTAACTCCTGCCTGTTCCAAAAAGGCAATGATTCAAATATCCTCCTTTGCCTCTATCAAAATAATATAAATGGTAAAATAATAAACCTGCATCCCTTTGTTTCATGAATTATAAGATGACGTTAAACTACTAAGCTATTAATATATCTATAGAGTTATGTCAAATGTATTCAAATATCTCTCTAATGTGGTCTTAGTCTTATTATTTTCCATTGAAGTGAACAAGAGTAAGCCGGGTGATCGGACCACATCATCTCCCACGTATTTTACCCATTTCCCAATTTGCTCCCTAAAGAGGATTTTGGGTTGTCCAACTCCTCCTGTGTCTTCTTCAAACCTTAAAAAATTCTTATTATTTATTCCATCGTTTATTCTTTAATATCATCTTCAATTATATTGTCAGTTCCTATATGTGTTTACCTCAATCTTAAGTAAATAGAGCATTCAGTGAATTCTTTCTCGTTTTTCGCACTTAGGACATAAAAGAAACTGCTAACAGACGTCATTGTAAGATGTCTGTTTTGTCGACGGTGTTCTGGTATTATTTCTAAGACGAGTCAAATATAATTTATCGTAGTAGAAAATGACCACTATACTAGACCTAACGACTCTTTATTAAACCCTACTTTTCTATATCTCATAAAAGTTAAATAAAGTTTTAAATAGTAGGACAGAAAGGGATGGAGTTCACTTCATGGTAGGTGAAGTCCCCCCATGCGCCTGTCGACTTATTTTGGATTTGGATATTCGAAAATCCCTTAACTAAAACCGAAACGCGATTAAACTTCACAGCGTTTTGGCCTGTGGGCGGTCGGTCGTGGCCCGGACGGAATTTCGATATTTCTACCATCCATTTCAGTCCTACCTACCAGATTGTAAATATATAAAAAGATAATAAAAATGTTGCACCCGGTGGGGCAATATTGAATCCGTTGAGTACACAACTTTTTTGCTTCCTAGACACTTAGGCGATCAACGAAGTGTTTAGTATATAAATTTGTCTACTTCAAGGCTTTGCTCATTTGGTTAGTTATATACATTTCCATTTATGGCTTTCTTTCAAGGTGTGGTATCATGGGGCAATGGCTGCGCAAGAGTGGGCTATCCGGGGGTGTACACACGGGTGACCAATTATTTAGATTGGATCAAAGAAAATACCAAGGACGGCTGTTTCTGTAACGAGTAATTATGATATTAACGAGTTATTGTATTTATGCTTCTTGTAATATATATTATTTATCAAAAATATAAGTGCTAATGGAGCCTTTTATTAGGTGTTTAAAAATAATAAAAATACAAAATTACCAAAAAATTAAACGCTCACATGGAATTATTTAATTTATTAAGTCATATAAATCAACTATGATTTGCCATATATTATATAAGTTCTAGATAACTAAATTGTAATTATTTTATTGTGAAATAATAAAAAATGATCTCCAATGTTGTTTTTTTTTGTTCCCATAATTGTATACTTGGTAACAAAACGTGGATAGATGGCAGTATACAAGAATGGTCTTTGCCCTTTAGGTATAAGGTATTTTAAAATATTTTCCTACTTTCTGTACTTATATCAAAAACGAATCAATGAAATAATAAATTTTGAATTTCTTCACAATACATACAATAATTTCCTGCTAAAATGTGTCTCTATAACAATTTAATAGCACAGATAGCCTGATTACGGGAAGGAGGAGGTGACTCGGCGTTCCCACAACTCTCTACGAAGAAATTGATTGCCCGCTTACAAAATAGCTTAACTTGATTTGTAATATAGCTTAATAATAAATGAACTTGATTTTTAATTAATTTGATTTACTTTTTAATTTTAATGCCAAACGTATTTTGAGTTCGCCTATAGAGGACATATTTCTGTATGATATTATTTAATATTATGTTATGAACACTTTTTAAAGTATTCATAAACTCTAGAAATGCATAGACAATGAGGAAACAAATACGTCACGTACAAAGTCACGGCCACTCTCCACTAGTATGAGCTGTAATTATGAATATTGAAACACGGGGTCAACAAACTCCGCGGTCATTGCCGAATAAACATACCTCAAAAGCCTCCGATAGGCGACTAAAATGTTGCTAAAGCTGTTTCTAATCTGCACGCGCCGAAACTCCGGGAGCTTTTTAGGGTTCCATTAAAAAGCTTCCTGATATATATTTTATTATTATTATTTTCTCATTATTTAGTAATTGTAATTATCATTAATTATTGAATTGTTATTAATGATATTATCCTCGTTACATTTAAAAGCGTCTGACTTATACTTAAAATTGACTTTGTTGTGTAAAAAAATTTAAACTAACGTAAGCTTAGTACACAATGTAGGCAGAGGGTAGAATTAATTGTTACCGTTAGAAAAACTGCAGTAATTTGTGGTTTAACAGTTATACCGTCAAGCAGTTCAGTGTCGCTTAGCCTTAGCTATTAGTATAAGAAACTATACAAGTAATTATATAGTTAAAATAATTATAACAATGTGCTATATTCACACATTTCATATTATTTAAATTACAACAAGTGGACTATTTTCTCACAGATATTTTTGAATGACAATAGACAATTATATTCGATATATTAACATATAATTGTTTATTGTTTAACATTTTTATCCGTTTCACGTGAAATTAAATTATACGGAACCTTTTGTCAAAACAATCGCGTTCGCCCTTAGCCGTACACCGTACAACAAAACCAATGTTGTAAAAACGATTATATAAGGTTTTGAGATTGTATCCGAAGTGTTATAGTGGCAATAATTTTCGCGTTTTAATGTCGAGGTGTGTGATGCTACATTTTAGGGTTCTCATATCCATAAGTACATGGAGATCTGAGAATTGAGTTAGTGTATCAAAAACTGTGAACCCAGGACACATGATCGTTTCTAGTTATCCTAATTGGTGACGTCATTAATTATAAGATGTGGTTTTGTGTTTGTTTTATTTTGTGCGCAATTGTCAGCTGTGGGAATACATTTAGTAAGGTAAGTCGTTTCGTTTTAAACGGTTTTTACAATTGGTAATTATTAACCATTACTAGAATGATAATTCTTTTTATCACTTGTATAGTAAAGAGAATGTTTAATGAAACATTATTTACACAATTATCTAATTAATTAAGTTGTATTGTAATGATTATTTTGTTACATAATATATATCTTAACGAATAATTTGGAAAATTGGATGCCATTGTTGTGTTCAATGACTTCTCTCATTTTAAATTCAGGGATTGTTATTGAACTTTTTTCATTTATTCAGGAAGCATTCAGGTTTAATGAAGACACTCGAGTATTTGACAGACTTGCTGAAAAACAGCTGCCTGCATGTCGTGATTGCAGTAAGTAAACTCATCTGCATTACAGCATAGAAATTTAACATATCCAAGCCAATAGGTCGACACGCACTGTCAAAATATATGGTCGTGTATTACACCTTCCATCAAGTGAATCTCATCTCCTTTCCTGTCAAAAAAATGTCCTCAAAGAGCGGATTTAAAATGGGTTAAGAGTCAATCCACATTATGTACACAATCTATGTTATATCTTACTTAATTTTCTTCTTAATTAGTTTTAACTAGAATCACCAGAAGCTAGAACTAATAAATTCAGTGGGGATGTTAGTTGCGTGATGCCGTCTCCACCGTGGAGCGTATGGCGATCACTTTTCTGTGTCTGTTTTTTTAGGTATGTTAAAGATGTATTTTTTTAATGAACGTAGGCTGTGGAGAGCGAAATGAAGAGCCTCGTGTGGTTGGTGGTACTGGAAGTAGCGTGAATGCATTTCCGTGGATAGCACGTCTGATCTACCACCAGGCTTTTGGATGTGGAGCGTCTCTAATCAATGATAGATATGTGGTGTCAGCAGCGCATTGTGTTAAAGGGTGAGTCAATAGATTCCTGATTTTAAACCTTTAAGTAACTCTAGGACTTAAAGTTAACATTAAATTACTAGTACTTAAATAACTTTAACGAGTTAAAAATCTTCTCTTTCTAAATATATCTATAAAAATAGTCTCGGGCAGGACTTTTAAAATAAACCGCAGTAACTTCGTTTTGTTTTTGTCTTATAATACAGAATATTGGTTATTAATTGCTTAAGTTTTCATCAGTACGGGTACAATTGGAACGATTAATTGTACATAGGTAGATAACTTCGAAGGCTATAAAGAGCTTTTAAAACCTAGAGACTATATAAATAATAAGTCTTGATACTCGCATAAGAAATTTGTTTAATCTTATACAAACAATTTTTTTTTACATATTCTCTTTTTAAAAGTAATGTGTAATGTTGTCAAGTGGTTTGTATTGCTTACAACAAATTCACAACCATAATTTTTTTTAGATTCATGTGGTTTATGTTTCGAGTGAAATTCGGCGAACACAACCGTTGTGAGACGAAGGGAATGCCTGAAATGCGTTACATAGTGAAGATAATAGCTCACAACTTCACCCTGACTGAATTGACTAATGACATCTCCTTGCTACGGCTAAACAAAGCTGTTGAATATTCACATACGATACGACCCGTCTGCATACCGCCTATTGAAAGTAAGTTTGACATTGGAGTATTTGACATATTAAAAAAAAATTACAGAGGCGGGACTCGAAGCCGCGATAAGTAAAAAATTACCTATTCGAAGAGTAAAAAACAAGTAGAAAATGTTTATTGAATGGATTATCGTTACAAAAATAAATTGAACAAACTTTATTATTTTTCACATATAAAAAATCCATTGAAATAAAAAAATGTTAATGGTCTAACATAGCGTTTTAAACTGTTATTTAGTGATTTATTTAAACGTGTACTACTCGCGCAAACTACGGACAGTATTTAAAAAAAATCTATGACACGGGCGAGACTTGAAGGGGTATCCACAACGATTTTGTTGTGACGGCTCTAACATGTGTTAGAGTCGCACCGTAATTAGAGCAGACATACACTTATTTTAGATTGAAAACAAAGTTGGTTACACTGCGAGACTCAAACCTACGACCTAGGCAGTCTATCGTGTTGCTCTACCGCTTGAGTACATTCGTGTCCCACACGTGTACACTTTTTTTCTAAAATAATTTCTGCGTTAACTAATGTCTTAATAATTATTAATATAAACGTAATTTAAAATGCAAAACGATGCAATTCGTGTAAAATGTCTTGTTAACCACATTATTGACCGTCATTTTCTGATAAACTCGCCTAATGGTTGTCAAGTGGTCCTGCATTTGGTGTAATATGATATTGTGTCTCATACAAGGCTTTTAAGAGATTACGGCATATATGTGGCATTGATGTCATAAATACATTAAATGTAATATTTGTATGTTATACATATTTACATTAAATTTTATATTAAAGAATCAAAAAAAAAAAAAAAAATTTTAGCCTTGTTTCGAATTACTTACTAACTTAAGTAAGTAACGTAACGCGAGGCGCATTAAAGATCTTTATTTATGTGTGTACTACGCTAAATACCAACTTCGACGAAACAGATGGCGCTAGGGTAGCTGTTTTTTATTTTTGACGCCAGAGACACCCTCCATCTTTAGCGCTCCCCTGATCACGGCCGCTGCAAAGCATCCGAAACGTCGGGATATCGCGTTTTAAACCGTTATAGTGTTTTATTGAAATGTGCACTGCTCGCGTGAACTTTAACTAACATATTTCACATTTTCAACCGTTCAAAGCAATTTATATTATTTATCGTTTACAGGTAAAACTAAGACATACACAGGAGAATTAGCAACAGTAGCCGGGTGGGGAGCGATGGGTGAAACGGGTAACTGGTCGTGTTCTCTTCTCGAAGCTCAATTGCCTGTTCTGAGTGAAGAAGCGTGCAAGAGTACAAGTTACAATAAATCTAAGATTAGAGACGTTATGCTCTGTGCCGGTTACCCTTCTACTGCTCATAAGGACGCTTGTACTGTAAGTTATTAACACCCAAATAAAGTTATACGTGAGATATAAAACAAACAAATTCTGGTTACATTTCATCGTTTTTTATACTAGCTGTGTCCACGGCTTAGACCGTGTGGAATAGTTAGATTTGGGCATCAAATAATTTATTTAGCTCAGCTATAAAGCTGCTACTATTATATAAATAATTTCTGTTACCCACGACGTCGTCTACGTCCCATTGTTGGCGAGGTACTCTTACATGTCATACTGTAGCGGACATAGAGTAGTTAAAGAATAATCATTCGTTTATGTTTTATATATATTTAACACGAAAGGGGGGGGAAAACCCAAAAAAATTTTTTTAATTACCCTTTAAAGTTTTATAGCTTAAAGCCTTCCTCGATAAATGTTTTCTCTGTAGTTACTGAGCGTTCAACCAAACTCTTCAGCTTTATATTTTTATAATAAATTGGTTAAGGCTACACCAATTTATTGCTTTTTCACTTGCTATGAATTCGAACTCGGTATCTCTTGCGTCTAACAGCTAAGATATAGAAGTTTTTTAATGCTAAGTCACTTGTATACGTTTTTATGATGTATCTTTTGTTTTATAGGGTGACAGTGGAGGTCCATTAATTGCTGAGAATCAAGATCACGCATATGAACTTATAGGTATGTAAAACTTCCCTGGATCTAAACTACCTGTTATTTATTTTTCACTCGTGTCCTATGCAAATATAATTTAAAAGGTCTAGACAGACCCTCTCGCACTCACGAATTAATGAAGTGACCATGTTTAATGTATTATAATCATATTGTAACACTTTGTCCAGCATAAAATAAACATGTTTTTTATTCTATTGAACTTTAAATTACAATATTTGTATTTGCAGGAATCGTATCCTGGGGCTATGGTTGTGCAAGAAAAGGATTCCCGGGGGTTTATACAAGAGTTACGAAGTACTTAGATTGGATAAGAGATAATACGTACGACTCGTGCTATTGCGAATACTGATTGTAGGCTTTGCCATTTCCATCCATCCCCATTCTCCCCTAAAAGCCGGGCCAGTATTTTAGCAATTAAAATTACCGTAGGTTCTCTGGACGGTAACCTCGCTTATAAAACCAATTCAACAAACGTTGCAATAAATTTTGAATGCATTTTAATTTTGTTTTATTATTTTGTCCTCCCATTTCTTATTGCAATTTGAGATATATTAAAGTGTCCGCCATAATTCATATTGATTTAGGTTTTCGGTTTTGACCTTAGCAATAAACTTAGGATCGTAAAAGTAACTTTTATGGTTACTTTATTGATCGTTTTGGGGTATTTTAAGTGTTACTGAGATATAACTAATCCGCGATTTTGCTGATATTTTTTCGAAATTGCAGATTAATGGGGATTTTTGAATTTTGAACCACAACCTAAAGGACGCGATTATCGTGCTACTTAAGGCTATACATTTTTTTATTTGTCTTGTGCTTTGTGAACTACTCCACTCTCCAACAATACTGGTCAAGTGACGGTAATTATATTTCTTTTGCACTAGACTAGCAGGAAAATGTTCTTTTGCCATATGAAGTAAGACCAAAATTTTGTTACTATAAAAACGGTTATTGTGAGTTAATCTAATAAGATGAATATATACCTATTGTAGTGATAATTTTTTTTAATTACTTTAAAAATAATAATTTTTATACACATTTTTTGGGTATCTTGAACCGTTTTGCAGAGTAGGCAACCAAAATAAAAAATTGTATAGTTTTTTACCTTATCTTTCCATATCCCTCTGTTTCCTTCTTCGCTTATATGTCTCGCAGTCTGATTATTTTTAACCTAGATCCTTCCTCGATAAAAGGTTTATCGAATACGAAGAATTGTTCAATTTGAACCGGTAGTTTCTGATATTATCGCGTTTAAACAAACCAACTCTTCAGCTTATATATTTCTAGAGAGGATGTAACACGACTATTTTGCCAATTTTTCATTATAGTTATTACGTAAAATTCTTAGTTTGTATGGGTGCTGCTTAGTGACATAAGTTTAAGTGAACACCGAAAGGCTGTCACGGGCTATCTAATAATAGACGTGGGCTTAGCTTCAAGTTGTGGTTGCAGGATCAATGCCCCCATTCCTGTATGCAAGCTCCGTGTACCAGTCTTTCGTAGAATATCCTCATTTGTATGAAAGTGTCTTTGCTAAGATGTGGTCTATGAAATTAGTGATTGTGTGGTTAATGTGTTTTGGTGTTATGGTTAGTATTGAAAATAAGCTTAACTATATATGATATGGTTGTCGGTTTCTTATTTTATAATACTATGTTAAAAGAAAATTGGAGTTCTTAAAGAGCGGAATTATATAAAAACAGAGTGTGTGATGTGAAATATGCGCAAAAAATATAAATGCACAAATGTGCTGATAACTACTTACGTAGTAGGTAGCTAACTGGAAGTTAAATTGTAAAAAACAAAATGAAAAATAATTTGAAAAGTTTATCCTCATTAAGTTTGTATTACTCGCATGAATATTGGACTGTATTCCAAAGCTATAAGATTCAAAATAAATATAATAATTTGTAAATTTATTTGAAATAACAATATTTCGCATCTCCGACAAGATTAAATATTTGTAAGAACAAGGGTTACAAATGCATTTCGGAGCCATTCATTTTTGATTTTAGGGAGATGAAATAATTAAAACCACTGATAAGGATAATACTGATAAGAGCGGAACGGATTTTGAATCAGATGATGATTTTAATGTTGACGTTAGATCATCTGTTTCTGACGATGCACCCAACAGAATATGTAAATGTCGTAAGTAATTTATAATGTGTGTTTCATAAGTGTGATATCGTTCGATCTACCTCTACAAATGAGAAATTGATTTAAAGACTAGCTAAATGAGGATTTGGAACTATCTTTAACTCTTTAAGGTTTGTTTGTGATAGACGTGATTTTTATGATAGAGAACATTCTACACAGATTGTAAACGAAACGTCTTTTTCCCGCCCATGTACCCATTTGATATCCAGATTACCAGACTATACGTTCCACAAAAATAATAAATTTATTAAAAAAGCCTTGGACCCGGTAAGGATCGAATCCAGGACCCGTTGCTTCTTAGCTATACATGTTGTTCCTATCATTACACAAACGGACCCGTCAAAATTGATAGACCGTAATTTGCAAGAAACAGTGGCAAATAAGCATTTTGCCTAAACTTTTTCCAATTTAAGTAATACCTATACACAATAACATTTTCAAATAAAACAATACAGCGAAAAGAAAAAGCGCGCGGAATCATTTTTACTTGTCTACAAATAAGCGGTGCGCGCGCATCAACGTTTTTTTTAGGCAAAGGTACAAAAACAGCCAGTATTACTAATAAAGTAAATTAATAATTTTGTGTTTTTGAACCTTTTCAAACAACTTTTTCCGCTAATCCAAGTTACGTTGGCTTCGGGCAAAAGTTGACTACTAAATTCGGTTTTTAGGATGCGGTGAACGCAATGAAGCTTCTCGTATTGTGGGAGGCGTGGAGTCTGCTGTGAACGAGTTTCCGTGGGTCGCAAGATTGACGTACTTCAAGAAGTTCTATTGCGGAGGAATGATCATCAACGATAGATATGTGATGAGTGCTGCTCACTGCGTTAAAGGGTTAAGCAAATTTATGATATCACTAATTACTCGAACTTAAGCCTTAATTTAATTGTTATCACAGTAGAACCTGTATAAGTCGAATACTAATTAATAATCAGTGAGTCCCTCCAAGCCATTTCGGTACATAAATTCCCTCCATAACTCGAAAAAAAATATTTTTAAATACTGTCTAGTGTTTACGAGTGCGAGTACTACACATTTAAATAAATCACTTTAACGGTTTAAAACGCGCTATATTAGTTAAATTTGATTTTTAACTTCCCGCGGCCCGACGTTTCGGATGCTTTGAAGCAGCCGTGACCACGTTTAATAAGAAATAAGTTTAACTAATATATCGCGTTCTAAACTGTGTGCTACTCGCGTAAACTATAGACAGTACTTAAAAATTTTTTTTTCGAGTTATGGAGGGAATATATGTACCGAATTGGCTTGGAGGGACTCACTGATTATTTCGACTAATAGAGGGTTAAGATTTTGAATAACGGAGGTTGTGGTGTTTGTAAGGAAGGAATTTTTTTCCGAGATGTGGAGGTTTTTGGCTTATCGAGGTTCGACTTAACGAGGTTCTACTGTATATGTAACCTTCTATGTATTAAAAATTTGCAAGTTCTGTTTGTTGTGCTAGCTTATAAGTTAGCTTCGTGATCATTATGTAATTTCAAGACTTAAACTTTCTAGAGATTTTTACATAGGTATATAAAATGATGGCATTATATTAAAAAAAAATCTTACGACACGGGTGTTTGTCGTACTAGGACAAGGTACCTCTATCATAGTAGCAAGCAGTACTCTGTGGATGCTGGTTCAAGTCGCTCTGTCGTAATTTTTTGTTTCAATCTAAATAGATTTTAATTTGTTGCAATATAGCTTTAAGATTGCAGACAAAGTTTAATAAGGATTCTAATAAGTTTATTAGTCTATTAAATATCTGGAATATACAAGAAAGTAACTTATAAAAAAAATTACCTTAAAAGTACGTTTACCATCTCAGCCGAGTGATATTTTTTCTTATTGTCTAGTTAACTTTGTTTATTAAGAAAACAAACAACATTTAACTTTCAGGCTCATGTGGTTCATGATAAAAGTGACACTTGGCGAACACAACCGATGCAACGAAACTTATAGACCGATCACGAGATACGTGGTCAATATTGTATCTCATAACTTCACTTATGTCGACTTCAAGAATGATCTAGCTTTGTTAAAGCTGAACGAACCAGTCGAAATTACAGATACTGTAAAGCCTGTGTGCTTGCCACACAATGACGGTATGTAGGAGTTTATAAAAGAGACATAAATAAATACTGACACTTACGGCCTATGGAGGTCACTACTACCATCCCTAATAGGGTTATTAAAACCGTTTGACCTAGTAAAATCTTTAAAAACAAACAAGCAATATAATTTTAAAAAAAATACTTCAATTGCTTTAAAGATATATATAATAAACTTTTAAAGGTTTAAAACGACAACATTATTCGTTATTACAATTTATTTTAACTTCGGCCTGACGATCCGAATGCATGGCACGACGTTAAAGTGTTTTATTTAAATGCAAAACTTGCGTAACTATTGATACTACCTAAATATGTTACAGATAACGAATATATAGGCATCAAAGCTATCGCTGCTGGTTGGGGATCAATAGGCGAACAGAAGAACCACTCCTGCAATCTGCTGGAAGTTGAATTGCCGGTCATCAGTAACCAGGATTGTAAAAATACCAAATATGACAGCGCCATGATCGCTGAGAGCATGCTTTGTGCTGGATATCCAAGCGAAGGCAACAGAGATACTTGTCAGGTATAGGATAACTTTTAGTAAGTATCTATAATATAAAGAGTTTGTTAGTTCGAACCTGGTAATCTCAGGAACTAATGGTTCGAATTCAAAAATTCATTTTGTGTTAGTTAGACCTTTTATCGAGGAAGGCTACAAAACATTAATAGAGTGAAATAACAGAGGGAAATGAGAAAAAACACGGGGACATTATTCATCTCTGAGGGTTCTCTTTGCGTGCGTTTTCAAAAACGGTTTAAGTTTAGTTTTTACTTTGTATACACTTAACTAAATTTTCTTTAACAGGGCGACAGTGGTGGGCCTTTATCGGCTGAAAGAAAAGACAAACGCTATGAACTATTAGGTAATTGATATTACATTTATTTTACGTGTTGAAAAAAAAACAAACAAAGTTACATTATAATATAATTGTTTAAAAAATAATTACCTTATAAAAAAATACTTTTTTACGAAAATTGTATAAGCTAATTCTATAAAACTATAAATTTTATTTATTCGCTTTAGATGTTATACAAATTCCTGTTGTACTGAGAGCTAAGTTCGATTCTCATTAATAACACATATTTTTAACTTAACAAAATTAATGAAATACGTAATGGAAATTAAAGGTATTTATACTTTTTAGCTTAAGACGTTAAGAGTTGTATTAAAAAATCATACTTTTAACCGTTTAAAATGCAAAATACTAGTACTACGGCCCGATATATCGGATCCTTGGCAGCAATTGTGGTGACGGGGTTCCCTCTGTCGACATATAAGTCAACAAATATATTTCGCGTTTAAAACTGTTAAAAGTGTTCTTTTATGTGTAAAACCAGGCATACTTCAGACATTGTTTGATTAGTTGAGAATTATTGTTTTTTGTTCATTATAGGTATCGTCTCTTGGGGTATTGGTTGTGGACGGCGCGGTTACCCAGGAGTGTACACAAGAGTCACAAAATATCTATACTGGATCAAGCATAACGCACGCCAGGGCTGTTTCTGCAGGGATTAGTACATTTTCCCAAAGTTTCGTACCCGTATATAATTTTGAAATAGTGTTATACAGAAATCGAATATTCTTACACGACCATTGACATTATCTCCAACTTAATTAAAGAGCCCGCATATTTAAACAATTTTTTTATGTTCAAACACCTTGGCTACCTTTATTTAAAAATAGTTTGAGCTATACGCAACATCTAGGTAGGTATCGCTTTGGTTAATGATAGAAAATGCATTTTTTATCCGTCGTATCTTTGTGCTACCTCGTACAGTTTTCGGTATGTTTTTTTATTCATATATTTTGAGTATTTTGTTTTTTTATTTGTTGTATATATTTTTTTCTGGTTTTAGAACTGCGAGAGTCTTAGCAATTTATTAAGTTATTATTTGGGACTTCGACGCTTGTGCTTTTGTCGTGAGTAACTTGTTTTTATCGAATGTTAACGCTACGAAACATTTTACCATTTTATCTACTTACTCTTGTTAAACATTGTCTTGATTACGTTAGCACTAGAAGTCCTGAGTTCGAGTCTTAGGCAGGGCACAGAAGTACTTGCCAGTAAAGAAACAATTTGTCACATAGATACAAATATGTGTCTTACAAAAGGAAAAAGGAAGGACTTTCTATTTTTGTACATTTCAATCTTTTGTTCATAATAAGTTTGTAAGTACATATGGCTTATAGATATTTCGATTTCAGGGTGTGGCATTCCCTACAGCCAGAAGAATACACACAGCAGGACGGTAGGAGGCGAACCTATACATCGCGACGAAATGCCATGGTTGGCCTATGTACATACTAACGAGAGTTCTGTGTCTGGAACTTTAATTTCAGATAAGCATGTCATTACTGCTGCGTCATCTGTTTACGAGTACGCATTGTTGTATATAGTACACGTCTTTACACCCCCCCCCCCCTTATATAGATATGAATCGTTGAAAACGCAGACAAGTATAATAGTAAACTTGTATGAGATTTATAGTTAGATAAAAAGTTTACTTAGTCTTAGTTACAACTCTTTGGTGTAATGGGATAGCAATGCTAACAATCAATGGTTCGTGGGTTCGATCCCTACCGGGTGCAATAATAATCAATCAATATTTAAACACTGCAAATCTTGATATCAAATGGGTAATCGTAATTCCCTGGTTTTCTGGTTTGCAGCCGTGCCCATTATATTTCGTGTTTTAAACTTTTAAAAGCGTTTTATTTAAATGCAATAGTTGCAACTCTAGCCCATACTTAAAAGCTTTACCTACATACAAGTTTTGCCAAAAATCTTAAAACTTAGTTTGTTTTATTTGTCTGTTGTTCTTAAGTTATAACATAGATGATTTGTTTTTTATAATTCAGACTTTTACCATCAAGAGTATCAGTCACATTGGGAACAAATGACATATGCGAAAAGGTGACATCAGCATTCAACGCTAGCGTAGAAGCAATCTTAATTCATCCAAAATATTCACCGACGAGAAAGAACAATGATTTGGCTTTACTGAAACTACGAAACCATGTTTCTTTTAGTGAACACATTACGCCGATTTGTATGCCATTATATGGTAAGTGTAAAATACTGTCTGTTGTTTATGCTATTAGTACACACTTAAAAACTTTAACGGTTTAAAACGCGGTATACATTACCCGACGTTCCCCGTGAGTCTCCCCGAGAAGGCTGCTGCAGCCGAAACGTCTATACTAAATATCGTCTAAAACTAATATATTTCGCGTTTTAAACCATTGAAGTGTTCTATTTAAAAATGTAGAAAAGGTGATCTAGATCCTGGCATCATATATAAAAATTAACGTTGAGAATGAAAGAACTGCTTGTGTCAATAAGTGTATTCTTAAGAATTTTATGAACACACTTAAATAATGTTACTATTTGAGCTTGAAATGTATTATAAGACTATAAAATTATGTTCCCAATACCTTAGAATTCTTTGTTCTTAAAACACATATTTTCTTTAGATTTTGTTTAGTTAGAATAAAGATTTGACTTGAGATGACGTACACTTGGATTTTCAATGTATTTTCGTCTTTTTTGCCTAAATATCAGCTTCAGGACAGATTAAATGTTTCATCTTCTATTTTCCTTTTTAGATATAGGTCACGACAAACGCTTAGTGGAAATAGCATCAATAGCCAGCGATAATATGACGTCATCTATGAATTGTGTGACCCACTCAACACCATTGTCGATTCTATCAGAGAGAACGTGCTTGACTTATGCCAACTCTTCACTAATTACATCCGATAAAGGCTGTTTGGGTCCTGTTGGAGCGCCAGGGACTTTGTGTGAGGTAATCTCTATTTTATATAGAACGTAAGTATTTCGGACCTTTTACTATTTCTTTATGATAGAAAAGGACAATTTTGATAATTCTATTTATAAAAACAATAATTATCAAAAACATTGAAGTGTGAATATTCCTCATATATTTATTTCATTACAGTCGGATATAGGATCACCAGTTATGACGCGCTTCTCATCCATCAGTCCCTACAGGTTACTTGGTGTTTTATCTACAGCTAGCTGCTACGATGCCGAACCACCTCTTTACACCAAAATTGTCGACCATTTACCATGGATCCATGAAAACATTCGCCGGGACTGTCAGTGCTTTTGAATAAAACCTCTTCTACTTTACCTCTTTTTATTATTATCATCATATCATCACCTAGTATTCATACGTAGTTATGTGATTACAGTTATTGCAAATAAAAGGCACATTTGACATCAACGATTTTAAGCTGTGGCAATTTTGCGTTGCGTTAAATTATTTTCAATCAAATCTTTCTCAAACAGAGGCAATCCTTCTTCTCTTAAAGTAACGTTTGGTGGTGGATATGTTACGTTGAAGGTTGGATTCAGTGGGTGCTTTGGGCCTAAAGCCCTCACAGCTGTTTCGTATTCTTCATCAGATAAGAAGTAAGTACCGTCTCCTGCTTTCCTAATGCGATTTGCAACCTGTAGTGAAAAATTATCATGATAGAATTTTTGAATTAAGGACAATATACTTTACCTATTATGTATATTAGGTCTTAGTATTTTTTGGTCTACTTACTTGAAGTTATATAGTTACATGTTGTTTAGGTCATGTATAGCGTTCGATAAGAATTTACACCTTTCATGTTTCATGTCTCTATTAATACGGATAGTCGTAGTAAAGAATTTCTTACCATTTCTGGAGATGCAGTCTTCAAATCATAAGCCAAACCCAATTTTGCACAGAAATCTATAAATCTAGCAGATGGATTTATGAAGTCAACAAGTTCTGCAGCTTTGTAATCCCACGGAAACGCGTGGTGGTAGTTATGCCAACCTTCTCCCATTGTGGCGAATGAAACAAACCATGATTCGACTGGCTGGATACTCCTGAGGGAATAATTATGACAGTCAAAATAAACAAGCAGGTGTTAAGGAAAAGTTTGTGTATGAAATTGAACCTATTGTTTTGACGGGATCGTTGGTCTAATGGTAGCAATGTATGGCTAATGATCAATGGGTCGTGGATTCGATCCTCACCGGGTCCAACGTGTTTTTAATTTTTCAATTTATAATTTTTCTGAAACATGCTGGACTTCGTCTGGAAACCTGGATATTTTGAATGGGTGGTAGGATTATAGAAATTCCGCCCGGGTCACGAACCACTGTCCACAGATGAAAAAGCCGTGAAGCTTAATCGCGTTTCGGTTTCAGTCTGTGGATTTCCGAATATCCAAAGCCAAAATAGGTCGACAAAGCATCTTGTTTGGATGCTATAGGGGGGGGTATATTACTTACCATCAAGTGAATGTCTGTCCTCCTCTATCACTAAAAAAACTAAACAATACCTTATCGTAGTATGTTATAGATGAAGATTTTTGTAAAATGAAATAATACCTACCTGTCATAAGGCCTTGTGCCGTATAGATGAGCAGCACTATTGACAAGCCACGTACAATTCAATTGGTAGACATATCGGCCAAAATAACAAACTAATATAGAGTTCTTTAGAGTTTCTCCAAAATAATATGGAACCATAACTGGAATCAATATAGCTGTTATAATATACAAATATACGTAGTATCTGAAAATATAAAAAGATAATTCATTATCATGAAATTTGGAACATGGAAATAATCCTTGAAAAATAGAGATGAAATTAATTACTGGTTACAACCAACAAATTTGTAAGGTTACCTTTGAAGATAATGACGAAATCGAAAACTATTAAAACTTTTTAGTATCTTTTTTACAAAACTGCTTATTACTAAATGATTTAAACATAATTAGTTTATTCCATTAAATAACCATATTTACATGATTCAAGATGTTCTGTTCTTTTCAACACAGGCGTTTTTACGTTAGGCTAGTGTGAATTAACAGGTCAGGAGTTATGTGTTGCTTAGTGCCTATATAGTGAAGGGCCGTTGCAGGGGAAACGTTATATCTTAGTAATAAAATTCAACCTCTATACAACAGATGAAAAGTAGTGTTTCAGCTTTAAGAAGAGAATAATAAAATAAGAAGAAGAATTAAACATTTCTAAATATATATTACTTTTTTTGAAACATGACCATCCAATCAGCTTCCAAATCGCTCATATCAGTTCTTTTTCCAAACTCCTTGACATAAGGATGCTTCCTCGTAAGAATCCATCCTACATGCGAGAAGAAGAATCCTCGAGATGAGTTATGAGGATCGGCGTCTGTGTCAGAATATCGATGATGGAGACGATGGTCGCGTACCCATTCGTGTAATGAATTCTGAAAATTCAGTTAACCGTAATAAACCTGCTTTTGATGCATTATCAAACAAGGACTTGCCAAAGAATTTTTAAATCTGATCACACAAAAGGAAAACCAATTGTGATGTTAGGTTGTTTCTTAATTTTGGGTTTATTTTAATTCCTAACTTTTCAGAACTATAAAAATGCCATATCATAATAAATAATACATGCAAAGTAATATTTAAATTGCAGTACCTACATAATAATATGGAAACTAAAGATTAATCTAGAGCTTACCATAAGGCGTACCCACCTGTCCTGATGCCGTTTGCATCAATAATAAAAAGACTTTGAGAGGTGTTTTAGCCTTATAACATCTGTGAGCAAACAATCTATGGGCTCCGGATGTTATTCCTTGTGAGAGAAAGGTCAATAGGGTAAGGTCTGAAAAAAGAAAAAATATCTTCTAGTACTAGAAATCTTATATTACTCACAGTGCCCATCTTTCTTTACGCAATTCTGTGCGCTGGGATACTTAGTAAATAGGCTGCCCAAAAACTGATAAGATTTTTCATATTTACAAAATTGACACAAAAATCGGTCTAGTAGTTATTGCGTAGTTTTTTTTTTGATTAAGCATAACATCTCATTATAGTAACAAAGACGTACTAGAATGAAAGACAATCATTGTTAATTGCAATGCGTGTCTTGTTATCTATAAAGAATCTGATACCACGGCTGATGCAAAGCATATGGAACGTCGGGCCATAGTTAAAAATAATTTTCAAACAAGTTTAACTAAAACATATCGCGTTTAAACCGTTAAAGTGTTTTATTTAAATATAAAGAATCTGTATTAAATATTGAAATTAAATCTGCAGTCTACGCGAGTAGTGCTCGTTTAAATAAAAGACTAACGATTTAAAACGCGATATATATTAGTTAAACTTATAAAATGAGTCAAATAAGTTTAACTAATATATATAACTCAATTATCAAAATTAACAAATAGAAAGACGTATCCAGATAGTTTTTTCTTAGAGGTGTTAACTAGAAACAAGAAAACAAAAATTTAATATTGATGTATAAGTACTCACTCCATATGCATGTTTTCCAGTTTATCGATGCTGTTAAAAATAAATAAATCCCCCAGGCACCCAATATATGCACTATACCGAAGACTATCACATTTCTCCACACAATTTCATGTTTGTACGAATAATCCGTGCCTACGTGTTTGCTATTTACGACTTGGCTATTGTTTATTTTAGATCTCATTTCTTCATCTTTAAAGTCCTTTTCACTAGAACCCGTCATTATAACATTAGACGCCTAATTATATTTATTCAAAAGTCGTATTTTAGCTACAGTCAGGATTAACAATAAGATACAATCTAATGATCAATTCAATAAATAAACCTTTTTTATAGGTAACTAGAAGTGTGTTGCAGTAAAATTGCGAAATTCGTTAATGTAATAAATTCGGTAAATTATAAAATGGACAAATTTAATATAGTCCATATTAAATTGTATTTTATGTAAATTTTAAAAGTGCACTATGCAGAAATTGTTTTGTCCTCACCTTTGTTTGATTGCATCGAACCTAGATACCTAACTAAATTCAACTTGGGTAATCTTACCCTGGTTCAAGGCGAACAATTAAAATAATTAAAACTTAATGTTTTCATTTTGTTTATTATTAAAAGTAAAATATGATTCTACTTAAAATACTTACGCGAATAGTAAACATTATATTAACATAAATAACACTTTAACAGTTTAAAACGCGATATATTTTAGTGAAACTTGTTTGAAAATTATTTCCTACGATTCATGAGTCAATTCTGCAAGGACCCGGACAGTTTCGCCAAATAGCACTTTTTATTTTGACGTCAGAGACATCCTCCATCTTTAGTCTCCCCGTGACCACGGTTGCTGCAAAGCATCCGAAACGTCGGGCCGAAGTTAAAGATAATTTTTAAACAAGATTAACTAAAATAAATCGCGTTTTAAACCGTTAACTTGTTTTTTTTTAAATATTTTACTTGTAAGCGATAGCCTTTAATCTGATTTCTAGTTGCCTTGTTAACATTCATTTTCAGCCATTTTCATAAACGTCACGGATATCATTTGTCATAATTGAAAACGAAGTTTCATTTTGTAAACCGTACTTATCATTAGCAAAACAAATAATAAGTAAAATATATATATCAAATACCGGATTTTTGCGAATTGTTCGAATTTAAAATTGATCTGTAACATAAAATTGTGAAATTATACTTTGATCTTAATTGTATGGTAATGTTGTTTGAATTACCAAATTAATGACTTTTCGCCCTATGTTTAGTCCCCATTTATAAATATTATTTAGTAAAGATTTCTCCTCTTTCTTCTTAAGATAAAAATTAATAAATTCATCTTACGCCCTATTCTTATTTTCTTGATTTTAATAATATGTTTGTTTAAATACTGTCTGTAGTTTACGCGAGAGTACACATTTAAATAGAGCACATTAACGGTTTAAAACGCGTTTTATAGTAGTTAAAAAGATCAGTCATTAATTCAATTTTAATTAAGTCGTTGTTTTTACTTAAACTAATCTAATTGGATAGCGTGGATTTGTACTTTTTATTGAAATAATACTTTTAATAGAAATGAGAGATTATAGACAAAGAGTAATAGTGGCAAAAAATTAAAAGCGTGTTTTGGAAAAACAAACTTTTAAATAAAACGGAAGATTTCGACAAAGAATTTTTAATGTTTTGCGCCAAGCTAAGTATCTATAATTGAAAATAAAGAAAAGATGTAAATAAAACACTTTAACGGTTTAAATCGCGATATTTATTACTATAACTCATTTGAAAACTATTTTTAACTTCGGCCCGACGTTTCGGATGCTTTGCCGGTCGGTCACGGGGAGACTGAAAATAATTTTCAAATAAGTTTAACTAATATATATATAGCGTTTTAAACCGTTCAAGTGTTTTATTTAAATGTGTACTAGTCGCGTCAACTACAAACAGTATTTAATAAAGAAAAGATCTGTGACGTACTTTAGGCGGTTTGTAGAACAAAAAAATACAATGTCATATTATTTATTACATCTCAATTTGATACACGTATGCTCCATTATGTTTTGTCGACAAATTCATCCTTATTTAATCTTGTAGATATTTTTAAAGGCTCATTACAAGGAGGTTATGATTACGGACTAAAGAAATCGAGGGAACCTTTTAAAATCGTAGGGATGTCTAGTGTGATTATAGTTCACTCAGTAGGTACGTTTAATAAATTGTACTGCCTTGCACTATAATTAAATAAAGGTTTCGAGTATCTTTGACAATGGAGCTGAGAGACTAGACATTGTGTTTGAGCCTAAATATCTAAATACAAAAATACTTATGTTAAGATAATGAATACATATTTTATAAATATGGCTCACTAGCTGTGTCTGCGACTTCGTTCGCCAGATTAGTTATTTTGGGAAACCACTTTATAAACTAAAGCTGTTGTGTTGTGTTACCCATGACTTCGAACGCGTCCCTTCTCATCGTTCTTGCGAGTTAATATTAAAAGATAGACATATAGTGTTTCATTTTTTAGATCATTTAAAGGGGAATTATTCTTTCGTACATATTTTTTGGCTATCTTAAGCCGTTTTCGCAGCGTAAGTAACGGAAGCCCACAAAGTTGAATATTTTTTCCTGTTTTCTCCACATCTGCTGTTTCTTCGCTCCTATAAATTGCAGCGCTATGTTATATAGCCTATAATCTTCCTCGATAAATGCTCTAACCCACACAATTCGAACCGGTAGTTCCTGATATTAGCGCGTTCAAACAAACAAACAAATAAACGAACAGACTCTTCACCTTTATATATTGGTATAGATGTTAAATACATAGATACACAAGTACTTTTCTAATACGATTGATAGTGTGTATCGTTATAATATTCTCGATATTATAACGTTCAATGTATTTTACGTTGTTTGACAATTAATAACATACATACAATGATATTTTAATACAATTTCATCTGCTGGTTTTTAATTAAATTTTACGTCTGCAACTTTTATAGCCATGAATGCTAATTCTATGAAAATGACGTTTGCCTTGTCGCCCTGTGTAAATATATTTTCTTCAGGCATACAATGAAGTGTTGTTTCGTTTTTGTCTTTTTGTCTCTTGATATCGTAAGTTTGGTGTTCATGCTATATAATAATATTGATACAGATAACTGTGTATAAATAATTTTTCAGATTTTCGCTAAAAAGACATCTTTAAATCAGACATGCGGTAAGGTTTTGTAGAGGTGGTGTTTTCGACAGTATGTAACGTTTTCTATAATTTTCCTGCCTGCAAATATCAATACACAATGGACAAATTTAAATTAGCTTAAGTTGTCATCTCTGTTGGTCCTTAAAATTTGCGTTACTAACTTTAAGTTAGCTACAGAATTAAGGATAATGTATCCTTATATTTTTTTATTTCGTTCTATATTTTTAGTCTGAAATAAAAATAAAAAATATTTGCACACTACATAACTCGATTTTTCATCAAAGTATAAGCACACCTGAGTAATATATCTTTTATTATTATTATTTTTACGTTAACGGCTATTATTTTTAGAATGTGGCATAGCAGGAAAGAACCGACGTATAGTGGGTGGTAGCACCGTGCAGCCCCACCAGTATCCTTGGCTAGTAGCTCTAATGCTGGGCCCAAAGTTACATTGCGGGGGAGCAATTATCACAGACCAACATATTTTGACCGCTGGTCATTGTATTACATTTGGGTGAGTGTCAGGTCAACGTACATAAATAATATATGTTAGAAAAGATATGTGTGACAAGGTTAATCGAATTGTTACTGTTCTAATCGAATGTAAATCAAAACAATCGATTTTTAATTGTGTCACTCGTCAATAGACGACTATGTTAATCATGCGAAAGTGTCTTCGTTTGTTGATGCTTCACGAATAAAGTACTTACTACATTTGACTTATGGCATGCAGACACGAAAATTAATGCCCATATTGCACACACACAGTATTGCTTTTTGAGAAAAAAAAATTCTTGTCTGTTTGTTCTGTAAATTATGCTTTTATGTGCTGTAAAAAAAATCCTACTTTATTTAACTCTTATTTATTAACAAAAATGTCTATAGATTCAATTGTTTTAGGCTATTTTAAATTTCCAGAGTAAGTTTTCGAGACTTGACTGTCAACGTAGGAATGCACGATCGTTTGGGATCGTCGTTCACCGTGATGCGGCTAAAAAATGGTGTAAAACATCCTGCATTTACGTCAAATGCCGTGCGAGACATAAATGACATCGCCGTTGTAACATTAGATAGGAAATTGAAGTTTTCTGACTCCGTGCGCCCTATCTGCTTACCTTCGGAAAGTAAGATTATTGTTTTAAATATATTATACTTTAGTGAGATCCAAAATAAGATGGCGTAGGTATTTTGCAGTTCTGTGTCAGCCAAATGCGCCCCATTTGGTCATGAAATTACTTCAATTATACTATATATTACTTTAAATAATGTTTATTTAAGCTGTCTATAGTTTACGCGAGTAGTACACATTTCAATAAAACACTTCTGACTGAGTCTCCCCGTGACCACGGCTGATGCAAAGCATCCGAAACGTCGGGCCGAAGTTAAAAATCATTTTCAAATAAATTTTAACTAATATATCGCGTTTTAAACCGTTAAAGTGTTTTATTTAAATTATTTAAGCTTATATTTTTATTTTCTGATACATTTACAAGAGGTTAAATCCGTTACCTACGTATGTGCTAACATATTAGGGTGTCCATGATCAAAAAAAAATTGTATATTGTTTCCCAGAATCCGAACTCAGGAACTCTCGTGCTTATTGAAATGGCTAGGTAACACGAATGTCGACGGGCTCGTTCGTGGAATGGTAGCAAGGGTTCGATCCCTACGGGGTCGAATATTTTTCTTATCAATTTATAATTCGTCTGAAACATGTGACTTGTCGACATCGAATAAGTCGATACCGCATCTTATTAAGATTGTATATGGCTGGGTTATTTCTCCTCTCCTTCTCCTCCTTCACCTCTTTCATAATAAAATGTAACACGCTTAACGTACGCGTTACGTTCGACGTTCGCTCTTTCTACGAAGCAGCCTCCGTGATTCGCATGTGCGAAATCCCGTTTTCCCCTAGTGAGGCATTGGACAAACATATTTCTGTGTCCGTTCTTTAACAGCCAAGTAGTTGATCAGACTTAATCTAAGACTAATACGTTTAATCATTTGGCTACAGAGGCGGTCCGTGATTGACATAAACAACAAAAAATCCTTGTAAATACAAAAAATATTTATGGATGACGTCACTAATCTTAATAAAATTTCCAGGCATGGATTTCCGAAATATATCACTAACAGTTGCTGGTTGGGGTAAAACTAGGCAAGGAGCTTTGACATCTTCTCGATATTTACTAGAAACAAGAGTAAGGATAGTCGACAGCCAAACCTGCAATAAGACCTCAATATATAGAAGCAATCTGGTGAAAGACACCATGATGTGCGCTTATAGTGTCGGAAAGGACGCTTGTCAAGTAAGTCTGCGGTCTACTATAAACGCGCTATAGCTCGACCCGGGTAACGCCTTACGCTGCGGCATGTGCTTTGCTGCTTACTATGATCAGCTAGTAGGATAGAAGCCTTCGAGAAGAAGAATTCGAAGTTAGTTCGCGTGAAATTTTTGCAAAGAACCTCTAAACTTCACAAATTAAGGGTTACCCACGACGTTGACCGCGTGAATCTTAAAACTATTTACAGAAAAAATCTTTCATACATAGCTTTTCGGTTACTCGTATCGCAGCGCGCGCAACGGAAGCATTCAAAGACTAATAATTTTCCCCCTTGGTCCACATTTCCCTCTGTTTCATTTGGTCGCAGCCTGTTGTTTTATAGCCAAAAACATTCCTCGCCAAATGGTCCAACCAACATATTTTTCAATTCGAGCTATTAGTTCCTGAGATTAGCGCGTTCAAACTCTTCAGCTATATAATATTAGTATAGATTGGTTATATTTTAGGGTGATAGCGGTGGACCCCTGTTTTCTACACATGATAAGACACGAAATAAGAAATGGTATCAAGTTGGTAAGTATTGGGCGATGGGGGGTTTTTTTTTGAGTGAAACCCCGTCTCCCCTCGTGGGGCATAGGGCGAACACACATCTGTGTCTCTCTGTAATTTTTCTGATCGGTTTTATTTACAGGTAAGGTAAGTTGATCACTTCTGTGCCCTGCCCGACCGAAACAATTCACTGTTTCCACGGGATTCGAACCCAGGACCTATCGCGCTTAACACGTTTAACCATTTAGCTACAGAGGCGGTCGGGGGGTAGTTAATGTTATAGATAATAAATAAGTATAAAATATGATATATGAAATTCTAGGTATTGTGTCATGGGGAATTGACTGCGCGAAGAAAGACTATCCAGGTGATTTAAAACTTTATTGCACATAATGGCATTATAAGTATACATTTTACAGCGATTTTAGGTTGAAATAATTTTAGGACACGGGTCTTGAAGCGGCATCCACAAGGTTCCGTGCTGCCGGTTCAAGTTTATTCTGTCTTAAGTCGATTTGTATTTAAATTTAGTCATTTATTTCATTTGAAAACATTAATATTTTTAACATGTTCTTGATTATTTATCACAGTTGTCACTGTAGCTCTTTGGTTAGAGCAGTATGGAACGTTATGCTAGTGCTCTTACCAAACTTCAAGTCTCGCCTGTGTCGTAAATATTTTCAATCTGAATAATTTTGAGGGTTTTAATTTATATAATGTTCCAAATTACAAAGCGTTAGGTAACGCGTAGTACAAATTAAAATAACTCAACTGCATTGGATTGTAACGTATTAGTTTTTACTTCGGTTTTGCTGAAACAGATTTTTTGCTGATTGTACATTACAAATTGTGTATCGTTGGAGACTAATTATATATTTTTTCAGGCGTCTACACAGTAGTATCAAAGTATGTTTCGTGGATAAGGAAACAAACGAAAGACGGAACGTATTGTCCATGATTATATCACATACACTTTCAGCGGCCACAATCAGAGATACATGTTTTAGGAGTATTTATTGCGAATTACGTAACAATATTCAAATTTTGCTATTTAAAAAAATACATATCATTTATCTATCAATCGATGTGATTACGAAATATCTGTCATAAGACGTATAACGTTGAACTGTCTTTAAAGATTAGCTACGTAGATACAGAAATTCACAGACTGAACCCGTAACTTAGATATATATCTCATCTGTAGACTCAATAACCAGGGCTATCGATAATTGTACCACTTCCACAAATGACTTAGAAACATACTGTCTATAGTTTACGCGAGTAGTACACATTAAAAAAACCTTAACGGTTTAAAACGCGATATATTAGTTAAACTTATTTGAAAATGATATTTAACTTCCGCCCGACGTTTCGGATGCTTCGCAGAAGCCGTGGTCACTGGGAGACTAGAGATGGAGGATGTCTCTGACGTCAAGGTAAAAAGTCGGACTGAAGTTAAAAATCATTTTGAAATAAGTTAAACTAATATATCGCGTTTTAAACCGTTAAAATGTTAAAAAAAGCCCAACAAACTAATAAGTTTGAAACTTGAAAGTGCCTTCAAACACATCAAAGTAAAGACATAAATCACCACAATTTCAATATAGTTCGGTTACGCTAGTCACACTTGTAGTGACACAAATTTAATTCGCTTATATATGATTTATGTTCATTGCAATTCGTTCTTGTCAGACCAATTTGGTTTTCATCAATCGAACGATTTACTAGTTATATTAAAGCGATTCACTCATATCTATGGAAGAGAGGGGATTTTTTTCCACGTTTTTGACGTATACAAATTGACAGATGTCAACTGTCATTCGACCTTCTTAATTACGTTTACTACGGGTTCGCTGGCGTAATGGTATTAATGTAGCGGTTTAGATTCTCACCGGGTGCAACAAATATCTAATCTATTATTAATTTTTCTGAAACACGTTCGTTTTCATCTGGAAACCTGGATATTATATGGGTGGTAGGAATGTCGAAATTCCATACGAGTCATGGACCACCGTCCACAGATGAAAAAGCCGTTAACTTTAATCGCGTTTAATCTGAGGATTACCGAATATACGAACAAAATGGTGGACAGCGCACCTTGTTTAGATGTTATATGACCAGCATATTAGGTATTTCATCTCCAATTCAAGTGATGCTTGTCTGTTCTCCTTTGTCATTAAAAAAACTACAGTTTTGCCATGTATTGGAAACTTTTTGCAATCGACTGCAGTTGTGCCCCGAGTTTGCTAATTCGGAAACTAGTGGTAGTATTTTATAAAGCCACAATCGATTGTGAAAAAGCTCTGTCATACACTGACGAAGAACTAGAATAAAATACTAACAAAACATGGAGACTCTGGAGTCTGAAGTTCAGCTGGATGTTTTAATAGATATTTCCCTTTAGATCTTTTTCCTAGACAAAGTCATTGCCCGGATACATTTTAAAGCGTTATGTAAAATATAAATACTTCAATTAAGTGTAAGATTTAACCTTCGCAATGCTTGTACAGAATGTCACACCGTGAAATTAGACGATAAGAAATATTTGAATTTGTTTAATAAATTCACGCTTTATACTTTATCGTTTTATTTAACACCTAAATAATAATATATATTTGTCCTATATATCTACAGACTCTAGCATTTCGCTAATGAGATAAGAGACAAACAAAAATGTATGCAGCAATAAATTTAACAGCGTCCAGCGTATTAAATTTACAAGGACACTACCGCGTGGATAATTTCTTCGGCTTAAGTAAGCGTTCGGCGCACAATGGTGTAAGTGCATGGGCTAGAAAACAGTCCCACTGGTGTCACCAATTAGAATATATTGTGTTTAATTAGACAATGCTGTGTTTCATACTCCTTCTTGCTGTGATAAAGGTTCGTAACTGACCTATTACAAGCACTGGGCTTTTCATTCTTATGAATTTCTTGTTAATAAGTTTCGTGTTTAGGTGGCGGTCGTGATTGGATTTGAGTGTCGTAAGTGGTTTTTTTTATTCGATTCTTCATAACAAACAAAATGTTTTATATACTGTCTGTAGTTTACACAAATAGTTTTATAACATTTAAATAAAATACTAACGGTTTAAAACCAGGTGCCAACCTGCTGCTGCAAAGCATCCGAAATGTCGGGCCGTCGTTAAAATAATAAAAAATGTATATTTCGCGTTTTAAACAGTTTAAGTGTCCTCTGTAAATGTGTATATGCTTATATACGATTATGTTTTTGCAATTTAAGTTTTTATTATTATTATTACATACTTAATAAGGGGAAAATATATAATCTAATATTTGCAATTATAATTCACATAAGTATACAAAAACCTATTAGAAAAGATTTGATTATATTCTAGGATTGGGTACTAATTAGATTTTCGTAAATATAATCGTATCTATTAGATTGCGGTAGGCCAGCGGACACCGTGGTCGCCATGAGGATAGTTGGAGGAAGACGAGCTGAACCACACTCGTATCCTTGGACGGTAGCCATATTGAAAAACAAAAGAATGCACTGCGGAGGAGCTATGATTACAGACAAACATGTTTTGAGTGCGGGGCATTGTTTTAAATGGTAAATCTAATTTATTTTTTAGCTATGACAATACTTTTTTTAATTATTTATTATATGGAAATTAAGAAGACACTAATAATAAAGAATTGACTTGTTTTTTTTTACGATAGAAAAGAACAGTCAGCCATATAACATCTAACGTTCCGTGCTGGTGCTCTACCAATTGAGCTACCGAGTCCGAATTGGTAGAGCAACAGCACGGAACTCTGACGATGCCGGTTCAAGTCTTGCCCGAGTCGAAAATTTTTTCAATTTATTTTCGATTTTTAAATTATATAGTGCCTTCATGTGCAATGACAAGTGAAAAATATTAATGTTTTCAAACGTTATAACTTTGTAATTTCATCTTCAATGATTTCTTAAGCTGCAAAGCATAAGACATTGAACCTTAATACGCAAGTGTTAAGGTTGAAATTACATTGCGCGAGAGGTGCATCTATCAATAAGTTGAAAAAATTCGATGATGAGGTGTAGGACTCGGTAGCTCAATTGGTAGAGCAACAGCACGGAACGCTGACGATGTCGGTTCAAGTCCAGCCCGAGTCGAAAATTTTTTCAATTTATTTTCGACTTTTAAATTATATAGTGCCTGCATGTGCATGCAATAACATGTAAAAATAATAAAGTTTTCAAGGTTTAGGATATTAGGAATCCAGAGTGATCCACTGAAACCAAAACGAGATTAAATATTACGGCTTTTTCAACATGTGGACGGTGGTTCGTAAACCGGACGATATTCGATATTCCTACCACAACAAGAAAGATTTATAAAGTCAACATGTTTCAGAAAAATTATAAATTGAAAAACTTTGAAACATGTTAGACCCAGTCATAAGACCTTTGCGCCAAAAGCTTAAAAAAAAAACATTTTTTTTAGGAACGTTAGTTTTTTTTATCGTTCTGAAATTACTATTAGTCTAATTAGTTATTAAAAATAACGCTTAATAGCTATATTATTAGTGGAATGCGTGACGTTATTATCGATTTGTTTTTCACGATATTGACACGAGTGTGCTTGAGATTGCGTGGAAACTAAATATTTCCATAACAACTGTTTGTTTCTGAAAAAAAAAAATATAAACATTGCCCATGTAAAAAATAGTTGTCTAAGCTAAGTAACCTAACAAGAACATTCATTCAGTTGTTTTATTTTGTGACATACTTTTTTTTAGTACATATTTGAAAAAGCTAACAGAAATATAGAATAATGAAGCTTAAGGAAGTACTCACTTAATAAACAGAGTACAGTTTTATTACAAAATTACATTACAATTAAGAGATATCTAAGACTATATAAAATAAAAATCTTTACTTTTATAGAAGAAAACGAGACAAGTTCACCAACAATTATCTTAAAAAGAGTTCTGAAGATGCGTTTAAAACCGTTTATCTGTAATCTTTTGTAAAGTTCTCAAATGTAAGTAACGGCTTCTTGTTAATAGGGATGACATCCGGGAACTGGTCGTACTAGTTGGTTTGGATAATTTGGATAATCTTGCCAACGTGGAGCAACGAAATATAACCAGTGTTAAAATACACGAACGCTTCACGTCCACCGCTGTTCGAGATGAGAATGACATCGCTGTTGCTTCGTTAAACGCACCAGTGGAATTCAGCGATACGATTGTGCCCATCTGTCTTCCAAAGCCAGGTACAAGAGTCTCACAAATCAATATTCGGGTACACACTGTTGTGTTTTAGTTCTTATCTATACTAATGTACGACGCTGCTACAGGTGAGTGGCCTAATAACAAAATACATGATACAAGGAGGAAAATAAAAATGCACAATTAACTTCGGTGAAAATGAATTTATACTACTTATTGTTTGTGTAAAAATTACGTCAACTATTTTCGGTCACTGTGCTCTTGTAGATTAACATTTTTAGACTATGAAAATATAAATGTCTCAAGTTATAAAATTGCGGTTAGGCTACTCTGCCTCTAGTGCATTACACTGGAGTTTGTTTGTTTTTGGAACGCGCTAATGTCAGGTGCGGGAAGAAAAACGGCGAAAATTATTAATCTTTGAGGATTTCCGTCGCCTGCGCTACGAAAACTGTTCAAGAAACAAAAAATATATGATAGAATGACTCCTCTTCAAATGCTCTTAAATGTCCTAGACAGCATAGTATCGATTGACTCGCAAGAACGATAGGATGCAGACGATGTCTTGGGTACTAATTTATAAAGCTCACGATCTTATTTGCAAAAACAAAAATTTGATGACGAAGGCAGCTTCGCAGGCACAGCTAGCATATTTATAATGAATTAGTTTATGGCATGCACCAAAACTAATAATACCGTAAAATCAATTTAATACTAAACAAATGACATGTTAAAGAACTCGAAAATGCGCAATTAACTTTGTATAGGTCAAAATGCATTTGTGTAATACAATAAGCCCCTTGGATGTTGCCTGCGGTGAGCGCGAGTCTTGGATTCGATGCCAGATCGGTCAATAACTTGCAAAAAAAAAAAATCTGGCAAAAAATATTTTCGGGCGTCGATTGCGGTTTTGAGGTCGCCATTTTGTGATTTACATTCATGTAAGTTTGAGTGTGTATATGGGGAAATGTTTGTTGGTTTTTAGGTCAAGAATTCGCGAATAGGGTTGGAACAATCGTAGGTTGGGGCCGTGTTGGTGTTGAGAAGACATCTTCAAAAGTGTTACTTAAGGCCAGTCTAAGAATTCTAACTGACGACGAATGTATGAAATCCAAACTATCACACCACCTCAAGCCGACGATGATGTGTGCTTTCTCTAAGGGAAAGGATGGATGTCAGGTATAGAATCTTAATTTAGTGGTTTTAACATTGGAGTGCTGACTCCGTGTTGTATACGTACGTTAACAAAACGAATACGTTTTTATGAAACCGGAGGAGGCAATTATGGATCTTGAAGGAAATTAAAATATAGGAAATATAGAATAGGTGTTTTGGCTTTGGCTATATCAAATCCACAGACTGAACTTTACGGTTTTTTCATTTGTAGTCGGTGGTTGTAGTAATCTTAGTGGATATTTCAGCCACCTATCTAAAATTCAGATTAGACGAAGTCCACATGTTTGAAAAAAATAAATAAATTCATTAAACATGGACCGTGAGGATCGACCCACTACCCGGTTATGTTGGTTAAATTTTATTATTTGACCAAAAGCCCGCCAATCAAAAGTATGCATTTTTCTTAAAATTATAATCGTTTTATAGACCGATTTTGTTAAAAGGCGAGATGTTATTTTGAGTTGTCCGGAATTCAACCCAGGTTTTTTCACGCTGTAATACAAATATTAATGATATCATATTATGTTGAACAGGGAGACAGTGGCGGCCCTTTATTGGTATTTGAACCAGATGGAAATTATGTTCAAGCAGGTACATACAGTAATTTACTACAGAAGATATTCTATAAAAAATTGTGTTTTATAGCATCTGATTTTGCGCAACTCGTTTCTAATGTTAACTTGTCTCAAGAAAAGGATTAGCTATTTTCTTTTTTTTTTTAACTTTGTATAAAATCAAAAAAACATTAATTTTTGATTTTCCTATTGTTATAAATGTCTTTTTTAGGTGTCGTCTCATGGGGTATAGGATGTGCTGACGCTAGGTATCCGGGTAAGTCTTCCAAAAATAATCTTTAAGGATTCTCCTTTTGAGTTATTAATTTGATAAAAACTCGAATTAACAGAAAGCAATTTACAAAGAAAAAAATGCAGAAAATTGTCATAGTTATTTGGTTGAATTGTTGATTTTATTTATATCGGCCTTGACCTTGAATATTGTTTTGAAAATTATTTCTTTAACTTCTAAGGCTTTTGAATTTTACTTTTTTGAGACATTCAACATATTTTCAGGTGTATATACAAAAGTCAGTAACTACATTGACTGGATTAAACGGCATTCAGCAAATGGAAAAACTTGTGAAGAGTAGATAATACAGTACTAGTTAAGTTATTTAAAAATAAAATGTTATAAATTGTACTATATTCTTGTCCTTTTCTAAAAATAAACTATTATTGGTATAGTATGGTCATGGTAAATTCATAACAACGATTTCACTTTTTTATTTTTTTACGACTGGCAAAAATGGTAAACAGGGCATTATAAACATGGGGGATGATAGATAATAATATGGTTTTATATTAAAATACAAAGTTCTAATTTAAAAATCGAAAATAAATTGAAAAAATTTTCGACTCGGGCAGGACTTGAACCGGCGTCGTCAGCGTTCCGTGCTGTTGCTCTACCAATTGAGCTACCGACTCAACTACCGAGTTGTATATAGTGCCTTCATGTGCAATAACATTTAAAAAATAAAGTTTTCAATACACAGTTCTGTTTAGAAGCTATTGTTAATAATAAATTCTAGATTAATCGTCTAATTATTTCCTCCTATTATAATCTGTGGCCCGCTATAACAAACACAGCCTTTATTTCGATCGACCAGTGTCATAATATGTCAATTGTCACAGACCCTGCTGACAATCAAGAAGTGACTTGTGGATAGTTTGAAAAAATAAAAATTAGAAGGCATTAGTGCCTATGGGAACTTATATCCGTATTGATATATTTAATAATTGAATGTTATTTTTTTTAAAGTAATTTAAAACAAATTGTTAGAAGTATGCGATAAATCAAAAATGCACCCGCGAATACAAACGTAGCTCACACTAAATGATGTATTGTTGATTTATTCCCCGTTCTATTCGGTGTTGGTGTAGCAAAATAAATATTTCAAAATGCCCAACATCAGAAAGTATCGACGCGACACAACCGAAGTCAGCTGTTGCCTTAAATATGTTATTTTCGGTGTAAATGTCCTGTTTTGGGTAAGTATTCACAAATTTTCCTTAAGTAGCAAATTTACCGTTGTTCTTTGTGCTAATATCTCCAAGGTTGGCATTCACTCACGTATTTTACCTCATGTTACATATTTTAATAATATTAGTTGTAGATCTATAATAGAAAGCAAAGTAGAGAAATTTCCACTGTATTATTGTATAAATCACATATTAAGTTACAAGTTTCAACATATTCTAGTTTGACCTATTTTGAGATAAATATAGAAATTATGAAATTACAAGCTTTATTTATTCTTAATAAACTTTTTTGTATTTAAATATAAGCTGTTTAATGCTTTTTATGTTATTTCTTGTATCAAAATATAAGCACTATCTTATTAGTATGTGCTTTTTAATAGTACATAGGTAGTATATTTTCTAAATTTGCAATTAATTTATATAGTGCCATCATGTGCAATAAGGTGTGATAAATATCAAAGTTATTTAGAATTATTTAATGTTTTAAGACTAATTAATTATAGCATTTTTTTGCAAGCAATTGACTTTTGACTGTGTCATTTGCCACACATTAAAGTAAACAGACACTATCAAATAGTGATTACCCTTACTAATTTGAGTCCTTTCCTCTCTTTGTAAGGTTTTGTGGTATGGATATCCATGCAAATAGACTATGAATGATGAATGAATAACATATAAAACTTTATGGGTTCTCCGAAAACTCACACTCATAGCTCTGATGATGTCATTCCCTAGTGAAGGCACAATGTTAAGATCAATTTTCTCAATTATGACGCTTGAATGGCAAGAAAACCTAAGAAGCTTTACAATTTGGGAGCAAAAGCCTATACAAAATGACATATATAACATAATATTCCCATTTCTTTCATTACAGTTTATAGGACTTATCATATTAGCTATTGGCATTTGGGCATGGACTGAAAAAGACACATTCAGTAATCTATCGAGACTCACCAACATTGCTCTGGATCCTGCTTTTATATTTATATGTGGTGGTAAGTAGTTAATTTCAGTTTTAGGAAGTTCAAAAATGTATCTGGAAAAGAGCTAAGCAAACTTATTTATCGATATTTGAAATTGCAACGTTTTTCATAGGGTTGATGTAAAATAAACCCTTAAAACAATTGAAACACACATACGGAACTTAAAAATTACTTTTGATTCAAATCAACATGGACAAGTGATTTACCAGTCTAATATTAACTGCAATCGTCATTTAACCTTTTTAATTTTTTTATCTATATTAGTGTTTATTTTTTTAATGCCATTGTAAAAAAAAGAAAAGTGCAGTTCATTATGGTTTTATTGCAAAGGTTTGTAGGGGCATATTGTAACTTTTTGTATTGAAAGGAGAACATTGGAAATGTTTTCAACAATTGTTATGAGGTCAGTGCCACTGCTTTACAGTTCACAGACAATGCAAATGTATCATTGATAATTCAGCGACTATGATTTGAAACAAAGGGCATTATTTCATTATACTCTTTCATGTATCTCAAAGACCAGTGTGGTTTGTATTTAATTTGGGTCCAGTTGGTATTGCAAGGGGAATCTATCAAACAAGATTTAATAATTTCTATAAGTATTTATTCTTTATAGATCTTGCAAAATATAAAAAAATCTAATTATAATTAAAAATATGAAAAAAAAAACCTATTATAAATAATGCACCTTTATAAATATTAATTTATGTGACAAACAGTACTCAGATACTTTTGTTTTAAGTTTTAACTTTACACATTTGAGGTTAACTAAATAATATTATTGCACACATATTTGTTCCATTATGATTCCAGTAAAATAAAAAAAATGTGAATTTCACACCATTAATGGTTCTGTCCATTTTCAGGGACAATTACGTTCATTATTGGCTTTACGGGCTGCGTCGGCGCATTGCGTGAGAACACTTGCCTATTAGCTTGTGTGAGTATTCTTTTTTAATAGCTCTCTGAATTTATCAAATTGTTAGTTATATAGAAATAAACGAATTACTATACTTTTTTGCAGTATGCCGTTTTCCTCGCATTGCTTCTTTTGGCAGAGATGACAGCTGGAATACTTTTCTTTGTATTCAAAGACTGGGTGTGTAACATTTTTAAATTTTTATTTATAAGAGTAATGTGTAAATCCTTCCAATATATGTAATTACTAACTTATGAATACAATGAGATAATCCAATATTTATCAACTACAGATTAAAACACAAGCCACAACTGGCTTCCAATCGTTCATCACACATTATAGGGAGGATCCCGATCAACAAAACTTAATAGACTGGATTCAAGAAGAATGGGTATGTATTGATGACAAAGTCACCTTTGTGTTCCTAAGCCTTAGATAACTAAATATTATTTGGCTTTTTATACTATTAAACATTCTATTATACTTTCAGCTTCAATGTTGTGGAGTAGAAGGCCCGCGTGATTGGGACAGAAACGCCTATTTTAATTGCTCCAGCGGCGTGGTAGGTTCTCGTGAAGCTTGCGGTGTCCCGTTTAGTTGCTGTCGCACTAAACCTCAGGATATCATACGTAATAAGCAGTGTGGATATGACGTTAGGAAGCCAACCTATGTAAGTACCCTTTATCACAAGTCTAAACGGCAAATTCTAAGAATAAACAGGGTTCAAAATTAAATTAATAGCTTGAGAGAATATTATGAGTGTGGACGTCATAGTGTAAAGTCTTATAAGACGGTTTTTATACAGAGTGTCTGGAAGCAGATTTATATTTTAAAAAACGAATATCACAATAAGTTATAAGCAGTGCGGGGGGAAGGTGGTGTCGTTAGAATCACCGATCGTGCGGATTTCTTAGTCACGATGTCGCAGTGGTCGGGTGAGCTATTGCAGCATTTTTCAAGAGTAACGATTCTTACGTACTCGCTCGCCGACAGTATTGTTCACATTTCAATATTCGATGGATAGGCGATGGGCCGAGTGTGAATTTAATTCGTTCGTGAGTGGAGAGGTTGCGCGCATCTGCTTCGGCTATAAACACACCACGGCCAGGACCAATTCGATCGTCAGGCCCCTGGACCCCCGAAAACATGGAACTGGTTGAACGCAGTTTACGTAAATTCTAAATCGAGAATTGAAGAAATACTTGGTCAGCAATTTTTTTGTGAAATCAAGTTGGAGCGTTTTCGCACGTCCATGTGGAATTCCATGTTTTGGAGCGTAATTTTTTATTTAAACGGAACGTAAACAAGCAAAATTGCCGTTACTGGGCTCTAAGAACTCGAAATCCTCGACTGAAGCACCAAAAACCATTACATTGCCCCAAGGTAACTGCAGTGCCTGCGCTTTATCCACGAATGGGATAATCCTTTTTTTTATGAGAGGACAAGCGACGAATCAAAGGAAATTATTGGCTCATGCCCCAGGTGTTGGAATTTCTTTTTGCCGAACCTGCGAGCCGCCAATCAACTCCGCAAACATGTGTTGGAAAATCTTAAAGAAATATTAGTCGCTTTGGGGACATCCCGTGCCCGAGGTTCGACCACCCAATGGGGGCCACCCCAACGAGAGAGTTGACGCCAACAATTCGCGAACTGTGGAACTGTTTACTGCAGCGTGTGGCACGGAATACGAGGCTCCGTTTCGAACAGTGTGTGCAACAGGATGGAAGACATTTGGATGGCATTATCTTTAAAAAATTAAATCCGTATTTGTGCTCTATCTTTTAATACTTTTAGTAAAATTATATGTCAAACATATTATTTTTTATTTAAATTTGAAAACATAAATCTGCCACCAGACACCCTGTATTAGAATTATCTTGCACTATCAAGTCCGGCTCAAAGGACCAAATACGTATTATTATGATGATTTATAAAACATGAGCGTTTTTTAATTAAATTCTTATTGATTGATAGCAAGTTAGCGAACACGTGATTCACGAGAGAGGTTGTTTAGTGGCCGGCGAGGATTGGCTTCAGCGAAATTTTACGCCTGTTGCGGCCACCGTTTTAGGACCGTTAGCTCTGCAGGTTCTTCAATTAGACACTCTTGCGCACTTTTTAGATCTACGTGTTGATGTATGCTTATTATTTATGTTGATGGTCACGTTTGGTGTTTAGCGAACTATTTTATTTAAGTTTGAAATTATTGATGGGAACATGTGTGTACTATGTGTCTGATCTGGCCTAATGGTATTGTTGTTAATGATATTTGTACTGCGTTACTTTTTTTATTGTTGTTGTATAGACCCTCCGGCCACCAGCAATTCTTAAGACTAACATTAGTTCGGCAATGACATAATACCACGCCTAATTTTTGAAAATCAAAATCGTTCGGCAGGTGCATTCGTAATTTGCTTGTGGCTAGATGGTTCAGTTACATTTTTTGATATTATTTTTCTTTTGTTATAGAATTTTGACATAGCTAAGATAATATATGACAAGGGCTGTTTAGAGGCCGCTGAAGAGTGGTTCGATCACAATCTCTTGGTAGTTGCCACATCCGCTGTTTGTACTGCTTTTGCACAAGTAAGTTTATACATGTGATGCATGGTTTTGATATAATTTGCATGTAACAATATCAGTTTGTTCCAGCACCAATGGTTAATACGATATTTTTTGTTATAATTTGTGCTCTAGTAAAATTTTGGCCTGAGAATTTTTTATTGGTTTTAAGTGCGATTCCAATATAGACTAATATCGTAAGCACTTTTCTTTAAATTTTTTCGACTACTAGATCCTGGGAATCTGTTTTGCTCAAAACCTCCGCGCTGACATATTCGCGCAGAAGTCGAAGTGGCACTGACAATCAGCCTCTCCTGCCGCAGTGTGACGTCACATCCGTCACGCCGGCGACCTCTACTTACCGCTATACGTCCCACTCTTAGATCCTAGTACCCGTTTACGTGCCTAGATGGCGCTTATGGAAAATTTTAAATGTATAGAATCTCAAATGTTATATACTGAATTATTACGCTGAGAAGCTTATAATTTCATCTTGCTATCCCTGTCTGGCTCCTCTCGAGTGAAATTCTTCACTTCCTTGTAAATAAGAACCTAATGTTGAACATTGTTGTTAGAATTTATCCAAAACTGGTAAATCGATTTTCATGTGGACAAATCGATTCGATTCTTAAATTACGTTCAAGAGCGTAAATATATATTGCAAGGAATTGGAAGCCCCTCCTCTTCAATGCTAAAAATTTATAAAATAATTGTCAGAGATTAAAGAATAATAAAACTATATGAAGTCGTTTTTACCAGTGTGTGAGTTGATATAGGAAAACCCAATTTACACTAAGGCCACATTGTGAACTAACATGTTTGTAATATCTATGTTATATTTTGTCTTTATCATTTGAATTAAGAATTTTAAAGAAACAAAATAGACTTATCTGTTTCAGACCTTATGTTTTTGTCAATGAGTCTTGAACAGTACATGTACTTACGACCTTATTGTTTACATATTAGAATATAATTTCCTTTGTATTTTGGGTTTTCATATACCAATCAGAAATGTATGTGTTCAAATGAAATGTCCGAATAAGCCTTAACAGGAGCTGTGAGATGAATTTATTGTTGAAGATTTTTATACTCTAATATTAGGATTGGCATGTGTAACAAATATTATTTTACGAGTATATCGCCTTTTGATCTGACAATACAAGCAAAATCATTGAAATTGTAGAAGTACAGGATAGATTAGGGCTGGTTTTACGATAGTAGTGTAAGTGCGAACCGGTATTTTCCGGTTTCACTGTGTATTGTTCTACTACAAAATGCAATCAGTTTATATCAACTTTGCTTGAATGTAAAATGATATACGTAATGTCTGTTACAAACTATTGTAAAAACTTTATTAGTTTAAAGCATAAACATTATATAAATTATTTTTGCAAAAGTATATTCTCTTACTTTAAGTTTGACATGAATTCTTTGTACAGCAGTACAAAAGTATGAAGTATGATCTTCTTTGAGTAATATTTTGAAGCATACATTCCGTATTTCAAACGAAATTATTCTTTAATTTCCTAGTATTAGATTTTAAGACGAGGACAAAAGCGGTTACGTTACGGTCGCGTTACAAGCGCCAGGAGAATAATGGTTGACAATATTAATTAGCCTTTAATGTAACTGATATTATAGAAAGTATTACTAAGTACTAAATAGATGTAAGACTTTATAGGAATACTCATTTATTTTGATTTTTTTCGCAATATCTTTTAGTCGCCTATATCTATTAGCTTTTACAAAGCTTTTGCCTAATTAAGTATTTTATTAAAAAATTAAGTATAAAACATCACGACTCTAAAATAAGCACAAAATCATTGAGATTATTATTATACAATTAATTCGACAAGCACAAAATTTTCAAGCGTATTTCGCGTTGTATAAGTACAATTTAACACAAAAATACTAACGGTGTAAAACGCGAAATATACTACTAGTTTTTGATGCATCATGGGAGGGCGTCTAATCAACTCATATATTTCGCGTTTTACTAAAGTAAATGCGCATTTAAAATCTTTGCAAAAAAGCTAGGATTATTATTATTTTATGAAGAGGCCTTTGTCTTTAAGAGTTAATACGATTATACTTTGCAAGGTATTATTTAAAACGCACGGGACCGAAGTATCGTATATGTACCATTTATATGCACTGCCGAGACTTTTGTAGTACTTGTACTTAAGTGTTCTCGATTGAATCTCGTAAATTGCTCCGCACACAGGGACTGAAAAACTTCACAACAATATCTTACAAATTACGACAATGTGAAAGTGGCAAGACGTACGAACATAAAGGTAGTTGATATATTTTGCTGCCTTTTAAATAAGATTAGTGCCTAAATTGTTCTGACAAAAGCAGACAGTGTTTCCATTCCAGTTAGAATATCACAATGATTATGTTCTAATGTATTCTATACTTATAAGTATTTGCATTTAATTTTGCCTGAACTTCTACTATTACTAATACTATAAGGCTTTCGCATTTTTGTAAGGGTGCATCGGTTTTCGAGTTGGTCTTACCGCTCGGGCGTATTCTTCGTCACGACGAAATGTCGAAACCATTTCTCAATTACGACGGTCAAACAGATCTCAATCAATACCCAAGTAGCTTTACTACACGACGTGGTAGCTCAATTGGTTAGAGCAATAGCACGCAACAACGCGGTTCAAGTCCTGCCCATGTCGTACTTTTTTTATCTAAAATTGGTTTTTAAGCTTTATTACATATTAATTTTTAATTAGATTTATGTGTATAATATGATATTAACAATTTTACTACTTTAGGACGATGCATTTGTAGTTTTTCATATTATTTAAAATGATCGATTTTTGGTAACTACATGACTTTTTTTCATCGTGCTTCCTATAATTGATTGGGCAAGTGTTTATTTTATTAACAATTAAATGTTTCAATATTGTAAATGCTCCGTCTTAAGAAAATGTTAACTGCCAGTAATTTTTTGCCTTAAATTCGTTCCTTGCTAATATTACGAGTATGTGTAATATGGAATTGCTTATTATTGATTATTTAAAAGTCTGCTCTATAGATCTGTGTATTAAACGTTGAATCTTAAGTATTCGAGTTGTATTTGTGTTGTATTTTAAGATAACATGTAATTGTTATTAAGTATTTTGTATTATTACATGAGATAGATTCATATTTTTAATAATTACAGTTATAATATTAAAAGTATTTGTTTTATTTTTTCCTTTTACCTTAAGTGTTTACGTTGCTTTAAATCAAACCATAAACGATAAATTGTTTCTCTTTTATATTTTGCCTAAAATGGACGAAGCTTTGAGGAATACGAAAAGACACTATACTACTAAGCTAAACAAAAAGTGATATGCCATTTTCTTACATATTAATATAGGAAGGTGCGTGCGCATCAAAACCTATCTATTATTAGCTGTTAAGTATATAGTATAGCTTAAATTAAGCTGTCGTGTGAGTTGAGTTTGATAAGGATGGGTGGCATACGCCGTTATCGTGGTTGGAAATCGACCCGTCTCATTTAACCTTTTAAATGTAAAGTATATCTATACTTATATATAAATGTGAAGAGTTTGTTTGAACGTACTAATCTCAGGAACTATTGGTTCGAATTGAAAAATTATTTTTGTGTTAGAGCATTTATCGAGGAAGGCTATAAAGCAATAGGGGCGAAGAAACAGCGGGAAATGTGGAAAAAACGGGGAAAACTATCTTTGTATCTTTCCGATGCGTAAAACGGTTTAGGATACCTAAAAATATGTATCAAAGAATGATTCCTCTTTAAATGATCTAAAAAATATCCTGGATTAATATTATCTTAGAGGTTAACGTGTAATAACGACGGGACGCGACCGACATCGTTGGCAAAAGTCTTAACCCATAAAGATGAAGAGGTTTGCAAAAACAAATTGGATCCCCTACATAACTATTTTTCCCGGACGAAGGCACACACACAGTTAGTTTTTAATAAACATATTTTCATCGCCTTTTTTGTATTCCCCTTAAGCCATACAAAATGAGCTGCATCGTATTTCATAGTACCCAATGGTATAGTCGTATGTTAGAGACTTAAGAGTTCGACGGTCACGTCCCCACGTAAAGTGTGATAATGTCGACAAGAAGCCACCTAAGTAGGTACGTTACTTTCTGTTAGAATACGCTCCGTGTCCCGGCGTTGATTGTGATTTACAGCCAGCTTTATTTTTCTATTACTCTGAATTTTTGCGCGGAGTGCAAATATATGACTCCTCTTTAGACCACCTTACAATGTGTTACTTGATAAATGAAGGTACATTTGTATATATAAGTTCATTCGTAAGTTCAGTCGTTAGTATCATGAGTATTTTAAAATAATATTACGTAATTTAAATGAAAAATCGATTATAAATTGAAAAAATAAAATTACGACACGGGCGGGACTTGAACCTGCAGTCACAGTGTCCAGTGCTATTGCTCTAACCGATTAGTTTGTTAATAAAATCCCCATTCTTGTTTTATTTCTTGTCATCTAGTCAAACATTGATAATAAAATTCTGACGTCATATTGAACCCTTTTACAAATAAAATATTTTTTAAAGGATTTTCCTTAAATATAATTTAATATTAATTAGGCTCAAATACAAATGTGTTTGAGCCTATAATATTACAAACAGCTTGTCTTTCAACAAAAGCCTAACCTACTGTGAGCGGTTTATTTGTGATCATAATTCAATCTACCAGCGCTTTCTTCTTAATGGTTGAGGTGGACAGAGTAACATGGGGTTCTCTTGATGGAAGGTGGAATGGAATACCCCAGCTATATAACACCTAAATAAAGTGCGCTGTTGACTTATTTTAGATTTGGATATTCGGTAATCCACAGACTGAAACAAAAACACATTGAATCTTTACAGCTTAGCCATCTGTGGACGTCGGTTTGTGAACAGGAAGAAATTTCCATATTCTTCCAGGCATTGAATATCCCGATTTTCAGATCAAGTCCAACACGTTTCAGAAGGATTATAAATTAATTAGAAGCATGTTGGATTCGGTGGAGATCGAAGCCATGACCATCTAAATATTTCCAATACTGCTTCGTTTAAATTTTATTGTATTTACTGATCACTTAAACAGTTTATGCCTTAAATACTGTCTGTAGTTTACGCGAGTAGTACACATTTGAATAAAACACTTTAATGGTTTAAAACGCTTTATATATTTGTTAAACTTTCGGATTCTTTAACGTTTTGTCTTCATGAATATAACCTACGTAGTTCACATAGGTCAAGAATGCCATTGTCTCCCAAAGTACGTATACTTGAACTTAAATTACCGCACCAATAAAGCGAAGGGAATTACGATTTTGAGTCCCGAATTGTCAATATCAATAGAGACGTAAATTCTCTTGTCTGTGCGTTAAACCGAACCCAATATCTGTTTAATGGGATCTCACTTAAGCCCACTCGGGATGATTACATTTAGCAATGGGTCTAATTGTCATAGAATTTGGTCATCGATTATGGCTTATGGCGTTGAGGACGTATTGTGGCATTAGGGCTATCGGGAAAACAATAACTTTATTTGGGAGTAAGCTATAAATAAGCATATGCTATGTGGTACACATCGGTAAGTTTGAGAGGTTCCAGCTTTGAGGAAACGTGTATATTTTTTTTATTGTTAAGTAGATTCTGAATATGTACACTGTCTGTCCGTATATATCTGTATAATGCCTGCATTTAAACATAGTTGTTTCATCAAACATTTGTTTTACTTTAATATCTATAAACTATTTTCATCTTGTATGTGCTACTTAAAATAATATATCTTAGTTAGATCGTAGAAGGTTATTTTAATGAAACCTTGCAAGAAGCTTGTACATTATTGGCGAAGACCGCTATGTTACTGAAAGATAGATAATTTTAACTGGATAGAATAAAATAAGATTTACAAATTAATCATTTTAATAGGTCCATAGAAATATTGAAACTAGAAATTGTCTGAGGAAGTTTTAAAACTGAATAGATATAGGTTGCTGCAGACTGCAATATAAGTTGTAACAACTTACATTTCTCAAATTATATTCCAAATATTCCATTCTATTTTATGCTTCCTAAACAGTGGAATTGGCAGGTTATTTTAACAATCTTATTCTCTTCTTCGTTTATAATTCGAAGATAATGACGCGTTTGTTTCACTCTAAGTACCTAATTGGGTTTCAAACTTTAATATACATTGCAATTGAATGATAAAATGTTATAAGTGACGATATTTTTGAATACATTAGTAGTTAAAAATTGGTTATTAACTGAAAATAATTTACGACTCGGGCATTACTTGAACCGGCATTCACAGCGTTCCGTTCCGTTGCTCTAACCAAGCTGCCGAGTACACGTCATCGTCGAATTTTTCAATCTATTGGTACATCCACCTTTTCTTTTAGTAGTTGTTTTTTTTTCTTTCCAATTACTCTCGTAAAAAGGTTGTACGCTTAGCTCCAAAGTGCAATACTAAGCCCATTGTTCTCGAAACCCAAAAAGGTATTCGGGAAAACGTTTTTCAGTAACAGTGCACTGTAGAAGTGCGACGCTCATTTCTTGGAAAGGCTACGCTTCAAGTGTCTCCAGAAATCTGAATATTCTCGCGAGCTCTTCAAAATGAGGAGGGCTTTGTTCTCGTTCTTCAAACGCTAAATGTATGTGTGATTAAAAATGCTTAGCGAAACCTCGGCGGGGATTTTGTTTCTGTTTTAACGTATATATACGAATTGTACATCATCTCCCTTTGTTTTATACTACTCTCTCGTTACCACGAGGTCTCAGGTCGAATTCAAGGAATGATACCGTGGTTTTTAGAATTTTTCTTAAAAATTGTAGCTTGGTTTAGGCTGGGGTATTGAAGTATGAGATGTAGTTTGCCTCGATATCACGATAAGTCGTTGTTTACAGTTTTTAAAGCCCACCGACCCGCACTGGAGCAGCGTGGTGGGTGTAGGCTCTTAAGAACCTCTATAAGTTGGAATTAAACTATTTTATAATAATAGATATAACAATATTTGCTAAGCCAACCTTTTAAATGACTTTATCTCTAAAGCAGTTCGCTTTTGTATTGTATTTTTAATGACTCCAGTTTGATCAAGGGTGTAATAAGGCTGAAAATATGTTTAACCAAACTGACATATATAGAACTCTCAAGCATGATAATGCCAAATGTAAATGAATTAAAAATGATACGAGCTACTCGTTATTTAGTTAAGAATTTTCCACACGTTACGTCACTTGCCCTCGGGCTCTCGAGCTGGAGGGAAAAATAGATTTAACATTTAAGTATTTCAGTTATTCCTTCACAATACGGACCGCCGCTATCCATGTCATTTGCATGGCTCGACCACCCCCGGTTATGTTGCTTGCAATACAAAGCGAAGTCTTTTACGACATCTATCGCAGAAATTATTTATAAAAGTCCGGAAGTAGCTTCACTCTGTTGTAAAATTATTATTTCTAATTTGTATAGCAAACAAGTTAACAGATTTAAATAAAACACTTTAACGGTTTAAAAGCGATATATTATTACTTATTGAAAATGATTTTTAACTTCGGCCTGCTTTGATCTTGCAGCAGCCGTGGTCACGGGGAGACTTTGAAACAGTTTTATTAATATTACAACTTTTTACAATAAATTATGAATATAAGATGAATTTTTTTGAAGAATTTTTACCGATGAACCTACGTTTTGGCTGTTACACTAGGTCCAAATATTTTTTACGATTGAGCTGAACTTGAAGTAATAAATTAAGGAAAACTGCAAAATAATTACGAAGTCTTCTAAGATTTGTTTCTACGAGACCGAATTTTAATATGACAAATTGTTTTGTAGCTCGATAAATTAAAATATTTCACGTTTTAATTGACGATGTCTAGTAAATATGCAAATTAATAACTTAAAATATAAGCCTTATTTTGGATAAGCATTACCTACAATTACGATCGTTATATTTTTGTTAATATAATAAAGAGCAAACAACACAAATGCTTTTTTAATTTTCCACATCGCTTCACTCTATAATATCTTTAATCACTGCGGCTGTCAACTCAAATCACCTCACAATATATTATGTAGGAATAAATCATTTTTTTCTTGTTTCAGAGCGTGTTATTCTTCCTGTAAAGACTCGACGTATAATAAATCCATTTTTATATAAGTGAATCCGTACCTACGTTTCAACCTATGTGTGTCCCACAGCTGGGTCACAAGTCTCCTTCGCATTTGAAAAAAAAGCCCATCACGCTCCTCCAGTATGGGTTAGCGGGCTTTAAAATCACTAAATTTGTAATTATAACCGACATCGACGATTTAACATGCCTCTCAACTCCAAATTTTCTCTTAAAAAAATTCAAATTCCAAAAGTAGCATTTTGCCCAATCCAACATTCGAACCTGGAGACCCCCGTGGCATTTAGTCAAGTTATTATTGCATTATTATGTGAGATATATGTGTATGTAAACAGTCTTCTGTGCTCAATATGTATTTGTTGTGTTTACCCAGGTTTTGAACTTGAAAACCTTGAAATTAAAAGGAGTGGCGGCGAGTTTCTTGCCAGTTCTTTTCGTGCGTTCAACGCCCTTAACTTGGGAAGTGGTAGTATCTGTATATTTAAAGTCGTTTTGAGTTTTGTCGTTCATAATTGTACTAAGCTACCTACATGAATGATTTTTTTTTTAAACGTTGTAGCGCAGCCGTTTGATCTACACACCGCCCCACGTTCTCATGAAAGCTAAAACAGACCCAAACAGCTCGATTGCGAATTTTCCAATTACGTTGTGTATTAATAATTCGTATCTAAGTTGGCTATCGCTTCTAACGAATATAATCAAAAAGTTAATAAAGGTTTAACGAATTCTGAGCTCGTAATTAATTACCCAGCGGGATGATTGGACAGAATAAGTAAGTATTATCTGTGGGGTAGATTCTGGCACCTTTATGGTTAATGAATTTTTAAAAATAGAGTCTGTGGGCGAGGCTAATATTATCTGCGTGTGTCGGATTATGTCTTTATCCTTATAACATATTTTTACCAAAAATAAGTTTTTATTTTAAGCTAAAGAGATACTAGATAATTTACCAGTTTTATAAGCTCACTAGTAAATTAATTGTAAATAAGTTCAGTAATATGTCGTTTTAAACCGTTAAAGTGTTTTATTTAAATATCTACTGCTGCGTAAGCTACAGACAGCTTAATTATAACATTTCTTCTTTGTATTATGCTATTTAAACCATGTCTGTAAATTAAAGCTTATTTTGTAGACCTTTAAACAAATGAAAATCGAACCACGAACAACCGGCGCATACACGCTACCAACCTAGGTTCCGCGCTGAGATGACAGCTATTATAAAAACGGCTCGCTCTTCTTCATCCCCTCAGTTAAACCAAGTCTTAAGGCTTCATCTGTCTTCATAAACAGAATGCGGGAGACATTTGTATCAATTATAGCATTGTTTGCGATAGTGGAGGCGGCGGGGCCTTCGGAATTGGGCAAAGACGGATTCAATTATTACAAAGGTATGTTTGATTGCATTGATTAACAATCACATTGCTATCAGTGGTCGTGGTTATGAGTTTCTAAAAAAGAAGAAGAAGCTTTCACAATTATAAATTATACTAATCTTATGAATCGTATTGTAATATAAGTTATTATTATTTTCTATCGGGGACACCCGTAGAAGCCCGGGTGATCAGTCCATACCACCAGTTGACTATTTCGCCCATTTCCTCCTTGGGAGCTTGAATTATCCGCCTCTCACTGTGTAGGGGACACAGTGCCGAATCTTGTGACTTGTTCCATCTTTAATTCTTTGATATTATATTATAGTTAATTTTACGCTATTCATTTAGTTGAAAACTCCTAATTTAAGTTGGACTTAAGCTCTTTTTAACGTTAAATTTTGTTAAGAAAATTAGTGTTCGTATAAAATTTGGTCTCACATACTCGCCACATAGTCTTCAATGAGGCAAATACATTTCAGATTCGTTTTAGGATAATATTTTTAGGTAAAAAGATACTTTCCATAGAAATAATAGTATAAATAGTAATTACAGATTATAAAAATAATAAATTTATGTAATACCATAATGTGTTTCACGTCAAATATATTAGAGTTTTCAAAGTAAGTGACTATATAATATTTTTATAAAATATGAATTTTGCTTCTCTGAGAATCAAACTCGCGTGTGTTTTTGTTTTAATATAATCTGTCCGTATGTATTGTTCGAACTCTTTTCTTTTACTGTTGTCTTCATTCCTCCAAGTTTCCAGTTTCGATATTTTGTATAGGTTTCAACAGGTAAATACGTAATTTTTTACAGGAATCAGAATAGAAATAATAACTTCTAGTTTGCTCAGTAAATTGAAAATTTTTAAATCTCTTAAATTTTTCATATATTGCACATGATAGCACTGTATATATTTATTATTATTGTTACAATTTGTAGTTGACGGTTCACGTTCTGCCCGTGACATAAAAAAAATATCTATGATAATTTTTTAATTTAAAAATGCCTTAATTCCACCTTACATACAAAGCTGAGTACAATGTTCGAATTCTCATAAACCACAGTTAATCTCCTTTAAAATAGAGAACGATTATTAATGCGTGATTTATGTAAAGGTGTCGAATAAATTAATATGAATTACCGGCGTTTTCAATTTAATTTTAATCAATATGAAGGTTAATAAGGGCGAGATCCGCGCGGGCCTTTTTATCATTTTCAACGCGAAAAGGCCGACGCCATCAAAGATAGCTTTTAATACGGCGTAATATTTTAAGCAAATGAGAATATTTCTACTTTTTAGCATCCCTTTTCCGCTTTGTTTACGAATACGTCGTTAATTAGAAAGGTTAACATGCGAACGCGTAGTTGGAGTTATATTTTTAATGTTTTAATGAATGTGTTAATTTGTTTAATTAAATGTTTTTCAAATGGAACCTCAAAGTGGGAATATGTGAAACTTTAACCTCTCAAATCAACGCTGTTTTAAATAGAAAATACTGTATTAGTTCATACTTAATTGAGATGTTCGTATAGTAAGTAAAGCGTGGTTTTCAATTCAATCGCCAAGGAAATCGTCAGTAAAACCTCAGGAAATTTGTGTCTGTACTAAAAAATGCTTGCTTGTTTAAATATTGTCTGTAGTTTACGCGAATATTACATATTTAAATAAAACACTTTGAAAGTTTAAGACGAGAAATGTATTAGTGTACTTATTTACAATTTGTTTTTACAGCCCGACGTTACTAATGCTTTGCAGTAGTCGTGGTAACAGGGGGGACTGAAGATAGAAGATGTCTCTAATGTCAAAGCATGCAAAACGTTGGGCCGTAGTTAAAATTCTAAATAAGTAAACTAAAACATTTTTAGATTAAGCTGTGTAAGGTGTTTTATTTGAACGCTGGTTTGGTTGTTATGTGACAACCAGCGGTTGTGACTAAGAAATAGGAAAAAACAAAAGCTTGGTTATTTTGCAGCTTGACGTTTGACATTCCAGATTATTTGCGAGCCCGATCAGATGAGATGGCTGATTCCGGTTATGACGATCGTGCCCTCATATGTAAGTTATCACCCATCACCCATGATAAGATCATCTGTCTCACAAATCTTGGTATATAATGTCATATTTGTTTTTAATTTTTAGATCGATCTATTGAGTATAACGCATGTTATAATTATTATAATTCCTCTTATATAATCAATAAATAGTCATCATTTACTTTATATTCAGATTACTTCAGAACACCACTGCAATTATATCCAGAGATTCCGGCGATACAAGAACATGGAAAAAGAACGGCTAATCTATTCAAAAGTAAGTTACAATGCGTTAACTTTTCGGAAGGAATATTTCTTCTAAATTCAAGATTCTCTTTATGGCTGTATGAAAAATTAAATTAGTAAATTTAACCTTGTTGTTATTATTCTGAATGTAACTTAACCTAATTTAAGTTAGTTCATGCTGAAGTGCATTTCACAACTTCGTAGACCACATGTTAAATAAGGAAGTTTGGCCCGGGGGAGGCCCAAACAAACGGACTTCTAAGACTGGCCTCTCCCTTCTGATGCAGAGCAAACAAGATGTACGACCTTCGTAAGTAACTTTAATAATAACATTATATTTTTTATGATGGAGGAGAACAGACATGCATAGGGCTTAATTAGTGGTAGGTGAAATATCCCATTCATGTAACATCTAAATAAAGTGCGTTGTCGACCTATTTTGGCTTTGGATAGTCGGAAATCCACACCGGACTGGAACCGAAACGTGAAAAACTTGAGGCTTTTTTACATGTGGAAGGTGGTTCGTAACCCGGACGGAATGTCGATATTACTACCACCATTTAGAAGCCATATAATTGTGATCCCCACCAACACCTTTTATAATATTGGTGGGGATCGCACCCACAACCCATTCATTATTAGCCGTGCATTGCTACCATTACACCAACGAGCCTGTCAAATATACATCTGTCATCCTTTTATCATTATTGTTTGTGAAAATTAGAGTAAAAATTTTAATAGACTTGTTTTTTTTTCTTTTTTAACTTGTTGCGTAACTGTCTTCTTTCAAAAATATTCCTTTAATATTATAACACATACTGATAACAGTATTCGTTGCCTTATTTGTTTAGGAATAACTATTGTGTTAGTAGTTATGTAATTATATAATATATAAAATCTTTTAACTGCGCAATCTATATTACAGGGATGACAGTCACTATTGCCTCTACGGAAAGTAATGGAAGAGAAACAGGTCATTATAACCTTCATATTATTTCTAACACTTAAAAGTTTCTATGCAAAATTATAATTATGTTTTGTTTTTCAGATATACGCCATCATTTAAATCGTTCATATAAAATAAATAAGATGCTCAATTCTACTGTTATTTACTGTTGTGAAGCATTATTGAACATGGATAACGAACTATTGTTATAATAAGTAGCAAATATGTAGCTCAATGTAATTAATGTATTAATAGTAAAATTTCAATTTACAATAAAACATATTTATTGTTTATTGTAGTTTCAGTTTAGACTAAATATATATATTTGTTAAATTGTTTGTATCTCTTTCCTTTATATCGTCTTGAATGGTTTCATTCTCGGAATGTCAAGGTACCAGAGCAAAAATTGTGGAGTTTCAATTGAATGAGTAAGAAAGTGTTTTTTTTTTGTACATTCATATATAAATAAGTATAACATTTGTTTCGTGTTTCTACACTTATACACGGAAAAGCACATATTTCAATAAAACGATGTTTTTTTTTAATTCAAGATCCTTTAAACACATGCGAATAAAGTTTTTATGCTAACACAAGGTCAAATTTCCATTTAAAATAGAGTCTCAGTCGCTGTGGGATTACGCGACTAATAAAGTCGTGCCCTCCGCCAAATATGGGCCGACCTTTCAAAGGAAATAATTATGCTCTTTCCAAATTGACGTTTGATAAAAACCGGCATTCATAAAGTTGATATCGAGCGGGAAGATTCTGTTGGCGCCGTCCTACTTCGGATAATGGCTAAAGCGAAGCGTATCGGGAAAAAAATCTTGAAAATGATTGGTTGCCCGACAAAAGAACATTTCGCGTGAAATGCAGGACTTACAGTTTTATGAAATCAGGTGGTTATAGAAATTTTAGTCTATGCGTTTTTTATAGTGCTTAAAATTGACATATTATGACTATCATTTGTTTATAAATTTTATGTACAATGTCTATGAAGAGTTCACCACGCTGCTCCAGTGCGGGTTTGTGGGCTATGACAAAGGCCGCCATTTAGTCCATTCTACTTCAATAATCCGGATTACAATTAGATTTTTTAGAATTGATCTGGGCAACAATGTATTTAAAATATGTTTTATCTGCGGCCCGACGTTTCGGATGCTTTGCAGCAGCCGTGGACACGGGACACTAATGACGGAGGGTGTCTCTAATGTCGAAGTAAAAACTGCTACGCTAGCGCCATCTGTTGCGTCGTAGGTATTAGGTGAAATATCATCTAATACTAACTATAAAGTTTTTAACATGGGGTTTCAAAAACAGCATACCGGTATATGCGAAGACGTTTTTAGTCAACTATTCTATTCGCTTCATTTTACCAATAAGAGACTACTAGAAAACCGGTACTAGAAAAGTCTTTGGATTTTTATTAAGTTGCTTTAACAAACCATATTAAAATCAATGTCTTAAATTGAAAATTTCTTTCAAGAACTTCAGCACGAGCTTTAACGCTGAGAAGTTGGATAAATATCTGGAGAATTCCTCAGAGGCGGGATCGGTTAAGAGAATTATCAGCGGAATACATTAGTTCGTTACTATTGCAAATTCACTCAAGTTCTGCCAAGTATAAAATGTGCAGCGTCGGTACAGTCGAGGGGAAAATTTTCAATTCGACTCAAATCAAATAGTATTCGCATTTATTCCGTTTAACTTTACAAAAGTGCTCAACAAGCACCGTGAACTTTATAACATTGTCTAAACTATAAACGAGCGGTTGAATTCGCCGTACGCAAAACATTATTTTGTAAAATAACATTTGTTTGCGACTGTATCTGATTTAGCGGTGGGATCGCGCTGATTTTATAAGCACACTTTTAAAATGTATTGTTTTAGTCGCGGCTATTCTATTTATTTCATTAAGTTATTCTTTATTACACTTTTCAAACTCTTTATAGCAAAAACATGTTATGGACTGCTATGGGCGGCCTTATCGATATATAGAGGTCATATGAAATAATACGAAAAATCTAAATGACACATAATCGTACTGCAACATTAAGGTGACAATTTAATTTTAAGAATACATAAGGACGTAATATTTTACACTCAGCGCGAAAAGCGATTCTTTTGCTAATTTTAAGAAAGTTTAGTAGTTTTCATTTCCTTGCTAACCTTGTTTTTTGAGCCTGCGTAGTTCCAAATATGAAATTTAAAATCCGAACTCCAATTCTGTCAGTCCTTCTCCTTTATCTCGTGATATAAAACCTTACCTCTTTGAGGGAATCGTAAATAAGCAATGGGGGAGCACTTTCCTATCATTTGTTCGGTTCCAAATTGTAATCAGCAGAGATAGAGCGATATTCGGAACGTTCGAGATACCCGTAATTTCGCCCTCTGGGATCCTCGGCGTTTTCTCGAATCGATTTGATTTTATTCCGAAGCCTTGTGAGATTTCAACTCTGTATTTCTAATAGAATCCACCGTAGTCTTTTCCCTTCAGTTCCATTTGGAGATAAACAACGTTTTTATCCTATTAGTTATAACTCGGATGTTTTTATTTATTCCAATGCGTAACGCACCTATTTATTTTGCTAACGACTGTACTTTGAGTTTGTGTGGCTTATATTAACCGGAAACGAAATATATATATGTAACAATTATTATAAATTAATATCTTTACTTTTGCCTAAGAATATACATCTCTTAACACAAAAAAAGATGTAAACTTTCTATGCCAACTTTATATATTCTCATCTGCATAAACCGCTTATATGAAAAGTTTTATTACTAGTAAAGTATATACAATTATTTCTATTCAACGCATAATTAATTAGATAGATTAGATATTCATTTTCATTTTTTAACTTTTGTGTGATCTTTTTCAGAGATTATTATTCTGTTAAATGTTCCACTTATAGAAAACCAAGAGTCTATTTCTAGTTCTAGTAAAACAATCAATAGGACACCGTCCCCAAAAATATTTTTAGAAACCTATCGTTACTTAAAGTCCTCAAGTGAGTCTAAGTGTGCACACTTCAGTTGAGAAGACGTAATTATTTGCTTTCAAAAAGTTCATGGCACGTTTGAATAAAATTGTAGAGGACAAAATCTGTTTGTACTTAATTTATTTATTCAAAACTTTAGCCCACATAGTCGCACTCAGACGCGCTCTTTGGATTTAAAAATGGAACAAATATAATTTTCTAAATTTCATTTGTTGAGTCGGACACAGATAAAAATCTTAATTCGTCGCACCTAAACAGTCCTTTGACAAAAAGCCTTTGATAAATTTGAAATTAGAATGCTCCTTCCAAAAAGGATTTTCTGATAAGGTTTTATTGGGAAATAAAAATGTTATCTCGTGGCACTATGGCGGTTATTCTTGTAAACGGCGTCTAGGTTTCTTTTAAGGTTATTTTCGATAAGACGAAATGTGTTCCAAAGAAAATTGCTTACCCTTTCAGATGCTCCATTTCCGTCACCTAATGAAATGTGAAAACTTTCGTGCGGACAATGAACCTTTATTAAACATTGTCATAGAATATAAAGCGGACAAAAGGTCTATTCATTTATGTTATAGAGTTGTGATTTGCATAATAGACTGGGATATTTCTGAGGGAGGATATGTAAAGCTGTGTTAGTGTATATGCAGTCGGCTCCGTCCTTTCCGAAGTCTGATCTTTAGTTATATACTATATTAAGTAATTGTCAGACTTAATTGATATCTTATTTAATTAAGCCCTCTGTTCAAATCGAAAGTATTTACATATATCGAAATTAAAGTACTCTCTTAATTACTTCATTGGTATACCTACCATAAATTAATCTCGCAAAAATGTATTCTTAATTCAAATTCCTCTCCTTGTCTTCGTCAATTAATTTTCCCTTATTTAAATAAAATTTCCAGAATATTAATATCGCAGGTACGTGAGTGGGCTATTAAGAACCAGGGACTATTAACTTCGGAAATTTTGATGAGTTTCTTATGAAATATTGATAACTAATCGGGAAAATATATTGAAAAATTGTAATAAAACAACTACGCCAGGAAGCTTTTCTTATAGTATAAAACAAACTATGTAAAAAATATCTATTTTGGAGCTCAAGAGAAAAATATATATAAGATAACCTCTTATTACCGCCTGCGTAAACAAAGTCATTGTAAGTCAAGCAAAGTTATTTATAAGCAATAATATAATTTCTCATGTGGCTAACTGAACAAACTTTACTCGAAGCTCGTTTCAGTTTGCCGCCTTCATTAGGCTAAGAAAATGGCAGCCCTGACCCGACGGTCACGTAGTCTGTATTAATTTTGGGTTTATTGAATTATACGTGAGGTCCATACGCAACACGTTAATAAGGAATTGTACTTGT